GCATCAGTTTCAACAGCAGTTCTTTCAACTTTGTTCAAGAACAGACTCTTCTTTGTGGCTTCCGGTTGTCTGTATATTTTTTAGTTCTTGCAAGAGTTCACCTTCACCAGCATTTATGATGACACCTTTTTCATCTGGAACATACTTATCATTATCACCTTGATTGTTGTTTCAGTCTCCTCCTGAATTATTGAACTGTCATAACTCTTTAGTTAGGACACTCAAACTGCACATGACCAAAGGTCCAAAACCATGACACTTGAAGCACTTTTTAGAAGAATGATTGCCACGTAAGTTTAACACTTTCTTTTGAGAATTTGCTGTACATTTTCTTTTTTTTGCTTCATATGCATTTTTCACAGTACCATGACTGTAACTCTGGCATCAAAGGCTTATTTGCGCATTTAAGCTGGGTCTCAACCTTTCACAACAAGTTGTCAAAAGCCCACATGAGATGAGTTCACTAACAAAATACGCGTTAATTTAATATGTATTTACATTTAAATACTAGTAAGTGCTAGATCACAAGTTTCTTATTATCATATTCAAAACTCAAAAGTCAGAAGCCCACATGAGATGAGATGAGTTCATTAAGCAAAATACGTGTTAATTTAATATTTACATTTAAAAACTAATATTTTATTTATATTATTAATTGAGAAGTACATGAAAAATTATGACAAAAAACCAATCTAATTATTATGAAAAAAAGTGTTTGACAACAGATTTAATGAGAATCAATTTAATACATTATAATGTTTGGATACAAAAATAAGAGAAAAAACTATTTGAATAGAAGAATAAATGGTAAAAAATGTTTGGATACAAGAATACTAACTTAAAGCAAATCAATGGTTTAAAAAACTTCAATTTTTCAGCTCTTAAAAATCTGCAAAAAAAAACTTAACATAATCTAACAATAATACTAAATCAATAGAATATGCTTTTTGGATTTTCGGGTTTTTATAGACAAGTTCGGGTTTGGGTGAAAATCTTAAACCTAATTTTATAGAGATATAGAAATTGTTCGGGCTTCTTTGAAAATTTATGTTCGGGTTGGGTTCGAGTTTTTTTTTCGGTTTAGGGTTTTCCGGATTTTTTGATTTTGGGTTTTCGGGTTTAGATATATTAAAAAAAATTGAGTATTTTAAAATTTTGATTAGAGTATTTGGGTCGGGTTCCGGGTGAAAAAGTTTCCAGATTTTTTTTGTTCAGTTCAGGGGTTTCAAGACTTTTTGATTTCGGATTTTTGGAGTTAGACATATGAAAAAAGTTTGGGATTTTAAATTTTTAATTAGGGTTTTTTGTCGAGTTTGGTTTTAGAGTTTAAATTTTGTACATAAAACCACAATGTCACACCGCACAAACATGCGGTACTCTACTAGTATAAAGTGTTAGATAAACAATTAGAAAGTGCTTCACACGTTAGACCAAATATTTTATTTCAAGTAAATGTACTCTTAGCTGTTCACACGTTAGCCAAATATTTTATTTGAAATAGTTGGAAAGATTGCAATAACGACGAGTCCGACGACTTAATTATATACCCAAACCCCGTCAAGACCAATAAATTATACAGTAATAATGAGCTGTAGAATATATTTATTTAAGTTCAATCCAGATTGGATTTATACAAAGAAAAGACTTAGGACAATGCATTAACTAATACTGTTCTTTTTTAAAATCTATGTGAGGACCATCATATTAGTATTTGCAAATCAATTTTCGTGAATGGAGCCACCACGTTAACTCTCAGCCGCGGAATTACCGAGATGCCCTTAATGAAAATCTTTCAATTAAATCTTCGAATTTTTCCTTTTTTATTAAAAACGAATTTGATTATTGACTTTTAATATTTTTAGATAAATATGTTAACTACCATATCCCCCCTTATTTTTGGAAGATATTATAAATTTTAGGAAGATAAATAATAAGTAAACCCTAAGATTCTTAACTGACCTGTATTATATAAATAGATACGATCTTGGAAAAACAACACAATTTTCATTACGATTTGCAATTTGTCTTTCAATACGTAATTTTAGTTCTTAGATCTCATATTCTTCTTCACATGTACCTTAATTGTTTTAGTTCGATCTTAGTTCTAATAAAACTATTTATGAACTGATTATTTGTTATTTTCTGTCAATATCATCTATTGATCCGCTTCTAACTACTTCCTCTCTCACTTTTGTAACAGAAAATTCATTATTTGTAAGCTGATGGAATAGAAGTTCATATATGGTCCCAAGCCAGAAGTATTCTTCCCCAAAAATAGAGGGTATGAACATCTTTTCTTTTATATATCAACTTAATATTCATGAAACCCTAATTCTAATGATGAGAGTATAACGTTTTCTGTTTTTTTTTTTTAATTTTAGTTTCTTCAATGAAGCTGGAGGAATGGAATTGGCGGAGCCTGGAAAGAAGAATGATTTCGGGAGCATATTAGCAGGTACAAAGATTTGGTTGAATCTTGAGATCATGAGAGGCCGTACCACATGATGTGCATGTGGCTTTGGATTGATTGTCTTTGCAGATCCTTATGTTGTTGTAGAGAGAATGATCATGAAGAAACAAATCATTGATGGCCGATCGGTTAATATTCTAAAACTCATCAAAAATCCTTCATCAATCTCTGTAACATATGATGTAACCTTTTGTTTTTTTTTCTTACTTGCGCAGTAAGCTTTCTTTAGTAGGACAAGACGATTTTTGAGTTCCTGTTTCGTCTACTAAAGGAGAGAGAACCTTATTCTGAATTCTTCTTACTTTTGGAGAGTCGAGTCAATTAAAGAAAAGAGAAACACTACGAAGAGGTAATGATTCAATGAGAAGATATTTCCTGATGCTAACATGTGGCCAAATTACGATGAAATTGAGGATGAAGAAGATGACAAAGAAGAAATACAATATTTATTCACAGTCTCCTCGACTCTCTTCTTTTATTTTATCAGTTTCATCTTTCTTCATGTAAGAAGAAATACAAGAAGAAAGATGAAACTAATAAAATAAGATGTTGCAAAAATGAAAAGGATTGATAACACAAAATGATAAAGAGTACAAAATGAAATAAGAAGAAAAGACTGAATAAAAACAAGGAAAAGATGAAAGTTGGAAGACAAAGACGGAAAAAACAAAAGAAACAGAACAAAAGAAGAAAATATTTGAAGAATATGTGAACAATAAAGAAGTTGAAAAAAAATCAAAAGATAAAAAAAACGAAGAATAAGAACACAAAGACAGTTGAAAAACAAATTGTAAATAAAAGGAAGAAAACTGATAAAAAGCAGGAAATAATAAGATGACGATGAAGAGAAAATTAAAAGAGAATAGAAAGTTTGATAAGAATAAGAAAAAAAATAGTAGAAAATGAAGAAAAAATATGAAGTAAAAGACAAATTAAAATAAAAAGATAAAATAGGGTTGAGGTTTATGATGTACGGTTTATACTGATGGGCGTAAAATTTAGTTGTTGATGCATTTAAAAAAATTTGAATACACTAAATTACCGATATAAAAAACTTATGTTAAAAATAAAATAAAAGTAAATATAGAACCATTTCTAAAATGTGGGTTCGGGTGTACAGATTGGCGGGAGGGGGGACCGGGGGCGGAGGGTGTTACACTATGGTGTTTGGGTTGTTTAGGGGGTGGTGTTACACTGTAGGGTTTGGGTTTAGGATGTAGGATTTATATTGATGGGTGTAGGGTTTAGTTTTTGGTGCATTTTAAAAACTTAAATTATTATAGAAGAATTTCATTATAGAAAATCATTTATTATAAAAAGTTATACTATTTATCTTATTAAAACTTTTAATTAATTAATGTATTTTAAAAATATTGTACCCGCACAAGGTGCGGGACAACCACCTTGTTATTAGGGTAAATTGCTAAAATAACTACGAATCTTTTATGAAAGAAGCCGTTGCCTTCCTAAATTTAATAAGTAACGATATTGTTTTGCAAGATTATTATTATTATTATTAATATGCAACCGCATATATAATGATGTCATCGCTTCAACATTGCAACAATCACCAAACAAACTCCACTGATTCACATCAATCAAAATTAAACCATGGGTACATCACCAAAATTACCATGGGCCATTAACAATGATCCTTTGATCCCTACAGCTCGGTTTGTTTCCATTGGATGTGAAGCCTGCCGTTTAGGTGGTCTAAGCTATGGAGGCTACTATATCAATAGCACATATTTATATGATACTTTGTGGTACCATAAGGAGTGCGTCGAGGCTCCGTTGGAGATCATCCATCCTTCTCACCAGCATCCGCTCCTGCTCGGGGAACACTATGGACCTCGATGTGATTTTTGTGGATACATACTGATAGTGGGTGGGGGGTACGAGGCCGTCTGCTATAAATGTTCAACATGTGATTTCTATGTGGATATGGTTTGTGCGTTAAAACTAGCACCGCCTGCTGAGTATCCTGCGTGTCATGACCATCCACTTGTTCAGTCAGAGGGACGAGAGTACGGGGATGACACTTGCGAATTATGCAAGTTAAGTATCCATACTTTATCATATTCATGTCTAGAATGTGAGGTGCATTTCCATGCAAAATGTGTCCATCTCTCGAAAGAGGTAAATCATCCTTGCCACTTTGATCATCCTCTCAAACTAATTGCGCTGGATTCACTCACAAATGTCGCTGAGAAGACTTGTATACTCTGTGGAGAGCATGACCATATCATGGGTTATCATTGTTCATTTTGCAATTTCACTGCATGTCTTCATTGTACCAGATATCCACCACCCCTTGTTATCGACCATTCCAAGACCCACAAGCATCGGCTAACCCTTTTTCCAAAAAAAATCTCATGTGCTTGTAATGTTTGTGGGAAGCAAGACAGCGTGATGCTTTATGCATGTCTCCAATGTGGTTTCATGGTACATGGAGGTTGTATTGACTTGCCACGTGTCATAAACATAAACCGTCACGACCACCGCATCTCCTTCACTCAACATCTTGGTCATGGGTATTCAAAATGTGGAGTTTGTCGAGAAAGTCTAAGTCCATACTATGGGGCTTATGCTTGTTCTGTTTGTCCTAACTACGCAGTTCACCCGAGATGCGCGACTAGGGGAGATGTATGGGACGGTATAGAGCTTGAAGGGATACCAGAGGATACCGAAGATATTGCGCCATTCAAGGTGGTGGGCGATAACTTGATAGTTCACCGTCTCCATCCCGAGCATCCACTAAGGCTCCAAAAGGAAACTATCATTCACGACGATCATGCACGATGTGAAGCATGTGTTCATGGAGTCGGATTAGATCCAATCTACAGTTGTGATGAATGTCGTTACATTCTCCATGAAAGGTGCGCTAATCTTCTCATGAAAAAAAGACTTGTTTTTGATGCAACGCCATTCAGATTATTATGGGAAGGTGGGGACGTTGTTACAAACACTTTTGACTGTGAGCTTTGTTGGATATGTACTAGTGGTTACGAGTACCGCTCGCTAAGGGAAAAAAGTATAGACGTACATTGTGCTTCACTTTGTGAGCCGTTCACCCATGATGGCCATCCACATCCACTATATTTTGCTGAAGAAAACGGTGTGAAATGCATTGTATGTGATAGACACGTATCTCGTTTTATGCTCAGTTGTGATGCTTGTAACTTCCATTTGGGTGCATGTTGCGCTACTTTGCCACTAAATTTAAAGCATAGCAACGATCAGCACCCATTCACATTATGCTGTGGTGATACGACAAATCAAAAATACTGGTGCGATATTTGTGAGAGAGGAGTGGATGCGAGCAAGTGGTTCTATACATGTTCTGACTGTGGAGTTACTTTGCACATTACGTGTGTGATTGGAGACTTTTCACGTATCAAACCAGGATGCATTTTTGAAAAATGGTGTAATGAATTTGAAGTGGTTTTGAACAATCACAACACTCGCCCATTTTGCTGCTGGTGTAAAACTCGATGCAAGAACGATGTCATCGTAAAATATCATGATGAAGACGATGGATACGTTTGTTCTCGTTCTTGTTTAGAGCATTCAACCGATGCCAGAAGAACCCCATTTTCTTCTCCTCTTTCTTCGTATTCAGGTTCAACCTAAAGTATTGTAATTTGTTTCCGTTTATGTTTTATTCAGTCTTTTTTAGTATCCTTTTTTTTTTCTTTTTAGTCTTGTGTGTGGAAGGAAAAAGCTTTGAATTTCTGTATTACATAAACGAATGAATATTTCATGGTTGTAGTGTCTAAGTTTATAAGTCTATTTCTATAGAACTATATGTAATACTAATAAACAGAACATTGATCTTTAGCCAATAATTTTACAAGGGTCAAACTGATATTAGTCATATACTTATTACAGAGGTCATTAAACACATGCTATCACATTTTTTATTTAAAATAAAGGTAATTTGGAACTTAACATTAACAAGAGCTCAAAACCCATCCTCGATGTTTCGATTTATTTTTTTTTCCGTTCAGACAAAGAAAAAATATTTGGCACAAACGATTGACAAGAGCTCAAAAGTCTCAAAAGAGTTTAACCGGAAAATCAAAACCGCACCAGAAAAACTACAATCTGACATCAAACTCTCCAGCTCTTGTCTGAGCACGAAACCCTTTATACAAACGAGGAGGGATAGTTTGTGTTGAAACCATAATCATATCTCTAAACCAAAATCACATTTACATAAGTTAGAACCAACATTTTCATTTGTTAGTTACTTGACAGTTACTCAAGTAGTGTCTTTTAGGTTAAGAGGTGTTGGTTCCTGTAAGAGTCACAATGAAGAGACACAACTCTTAGTTGTGTGTTGTCTTAGTATATAAACCATGTAACACGAGATGTAACATCTATCAAGTTTCAGATAATAATATTCATTCCTCGTTTATGTTCTTCAGAGAATGTTTTGTCTCATTCTCTCTCTGTTTTCTAAATCAAAATTCTAACATGGTATCAGAGCTTTAATGGTCATGGAACCTGTTAAAGCACAAAAATAATGAGAAGAAGTCCGCTGCAATAAGAAGAGAAAGATGGAGAATAAACCGGAGAGAAAAAGAAGAAGAGGAAGAAGAAGAAGAGAAGAAATAGAAGAAAAAAAGGTGGTGCCAAAAGAGAGGACCATCAACATTCACAAGCCCATTCACATGCCATACCTTCAAGAGGAAGGCTCCAAAAGAGAAGGAGGAGATAAGAGATCTTCTCAAAAGTCAATGGAGATAATGGATGTGGAGATGGATTTGTGGGAGGAAAATCATGAAACTTGATCGACAACGTCTTGGTGAAGCACAAGGATGCGGAAAAGGCATCACTCAGTGGAGGCATCACTGAAAGAAGACGAACGGGAACAATACGGAACCAGTGACACAGTCAACCGAAGAAGACATGGAGAAGAAGATTCACGCAAGGCACAATAGGGGAACCGGTGACACAATCAACCGAAGAAGACGTGGAGAAGAAGATTCACGCAAGGCACAATAGGGGAACCGGTGACACAGTCAACCGAAGAAGTCGTGGAGAAGAAGATTCACGCAAGGCACAATACGGGAACGGTGACACAGTCAACCGAAGAAGACGTGGAGGAGATCTACGCAAGAGAACGGTTACACAGATAGCCGGAGACGTGAAGAAGAGTCACGTTATAACGTCAATGAGACGTTGAAGCAATAAAAGAGGATGCTTACCTCGAGAAAAAATGGAACAAGTTGGTTGAAGAGTTAACCGAAGAAACATGGAGAGAGATCCATGCGGCAGACGTCAAGGACGTTAATGGTGATCGAAGGAAGACACCGAAGCAACAAAGAGGATGCTTACCTCTATGAATAAAAAAAGGAACAGAGAAGACATGATGAGGATTCACGCGCAAGACGTCAAGGAGACGTTGAGGGTGATAAACGAAAGTTTTGAAATAACCAAAGGAAAATGCAGAGGCGACAAAGGAGAAAAGGAATAGAGATTCCAATCCATAGAACCTGCAAGAAAAGGAAGAAGCTTGGAGTGAAGCCAGAGATATGATTAAGGGGAAGTGGGGAAGTGTTACTCAAATGGTGTCTTTTAGGTTAAGAGGTGTTGGTTCCTGTAAGAGTCACAATGAAGAGACACAACTCTTAGTTGTCTGTTGTCTTAGTATATAAACCATGTAACACGTGATGTAACATCTATCAAGTTTCAGATCAATAATATTCATTCCTCGTTTATGTTCTTCAAGAGAGAAGAGATAATGTTTTATCTCTTGCTCTGTTTTGTCTCATTCTCTCTCTGTTTTCTAAATCAAAATTCTAACAGTTTGAAGATCAAGTTTCTCAATTCTCAAGCCAGACAGAGCAATCCCCATTATCTTAAACCCGAGCTTGAATGTAGGAAACACATGTAGCCGCTCCAAACCCGTCTCCAACACTAATGTCCCAGACAAACATGGAGTCCTTCGGTATTCGCCCAATCGGCCATGTACATGTCTACAAAGACAGTCACAAATAAAAAAATCGAAAACTTTCAAACGTGAGGCACAAGCAAGAACCATACCTTGTTAGAGAGTATGGTTACAGTTCCATGATTTGATGAGAGATCTGCAGATGAAACACAATGAGGAAGCTCGAAACTCAAAGTTTTCCACTCGATCGTCTTCCCAAGTTCGCTTTTGACCCCAACCAACACACTAACTTGACATGTACCGGAATCTGATGTTACTTGAGGCTTTACATATAAAGGTGTGTTCTTCAGCTTCTTCACCCTGAAATTGTAAATAAAGTTTAAATCTTCAAAGTTTAAACAAAGAGTGAGAAGAAGAAAGAATATATCTTTTGTCTTCACCTGTAACTCATGAGCTTGAATTGCCCATCTGGAGGAACAAAGGAGAGAACTTGATGAGACTCCCAAGGCCTGAAGCGAACGCACAGATGAAACCTCACGTCTTCTAACACCGATGGATTCGCAAACGACAGTGTCAAATCTGGAAAACCAGAGAGCTGAGAGCTCATTTGGACTTCGCCATAAATCTCGCATTTCACCAACTCTCCATCCCTGAAAACAGTGTTCTTGATTTGAGTGAGATGAAATCTTGAATCTTTATCAAGAACAAACAAACCTGTTTACGATTGCATCCATTTCTTCAACGAGGGACGTAGACTTCGTTGCTGGAGTACTTTGGATCTGTTGGTCTCCATGGAACACAAGAGCCAGTCCCTACTATGGGGCTTATGCTTGTTCTGTTTGTCCTAACTACGCTGTTCACCCGAGATGCGCGATTAGAGAAGATGTATGGGACAGTATAGAGCTCGAAGGGATACCAGAGGACACGGAAGACATTGCGCCATTCAAAGTGGTGGGTGATAACTTGATAATTCACCGTCTCCATCCCGAGCATGGTTCTATTTTATGTTTTATATAATTATGAGTATTTTATTTTGTTTTATTACACAAATATTACTATCAATTTTTTATTTGGATGTTTTAGTTGATTTTTTAATAATATATTTTATGATTTAAAAAAAATATTACTCATTTGTTGTATATATATATATATATTACTTATTATAACCTATTTATCCCATGTAAATTAACATAATTGGGTTTGGATTCTAAACTACAACCCACTACATAAATGTGTCGGTCATAATATAACCCTATAACCTTCAAACCTGTATGAGTTAGGGTCGGGTTACCCATTTTAACACCCTTATAATGAAATATGCATTACAAACAAGTAATGATTGTTCACAAAACTCTTGAGGTCTACTTTTGTAGCATAAAACGAACTGTCCATCAAATACTATATCCGAAAATATAACAAGTTTTTGGAGAGTATATCAACCTAGGACCGAGTCACTAGTTAGCTACTCTAGCAACAAGCATTAGGCGCAAATAAAGATGAAGAACCATGGTGTTTCCCCTTTATTTAACAACCGATTTCTTGAAGGCAATTATGTCATGTCCTCATTGAATGATCCATAATTCAACAATGTGTCTTTGGTAGTAGAAAAGATCTCATAGATCCATAGGAAAGAGAGGCAGAGAGATATCAATCAAACCGCATCTCTTCCTTAGAGAGAAATCCCTACTTCTAGACTTAGGGAGAAATCCCTACTCCTAGACTTAAATAATCGAAGCATGCAAACTATATACCATACATCAAAAATTAGATATCCAGTAATTTCTCTGAAATCTTCACACAGATCTTCACATGAAGAAAACTGATATTTATCTGTGTGATAAGAAAACCTCTCAAACAACATGATAAACAAAAACAGGATCGAACCTTGATTAAGAAATCAAAGTGTTGTCTCTGATACCAACTGATTAGCAGAATATACGATAAACACAGCTCAACCAACAATTCAAAGGAATCGACCGGGATCTGCCCGTTCAACCAAGGAATTAAAAAGAATTCACGCATGGGACCTGCTTCTTGAAATCGTTAAGATTTCTCTAGATCTACCGAAAACAAGGATAGAAAATACTCTTCTTTCAAAGCCTAAACTCTTTTATTAATAAATCAACAACTGAAATTATACAAGAAGCCAAAACAGCTGTAAGAAAACCATAAAATCTTATAACAATAATAATAATTAATTTAAATGATAAAATAATTAATCTAAATATTTGGAATATTTCCAATTATCTTCATGCATCACGGCATCAAACATTACCTTCGTTCCTGCAAGAGGATTGTGATGATAGCCCTCTATTTTCTTTGCAAGATCTCAACTGCTAAAGCAACACACGCAAGTTGAATACATTGATACTAATTATTAATGTACAGGCTATGGATGTAAACAGAAAAAGAAACACGGGTTTCTCTACAAATAAAATGTAATATTAATAGTTTTTCAAAATTACTTAGAAGTGTTTCTTAAACAAACAAATCAACAAGCTCAAGACAGCCTTGCCTCGTTTATTGAGTAATACATACGATGGATCTATATACAATCCAAGAACTACTCAAACTCTGTAAGATGATATATTGAACTGACTTGTTTATTTACGTTTACAAACTCAAGTATTTATACAACTACATATCGACTTTAGCTAACATCAAACTCCTATATTCTAGGAAGAGAATCCTTATCCTATATACTTTGTGTTTATCATAATACTCCCCCTCAAGTTGGAGAGTGGAGATCAACCACACCCAACTTGGATGCTAACTTTCAAAATGGAACACGTCCAAGAGCCTTAGTCAAAATGTCAGCTAGTTGCTCATGAGTGCTGACATGTTTCGTCACGATCACACCATCTTGAACCGCGTTACGCACCGCATGGCAGTCATTCTCGATATGCTTTGTCCGTTCGTGGAAGACTGGGTTGGCCGCGATATGTATGGCCGCCTTATTGTCACAAAATAACGTCGTTGGGGCAGTTGGCTCAGCTCCTAAGTTCTTCAACAACTTCCTGATCCACTTGATCTCTTTTAACGCAAACGCCATTGCCTGATACTCGGCCTCAGCTGACGAATGAGACACAGTGTCTTGCTTCTTCGTCTTCCAAGAAATTAGTGACCCATCAAGAAAAACTACAAAGGAGCTCAAAGATTTACGTGTCAAGGGACAACTATTGTAGTCAGCATCACAATACACCGTCAAACTGAGATCGGGATCATTCTTAACGAGAATCCCTTGACCCGGAGACCCCTTCAAATAACGTACCAACCGTAGTGCCGCCTCCCAATGAGCCTCCGTCGGAGCTTTCATAAATTGAGAAAGCAAGTGCACTGAATAACACAACTCGGGTCTCATATTCAACAAATAGATCAAACGACCAACTAACCGCCGATACTTCTTCGGACATGCCAACAACGGACTCTCAACTAGAGCAAGGTTATGATTTGGCTCCATTGATGTCGCAGCAGGACGACAACCAAGGTTTCCTGTATCAGCCACAAAATCTAACGAGTATTTTCTCTGCGACAAGAAGAACCCTTCCGGTCCACGACTTACTTCAATACCAAGGAAATATTTTTAACTTTCCCAAATCCTTCATCGAGAAACAACGACTCAAGTAATCCTTGAACTTTTGGATCATATACGGATCACTACCAGTGATCAACAAGTCATCAACATAAACTAAGACACGAATCTCCATTGTGCCTTTGGAGTAATAGAAAAATGAATAATCATCATACGATTGGACAAAACCAAACTTCAGCAAAGCATCCGAAAGCTTCTTAAACCAACAACGAGGTGCTTGCTTAAGACCGTACAGAGATTTCCGGAGACGACACACTTTCCCAGATGCGTATGACGAAAACTAGGCGGAAGCTTCATATAAACCTCTTCTTCAAGATCACCATGAAGAAACGCATTATTAACACCCATTTAGAAAACCTCCCAATGATTCGCTGTAACCAAGCGCAAGACTGTACGAACCGTGGTCATTTTGACTACTGGTGCAAACGTCTCGTTATAATCTTCACCCTCAACTTAAGTATTGCCTTGTACCACAAGCCGAGCCTTATGTCTCTCCAAAGTTCCATCTGCGAGATACTTTATTGTGTAAACCCAAAGACTTCCAATAACTTCTTTGTCCTCAGGTAAATCGACAATGTCCCATGTTCGTTTCTTCTCAAGAGCAACCACCTCCGTGACCATTGCATCGTCCTAAACCTTCTGTGTGACAGCCTCTTTAAAATGTTTTGGAATAACCGCTTTCGTGATAGCTGCCAAGTAAGCTCGATGTCCTGGAGAAAATTGGTCATCCGATATAAAATCAGATAAAGAAAAAAGTGAGTTACCTTGGACCGAAGACGAGGACAACGTGGAGGGGAGAGCGTGAGAGGGGTCAATTTGAGCATTATACGTGACATAGTCTTGAAGACGAACAGAACGAGACTTCTCGCGATGGCCACGACCCAAAACTTCTGGCAGAGGCGTGATAACCGGAGAAGACAAACTATCATCACCATCAGAATCACTTGACACAGATGGTGTACCATCACTCGAGGTAGGAAGAACCTCATTACTCACTACACAAGCATCTTGAACCGGCAAGCTCTGTTCCACAGGAACATAATCACATTTGTCTGGTTGAATCAGGACTCGGTGTCAACAGGCAGAACCATCCAATAGTCATCACAAACAACAGTCGGAGAAGAAGGAGATGAGACAATCTCAGGTTCAACATATGGAAACACATCCTCACGAAACACAACATCACGGGAAATAATAAACTCTTTTTTGTTGATGTCATAAACTTTCCAACCCTTTTTACCAAAGGGATAGCCAACAAAAACACACAATCTACTTCGTTCACCGAACTTATCTTTATCTCGAGAAGCACGATGAGTATAACACGCAGAACCAAACACTTTCAACTGGTTATAATCTGGTTTAGCTCCATGTAAAATCTCAGAAGGTGTCCGACCATTATGTATCGCTGTACGGTTTATCAAATAAGCAGCGGTTAAAATAGCTTCTCCCCAAAACTTTACTGGTAAATGTGATTGAAATAGCAACGATCGAGCTACATAAAGAATATGACGATGCTTGCGTTCCACTCTTCCATTCTGCTGTGGAGTTGCTACACACGATGTTTGGTGAACGATCCCTTTACTACGGAAAAACGAAGAAAGCACCATAAACTCACTACCATTATCGCTTCTGACAGACCGAACAGGTTTGTTAAATTGTTTTTTCGTGTAAGCAAGAAACTCGGGAAGAACCTTCTTCACCTCTGATTTTTCGAGAAGAAGATAGGTCCACACTGCTCTAGAGAAGTCATCCACAATCGTCAAAAAATAAACCGCACCACAAGAAGAAGGAACTCGATCTAGACCCCAAACATCAACATGAATTAGAGAGAAACACTCTGTTGTTTTATTTAAACTATCGAAAAACACCTCACGAGTTTGCTTTGCTCTAAAACACACGTCACAAGGACTAGAGCTAGCTGAAACAGAAGACTGAGAAAACAAATCCAAAGAAGAAAACACCGAAGACGACGGATGTCCCAAACGCTGATGCCACAAAGCTTGATCCGAACCAAACACTGCCTTGTTACTGTTTGCCGAGACTATGTCCGTAAAATAATAGACCCCATCACGCTCTTCACCGGCTCCAATCATGGTCCTCGTGAAACGGTCCTGTAAAACACAAATTGTATCAGTAACCATAGCAAAACAATTCGTATGTTTCAACAACTTTGCCATGGAGATCAAAGTGCAATTCAAGTTCGGGACATAAAGCACTTTAGGTAACACTATCTCCTTTGAAAGAGGGAACACTCCCATACTCAACGCAAAGGTCTTGCTACCATCCGCAAAACCCACAGAACAAGCGAGATATGCTCGATATTGGTAAGAAGTGACATATTTCCTGTCATATGGTGTGAGGCACCAGTATCGAGTATAACATCACCAAGTTTCTCCTTACCAGACAACTTTTCGGACGCATTATTTCCAGACTACTCTTGGATCATATGGGTTAGAATCTTCCATTGATCAGCACTGAAATCAGGAAAAGTTGAGGAATTCGATGATGTTGCATGAGCGGTTGTCACTTGACCTCGACCACGACCTGCTCCAGCACCTCGACCTCCTCCTCTGCCACGGCCACTATTCTGACCACGACCACCATTACGTTCATTCCACCAGTCAGGAAAGCCCACTATCTGCCAACAGTCACGCTTCTCGTGACCTGTTCTTCCACAATGCGAGCAGTGACCTGTTCTTCCACAATGCAAGCAAATAGCGTTCCGGTTCCGCAAAATCGAGTTCTCAGGTTGTTGTTGAGTCTGTGATCTTACGGACGGATTTGGAGATCCTGATTGGCGAGCAACAAATCCAACTGCGTCCTGCTGCTGATCACGATATTTGGCAGAGGCAAGACGTTGTTCCTCACGAACAATCTTGTTATAAATTTCACCAAGAGCAGGAAGAGGATCTGTCCCGATAATATTTGTACAAATATTACCAAAACGTGAATCATCAAGGCCCATAAGAAATTGATGTATCTTTTCCTCCTCCTTCTCGTTTGCCATTTTCGCCTCTGCTCCACACACACATCCATGGATCAGCTGATACATCTGCAGCTCCTCCCATAACTTAGAAAGTCGACCATAGTAATCTAACACCGATTGGCCGTCTTGTCTGCATGAAACGAGTTGCACCTTGATTTGACCCGCACCTTGTTTCCCACCGAGAAACGTTGCTTCAAGTTTTCCCAGAGCTGGAAAGCATCCGAGATATACGTCACCGTAGATCGCACCTTAGGCTCAATGGAGGCACGAATCCAACCAACGATCATAGAATTCACCACCAACAAGTTCTCTAGATCAGGACTTCCTAATGCTGGCTTTGGCAACAACCCATTGACAAAACCCGTTTTCCGCTTAGCTTGAAGCACATTAATGAGCTCCAAGGACCATTCATTGTAAATTTTCTCCGTTTAACAACACATGAGTTATCATCGCTCCCAGGATTATCCGAAGAGTACAGCGTATATGGTGACACCACCGCAACTTCATTAGACCGAGCACCACTAGTACCCGTTACACCAACACCCGACACACCACTTGTCGGAAGAACATGAACACCAGTTGCACTACTCGCCGGAGGAACACCACCACCAGATACATTACTCACCGGAGGAACTCCTCCACTCAACCCGACACCCGTCGGAATCACATCTTCATCACCGGCCATGATGATGAGACAAGAAAACAGAGAACCAAGAACAAAAGATCACAGAAACGTGAAGAACAAGGTATTTTAGGTTTTAAGGACCTTATGCTCTGATACCATGTGGGATGATATATTGAACTGACTTGTTTATTTACGTTTACAAACTCAAGTATTTATACAACTACATATCGACTTTAGCTAACATCAAACTCCTATATTCTAGGAAGAGAATCCTTATCCTATACACTTTGTGTTTATCACAATAAACTCTAACCATTTGTCCTAACTTTCTTACAAGAAATCTATCCAAATGCTAAAGCTCTCAATTTCTGAGTGACCATCTACAAATGGCTACAGCATCCTACTTGTAAGAAAGTTAGGACAAATGGTTTTCTGATTTTCTTGGAGAACACTCCAAATCACCATAGGAATATTTCTTTCCATATTTTTTCTAAAAATAAAAATATTCTTGTTTCTTGATCACGCCAAAGTCTCAAAAGAGCTCTAACCGGAAAATCAAAACCGTACCAGAAAACTACAATCTGACGTCGAAATCTCCAGCTCGTGTCTGAGCACGAAACCCTTTATACAAACGAGGAGGGATAGTTTGAAGATCAAGTTTCTCAATTCTCAAGCCAGACAGAGCAATCCCCATTATCGTAAACCCGAGCTTGAATGTAGGAAACACATGAAGCCGCTCCAAACCCGTCTCAAGCGCTAATGTCCCAGACAAACACGGAGTCTTGTCCTTATTCCCAATCGTCCATGTACATGTCTACAAACACAGTCTCAAAATCAAAAAACGAAAAGTTTCAAACTTGTGGCACAAGCAAAAACCATGCCTTGTTAGAGAGTATGGTTACAGTTCCATGATTTGATGAGAGATCTGCAGATGAAAGACAATGAGGACGCTTGAAACTCAAATTTATCGACTCCATCGTCTTCCCCGGTTCGCTTCTGATCCCAACCAACACACTAACTCGACATGTACCCGAAGCGTGATCCTAGAGAGAGCCAAGTGAGGTCAGGGTCCATCTCAGAACCGGAGCCCATCATATACGGTTCCCTGGAGAAAAACATAGAGTCTCGCTGGAACCAAGCGGTTCACGGTCTAAGCTCGAATATAAAGAGAATGTTCATGGAGATGAACCCTGACATAGCCTAAAATGATATATAGTTTGCTTCTAAAATCAGTGATGCTTTGAATCATCTAACAGTTTATGCGATAGAGCCTTGGTCTTCTTCATGGGCGATAAAGCGATACTGTTTTGAATCATCCAATTTATGATTCGGGAACTTTAAATAGCATGCTTAAGAAAAAAAAAAAAAGATTTATCGAATTGTGGCACTACATATCCAAAAGCGCATTATGATTTGTTTTCCTTATTTATCAAAATCATTCAGGTGGTAGTGATCTGATTCAATCCAAATCGTTTTATCGACCAATTAGAATACACCACCTTCATATTGAAACTGAGCACTATGGAATTACGTCACTATGCATAACTAGTGGCGAATTAGTTAACGGCCTGATGGAACTTGATCAATAATATTTTGGATTAAAAATGCGACTTATGAATTATTATGGGTTTAAAATGCGATTTACAGTTATTGACATTGTCATAAGTGGGTTGAGTGTAAAGAAAATGATACGTTTCCGCTTGCATGATTTTATTTCTGTTTCTGTCAGCCACAAGGCCCACAACTAGGATATTTTCTTAATAAAAATAAAAAGGAGAGTGGATCATACAACATCTATGGATAAACATTTGTTTGGCACTTCCTCAAATCAATTACGTTGCTAGTTGTTAGATCCGAGATAGCACTCATCAAGACGGGTTATCAAAGATGTGAGTTTAGGAAACTGGAAGCTTAAATCAACTCAAAGAATATTAAGAAGGTTACAAAGAAATTATCTCGCTAACAAGCTTATCGAGATAACTGTGATGAACAAGAAGAGAAAGTAAAGTGGGTGCAAAAGCCTAGTAATTCTAGATGATCTCGGATGCCTTTTCTCCAATAGGGGGTCTTCAATATATAGTGTTGATAGGTCGGTTAATAGGTGAATATTTTCCTTTCGGCGAGATGGAAAACTTCCTCTTTTGCGATATAGAAAACTTTCTCTTGCTCATGATTTCCTTTCATTCTTCAGGTCGGCATGAGGGTTTGTTTACATTTTCTCATGGATTGTACCTTCCTCCTCAAGTCTTGCCTTTTTGTTGAGGAGGTTAGGCCTAAAGTCGGATTGGGCTTTGTGACTTTACTAATGATGACGGGCTCATGGAAATGTGCTAATTTCTCCTCTAACACTGGTGGATTTATGATTATAATGTGGAGTATTCAAAATCTTGGTCATGTGTATTCAAAATGTGGATTTTCTCGAGAAAGTCTAAGTCCGTGCTATGGGGCTTATGCTAGTTCTGTTTGTCCTAACTACGCGGTTCACCCGAGATGCATGTGCGACTAGAAAGGATGTATGGGATGGTATAGAGCTCGAAGGGATACCAGAGGATACTGAATATATTGCACCATTCAAGGTGGTGGGTGATAACTTGATAATTCACCGTTTCCATGGCGACCATGCTTTAAGGCTACAAGAGGAAAATACCCTTCACAGCGAGCATGCACGTTCCAGTTGGATTAGATCCGATCTACAGTTGCGACATCTAATGTCGTTACATTCTTCATGAAAGGTGCGCTAGTCTTCCCATGAAAAAAAAGACTTGTTTTTTATGCAACGCCATTCACATTGACATGGGAAAGAGGAGACATTTCAAGAATTGTAGAGTGTCAACTTTGTAGGAAATTTTCTTCTGGTTACGAGTACATTTTTGAGCACGTATATACGAAATTTGATGTGGTTCTGAACAATCACAACACTCGACCGTTATGCGACTGGTGTGGAAATCGATGCAAGAACGATGTCATCGTAAAATATCATGCTCAAGAGAATGAATACATTTTCTCCCGTTATTGTTTAACACATTCGTTCAGAGTCCACTTCGTTTTTTCATATTGAGGCTGAATCTAAAGTACTGTAATCGTTTATAGTTATTTACTGCCTTGTAAAAAAAAAATGTTATGTAACCGTCTTTGTCAACGAGAGCTCTCTCAACATAAGTAGTTGGGGTGTTAAAAAATTTCATCAAAATTTGTCCATCATCTCTTAAGAAATTGTGAGAACAAATATGCGCTAGGCTTTGTGAAAACAGCATAACTCACAGAAACCTCCTTTTTAAACTCGATGCTTTGATTTAAACATAACCACCAAAAAAACAATGAATAAACCAACCATTTGAGATATAAAATGTGTAAGAAACACTTAAAAACAACCCAGTAAATTCATATTTAAGCAACATATATAACCACTAAACCTTGAATTTAAACCAGACAATTGATTCTGAGACGACATCTTCTTCTCTTTTGTCTCTGAAGACAGATTATCAGATCAAAATTTGAATTTGCCATACAAGAAAACTACAATCTGACGTCGAACTCTCCAGCTCGTGTCTGAGCACGAAACCCTTTATACAAACGCGGAGGAATAGTTTGAAGATCAAGTTTCTCAATTCTCAAGCCAGACAGAGCAATCCCCATTATCTTAAACCCGAGCTTCAACGTCGGAAACACATAAAGCCGCTCCAAACCCGTCTCAAGCACTAATGTCCCAGACAAACACGGAGTCTTGTCCTTCGGGATTCGCCCAATCGTCCATGTACATGTCTACAAACACAGTCTTAAATAAAAAAATCGAAAACTTTCAAACTTGAGGCACAAGCAAGAACCATACCTTGTTAGAGAGGATGGTTACAGTTCCATGATTTGATGATAAATCTGCAGATGAAACACAATGAGGAAGCTGAAAACTCAAAGTTATCGACTCAATCGTCTTCCCAGGTTCGCTTCTGACCCCAACCAACACACTAACTCGACATGTACCAGAATCTGACGTTACTTGAGGCTTTACATATAAAGGTGTGTTCTTCAGCTTCTTCACCCTGAATTGTAAACATTAGAGAGTGTAAATCTTTAAACAAAGTGTAAGAAGAAGAAAGAAGAAATCTTTTGTCTTCACCTGTAACTCATGAGCTTGAACTGTCCATCTGGAGGAACAAAGGAGAGAACTTGATGAGATTCCCAAGGCCTGAAGCGAACGCACGGATGAAACCTCACGTCTTCTAACACCGACGGATTCGCAAACGACAGTGTCAAATCTGGGAAACCAGAGAGCTGAGAACTCATTTGTACTTCACCATAAATCTCGCATTTCACCAACTCTCCATCCCTGAAAACAGTGTCCTTGATTTGAGTGAGATGAAATCTTGAATCTTTATCAAGAACAAACAAACCTGTTTACGATTGCATCCATTTCTTCAACGAGGTCGACGTAGACTTCGTTGCTAGAGTACTTTGGATCTGTTGGTCTCCATGGAACACAAGAGCCCGTCCCGCTCGGGAGAGTGTCACTGACGTTGGAAGCGTTTCCTGTTACAACGCTCAACATTTTGCTGACTAGATTCGGTGGAGCTATCATTTCTCTCAGGATGCTCGGTTCTGTTGTGAGAGGGAAGCCATTATCGATCATCTCATCCAGAAGCTACAAGCCACAAATTTGTGTAGACCTTTCAGTTTAAGCAATCCAAGAAAAGGTAATGCCATACAAAAAAAAATTAAAACTTTGACATACACAAAGATGCTATTAATCTCACATTGTTAATGCAAACCAACAAAACAAGTACACAGGAACATAAGGACAATCCAACAGAGTAAACCTACACAAAGTGATGAATTCAATGCATGTGGCCTATTTGTTTCCCAATCACTCATTAAGATGGAAAAATGTAACAATCATCTACTTTGTCAAAAGCAAATCAAGACCACTGAAACAAGAGAAATATGAAAGACAAGAACAACTCAAGCTAAAAACTTTATGATAAACATATATAGAATTGATTAAACGCTCAAACAGATCATGTAGTACATCCCAAAGTGTCTTTCTATTTGTCACAAAATGCGCACAAATGGTAAATCTAAGTAACAAATGAGCTACAATAATGATCACAGAGGAGCTATGACTGATAAAGTGCAGAAACAATAATGGTAACAAAAGTTTCAAGTTTCAACAAAGATACCTCATAGACAATGATGAAGTTATCTTTGACGAGATCTTCGTTTAGCCCACCAAGGTAATCAGACATAACATCAGCGACTCTGCAAAGGAACTGAAACTTTCACAAGGTTACAAAAAACAAAAATTTGGAATCTAACAAAGGAGAGAACAGAGAAGAGGCAGCAAAAAAAAGATTTCACCTCTATTGCCATCAGTGGTGGCATTTCAACTTGACTGCAAGCTAAGAAGGTGATACCATCACGAACGATTTGAAAAAGGTAATGCGTTGGTGAAGCAATCACTGGAAGTGACTATCCAAAGAAAAACAAAAGCAAAAGACGACCCAGAAGTTCAAGTCTTGAAATTTGTGGATCAAACTAAGGCTACGAAAATGAAAATGACTAAAAGATTCAAACTTGACAAATCAATCAAATCCCAGAATCAATTTGAGGAGAACCCAGGAAGTAGAAATCGAATTGAAATACCTTAAAGGAATCGCCTTGAGAAATGGATTGATCCCAGAACCAAGCACATATAGATCGGTCTACGCGGTGACCTGTAAGCTGCTTCTCAAGCATTACCTCTCTGTGAACACAATTCAAAGATGAATTCAGTACAATTTCTCGGAGTGGTCAATGTCTATGCAAAGGAATCTGGGAAGAAGAGATTGAAGATCACTAACCCAGAATCGGAGAGGAGAAATATACACTGAAGCATATCTCTGCCCACGATGCGCGAATCTGCGAATGCTCGATTTTCTTCTCTCGATTTTGGCCTATTTGTTCGTATATTTGATTTGCAACTAGAATACTCTCTTCCAGCCAGAGGGTATTACAGGAGCTGACAGAAAATATATCTCCGGCAGATAGTTGTTAAATATTTTTGGAGCCAATAAGAGAAATATACGAAAATAAATTAAAATAAACTATCTTATTATATAAAGCTGGATGTGCAAGACGTGGTTGTGACACATAGGACTTTTAAGTTTATGTCCGTTAAGATCGTGACACGTGTTTAAAAAAAAAGAATTTTTATTTATTTTATTTAAATATTAGAAAAACGAAAATTAAGATAAAAAAGAAATTTTAAACATTAAATATATATATATATATAATTATAAAATAGATTAACATTAAATTTTTACATTTTTTTGAAATAGGAAAAAACAATTCAAGGAAAAACAGGAAACAAATAGAAATTTTTTTAAAAAATGTTATATCCATCAAAAAAAGGAAAAAAATATACTCCCAATACGAAAAGGAAAAATAATCGATACTCAGAAAAATATGAAACAAATAATCTATTACTAATAAAAGTTGAGCCTATATGCATTAGAGGCTGTCCACCTAGGATTTAAAAGGTTGAATTTGATTGGTCCATGTCATTATTTTTAATTTTTTTGCTTTTAAATTAATTTATGTAAATTTTCTATTTTACATATTATTTATTAATTAGTTTTCAGTAAAGATAATTTCTCTGATTTTACAATTTTCGAGAACTGAATTATAAGTTTCCTATTCATAGATTATCTAAATTTACATATATTATTAGTATTAGTTTCTTTTTTAGTGGAAAATTTACACATGTTTTAAGTAATTATAGAAATAAATTTCCTATTCAGCCAAAAAGATGCTATGGTGTAGCGGTTATCACAATTGTCCTAAACGCAACAGGTATCGAGTTCGATCCTTTGCAGTCCCCTGTTTTTTTTTTAAACCGTTTCAAAAATAATTATATGGACATTGCCATTAGGTTACCACAAAAAAAAAAAAAATCAGACATCGGCATCTCCAAAACGGGATCTGCTACATCTTCTTCCCCTTTTTTCTACAAACCCTAAAACTGCATCTCACAAAACTCTCTCTCTCTCTCCACCGTCAAACAACAAAAATTCATTCTTCATTTCCCAGATTTCGTAAATCGAATTGGATTTATTTTGCCCTAAACTCCCTATTTCGCATTGTTGCAAGTTTGAAGCTTCAGTACAACTTCAGTTGAGGGAGTATTAGACCAAAAATGGAGAAATTCGGAATCTATTACTAAGATAAGTCTTGTGATTTGACTGTACAATTCGGCTGCTTTAATTTCTGGCGAATATAAGATTGCTTCTTGGCATTTTTTTCTTATTTCTTCTTCCAAATTTATTTCTTGGTTTCATTATTTCGTTTTAGTCTAGAAGATTCTTGAAAAACAAATTGGATATTGTTTGATAAAGATTAGGATTTGGATAGTTCCTATTTTTGTAATTATCACTTCTCTAATTTCCTTATTGTACAATGACATTGATATACATTGATTCCTTTTTCCATTAGGAATAAGATGATCTTAAATCCTATATATACGTGGTCTTATTGCCACATGAAACCAAGTTCAGAATATACATTCACATCTCTCAATCGATTTTTATAAGCCATGGCAAATTCATGCTCTTCTGTTTCTAATCAGTTAAGCCATACTTTGGTTTTCGATGATCTAAAAAAAGGTTTCAAAATAATGATTTGCTTGTCAGAGTCATCCACTTTTGGGAGGCACGAAACGTTAGAAAAGGCGGATTACTCATGGGTGTAGAACTCCTTCTCATGGATCAGAAGGTACTTAATCAAAGGATTTTAAAGAAAAAAATTGAACCTGAAGGCTAAGGACGTTTGATCTCTGTAAAAACAAGAAAACCAAACAAAAAGGGGTAAAGTCAATGAGAAGAGATTTCAAATATTATTAAAAACGACCAGTGAAAGGAGAAAACGCTCTAAAACTCGACAGCTATAAGTCTCAGGAACTTGCCAAAGCAATTGCCACCACCTAGAGTTATACATTTATCACCAATTCGCATCCGGACAATTAGATTACAAACAAAATACACCATTTGGACATCAGCAAAAAAAGATTGAAAATACGGAAAATCATAACCTTCATCGAAGCCATTAGCTGAGAATCAGGAGAAGAAAGAAGCATCGAAACTCAGGGAAGGGGATGATGAGATGCCAAGAACAGTGATTTCGATGACTTTAAAACGAAGTCGTTGACTTTAAAACGAAGTCGTTGACTAAAGCCATTGAAGAAAAGTTGTGCTCCATATGAACTGAAAACAAAACCAACGAGATATTTCAAATATCAAATTGATAGCTAAACCGAACCGAAACAAACATAGACTGATTAAACATCAACAAAACTAGCAAACACCGAGAAAACCCAAAATTTAACTCGGTGACGTTATCGAAAATCATTTGACCAAAAAATCAAACCATCAATCGGCGATAAAGGGGAAATTCGAGATTGGTACCTAAGTTAATTGAGAAATTCAGAGCGAGAGTCGAAGGAGATCGAAAAGAAGAAGAAGCGTGAGCTCTCCCCTGGTAATAACAAGATTAGCAACAAAGAAGAGGGATCTAGATGATGAGATGGTTCCGGTGGGAATAAGGAAGAAGAAATATTGTTCGATTGTGGTCGGCAAATGAAAGAAAAAGAAACGAAGCATTTCTAATTTCTATGAGATAGGAAAATCGAACCGTAACAAACCAAAAGAATTTAACCGGGAATTGGAAAAACAATTAAAAGATGATGACCACGGGAAGAAGAAGAAGCCATATGATATGGAAAAAGTGGGAATACATTTAACACGATTATATCATATGAAACAATTAAAAAAAAATTATTTTTTACTCCTGATCTTTCTGATTCCTTTCTTCCCGTCCTTAATGATCTGTAAAATACATTTATATTTTATTTTATTTTCTAGATATAAGACTTTTAAATACAAAAACAGTGATTTAAAAATAAAGAGATGAATTTATTGAATGGAATTAAATGCAACATAATTAAAATTACAAAAAAAATTAAGTATAAATCATAAATTCATAGCTGGAAAAGCTAAACAAATAAATAAAATTAAAAAATAAATTAAGAACTAAAATATGTATTAGACTAATATTGGATAAGTTTGCCAGATAACCTTTATTGGATATAAAAAAAATTGTCTAATGAATAGTAAAATTAAGGGATTAGTTTAAGAAATTTGAGGATTGGGCTGTTGTATGTTTTTATGACAAAAAAGATTTTTAAAAGGTATCTTACTTATTATGACTACTTATAAAAATAATTAAATTGGTTAGGTAAAAAAAATTAAAAGTATATTACAAAAAAAGTTTATTAAAAAAAATTATAAACAAAAATTGAAAAATAGTGAAGCATTTTAAAAACCTTTTTTTAATAAATGAAACTATTATTTTCATCTCTTATCAAAGAAACAAAAAAAATTGATGACTCGAACTTGATATACAAATATTCTTAATTGAATCATACATTTTCTTAATATTATTGAATAAAATTAAAATAAAGAGGACATAAGATTTATTTACAAATATTAAAACGGAACCCGCGCGTGCGCGGGTAAAACACCTAGTAAAAGAAAAAATGTTACATCCATTAAGAAAAGGAGAAAAAACATATTCTCATTAAGAAAAGGAAACAAAAAAAATAATATATAATAAGTTATACCTTTCATGATTTAATTTATATATGTGATTTTATCTTTTGTTTAAAATTTCTATTTTATTACAAAATAAAAACTCATGTACTTTTTAAGTTCAAGATATTAATGAAGAATATTTAACTTTAGATAAGTTGGATAGAAATTGAAATTTTTGTCACAAAATGTTTCTAATATATGATCATGTGATACATGTGTTAACAAAAGAAAATTAGAAAAAAGTAATAAGATAAATTAAAAAACTAACAAAATAATTTTAAAATAACTAACTAATCATGAATAAGAAAATTAATAATGGTCCGAGGCAAAATAAAATGAACAAAAAAATATGATAAATTGAAAATTAACAAAATAATAACATTAAAAATATATCTGATTGACCGATATTCTAATTCTAAATAGATTAATTTTCTATTTTCTGGTAGGTAAAATAATATTATGAAAAAGATTTCATCAATCGAAATCTTTTAAATAGAATAATCAATTATAATTAAATATTATAATTATAATAATCAAAATAATATTTTGAATATTATTCTACTTACTTATTATTTTTCCTATGATTTATTTCAATTATATTAAAATAAACCCGCGTATACGCGAGGCCTAATCAAGCGGGAAATAAAGGCTTCGAATGGAGACACAGATCAAAAAATGCAGATCAAACAGTAAATCCAGATCAAACAGATCATATACAGATCATGATCTGCATACAGAACAAATACATATCAAACAGATTAAATAATAATAAAATATTATATTTTATTGAGCAATGAAAAAAATAAAGAAAAATTTCAATATATAAACAAGAAATTTAAAAAATAAAACATTATATAAAATTTAAATTCGATTACAACAGACCAAAAATTGTTTTCAAAAATTAACGTGAAATGTTTTTGTTTGCCCATAATGTACTTGCAATGTGTTCCCTAATGTTAACCATAAAATTCCCTTCTTCTATTTCCATTTCTGCCATCTCACTTGGTTCTACCAGAGAACTTGTGTTGCCAATCTCTATATCTCTTCTTACATCAGCAAAGTCTTCATCTGAAAAATTAGAAATTCTAATAAAATTATGTAGTCCCATTGTCGCCATTACCACTCTTTTTTGAACTTTCATATCATATCTAGGAAATTCACAAAGAATCCTCCACTTCTTCTTCCATACCCCAAAAGTCCTTTCAATAACAGAACGTAAAGATGCATGATATCGATTAAACAACTCTTGCTTGTTTCTAGGAGGAGGACCATTTTCAAATTGTGACATATGATACCGAACAACCACATTCCTTGAAGATCTAAAGGGAGCCAAAAAACCTTGTTTGTTTGGATAGCCAGAATCGACTAGATAATACTTGTCTGGTGGAGGTAAAGGAAAATCAGGATCCCTTTCTTGCGCCATTGTGAGAACTGCTGTATCGTGACATGAGCCAGGTGCTCCATTCCAAACATATGTGAATAACATATTGAGATCACATATCGCCATTATATTAAATGAAGTTATATTGTGCCGGTCCCAATACATTCCTTGAACTTCAGGCTTCACTTTAACGCAAACATGAACTCCATCCATAGCACCAACAAATCCACTAAAATATGGCCAATACGTTGGATCCATTACTAGTCGTTCAGGAATTTGTCGTAGTTCTTGGGTTGTTGGAGTCCTGATATAATCACAAGCAAGTAACTCAGTCGCTTTAAGCACTTCAAAAAATTTTCGATTCACAGTCTCTTGCGTCCGTCCAAATCGTAATCCAACATCTCTTTGAACTTCGTTATGCCCACATATTCGTAGAAACATGGCCACACTCTCTTCAATGCCTACATTCAATGTTGGTTGTAAACCATAACTCGTTTGCAGTTTATCGCACAATGTCCTGAATGCACCAATTGACATCCGCAATAACTGAAGACAAGCGGCATCATCTTCTTGTAACCGACACCAAATATTTCTCCATCCCAGACCGCAACCAGTTTGAATCGGTCCTCTTTCAAAATATTGATTGTAGTAACTTATTGATGGCTGGATTATTAATTCTTCAAATTGCTCATTTTCCAAATTCCACAACTCAATTCTCTCCTCGTAGTTTAGATTTTGGAGACCATGTGATCGTAACTGACATATACGAAAAGCCTGAAAATATGTAGGCATGAAAAAATCGTAAATCAAACTGATTAAAAAAAAATCAAAAAATAAACAATACTTATTCAATATTATAAAACATAACAAAAAATCATAATAAGTAGTTAATAATGTAACCAAGATAAATCATAAATCAAATTGACAGAAAAATACAATGTTCGAAAATACATAAAACATAGCCAATATTATTAAAACATAACATAACTGCGAATAACAAATTACAAGTGGTACTGAACTAATCTTCAGTTCTTGAATAACTTTGATGGATTTGATTTAAATTTAGCCCTTGTTTATTTTCCCAAATATTGAATAATCCTCCAGTCCTACGTGATCTTGTTCTTGCTATTTCTGGTTCTGAAGAATAATTTGTGAAACCGAATTCAGGTGATACCCCCCTCTGAACATTTTCTGAAGTACGAACCTCTGATTCACGTGCAACTTCTACTTGACCAATCGTTGAAAATCCACGCTGAACATTTGTTGGAGGGTTCTGTTGCTGAGTATTTGGAGGAGTACCCCATTGTGGAACACTTGATGATGAACCCCATTGGTGAGCGTTTGGAGGAGTGCCCCATTGGTGAGCGGTTGGAGGAGTGCCCCATTGCTGAGTGGTTGGAGGAGTGCCCCATTGTTGAGCGTTAGGAGGAGGGCCCCACTGCTGAGCGTTTGGAGGAGTGCCCCAATGCTGAACATTTGGAGTGTGCCCCATTGTTGATAACCATGATTCCATTGTCCAGAAGATGGACTACCAGAAGTAAAACCACCAAAATTTGGGCTCCCGTAAGTCTGATTTGGGACCAGCCGTTTTCCAACATATTCGCCGTCTGGTGTATATCCTGTTAAAGCTTGCAAAAATTGTAGCTTATCATCGTCAGAATATTCGGCTCTATCAATGAAATACTTACGCCAAAATCTTTCATCCTTAAATGCTTGGATGCATGCCCAATAAAATCCAGTATTCTTTTGAACTTCCATTGCTTCAAATATCTTGATAGCCATCTCGCATTCATCATAATCTTCTTGATCAAAAGAATTTGGGCGCATTTGTTGTAAGCTTTGACGTTGAAACTCTCTAAAACCAGCCATTGTATCTGTTAGAGTTGCCTGAAATGATTGCTTTTTTCCGACCTCCTCGTGAACCATTCCTCGATGAGACTTGTGAGCTTCCAACAACTCTGTTGGTAGAGTTTTCACGTCTTATTCTTCCTTGTTGTGAAACTCTGCCAGCCTGATTCTGGAACATATTAACCGGGGCAGTACTTTGACGCATGGATTCACGAGGAAACTCATTTGAATGACGTGTTTGATCATCAATGTCGACACCATACCCCTGTTCATTTTCTTGTGTCTGTGGAACTTGTGTGCCTTGGATATCGTCACCATATATTTCCGAATTTAAATAACCTTCATCGTCAGCAAAATCCTCGTTCATCATCTCTTCTCTTCTTTGACTCACAGAGTATTGTGATTGTGTATGGACATCATACAATCTAAAACAACGCTGCATAATATCCCAAAACTCTGGAGGGTTTCTGTGAAATGCTTTTATAACTTTACATACCTGTCAATAAAGTTATATAGTTTTTAGTTAATATATTTTTGATATTTGTAAAGTTATTTAATAAATTTTGAGTGTAAGAAAATTATAAGTACTTACTTCACGATCTTTCCACCATGAGTCTGATGCTGTTATCACGGATGTGACAGGATCAACCGAGATTCCCGTAGAATTTTGTATAAGACCCAAATATTTCTTGTACTTTCTTTTCATATGATCAAGTTTTTTTCTGAAAAACTTGTAATCTATATTAAGACCGAACTCCTCGTTGAACTTTTCAACTATAAACTCTTTACCAACAGGTGCAGGATCTTTTAAACGGTAATTGCTCATTGCAAGAGCTTCGTCATACAGCTCAATGAATTTTCTTTCTCGTCTATGAGTCCAAAGAATATCATCTTCATTCTAAAAAATTTAAAATTCATAACTATATTACTCCCTAAAACTCCAACTAAACTAGAAAATTTCAAATATATAAAAGTAAGAAACTTACTCGTAATGATGTTTCAGTAGGAGGAATAGTATCTGGTTGTGCAGAAACGTTTCTGTTTTGTCTACGATTTGACGCCATATCTAAAAAGAGATATAAATTATATAAATTTTAAAAATAATAAACAAATCTGTTTTCATATTATATCATGATTTAGTGGTCATTACTTGCAAATTATACATAAACTTTTAATTATATTATAGTAATTTTTTTATGTTGCATAATAATATATTATTTTTAGTTAGACATTATTGATATAATAATTCAAATTACGGTTTCCAAATAATAGGAGCAGTAATTATTATTGTGATTTAATTTTAATTTATTATAAACTTTTAGTTATATTCAAAAACTTAATAACTTTTTTCATTTACATACTTATAAAAAAGGAAATCTATGTTACTTATCAAAATTTGGATTTTTTTTGTAAACCCAATCTTGACTAGAAAGAAAAAGAAAAGTTATTTAAATTATTTAGTTTTATTAATAGTTATTCTAGTGTGATGATATATAACAAATTATATATTTTAATGTTTAAACATATACCATGTGAAATAAATTATGTTTTCTTCTTATATATCATTCTATTATATTTTCTAATTTAGTTTATACAAAATCTTCTAATATTATTGTTCTACTTTCCAAAAATATTAAATACTGCAATTAATCATGAAACTACTAAAAAGGTTAAAATGATAAAATAAAAAAAGGCACCACCTTTTGAACCTCAAATTTATTTATTTTAACAAGTAAAGATTTCATATTTCTTTTATAAAAATTACTAATTTAGAAAATCTGTGGTATATTACTCATTATAAGAAAAATTAATGTTGTTCTCAAATATCTTGCTATATGCAAAAAAAAATGGAAAGAAAAGCATACCTTTGATTTGAGAATATTTTTGGTGGATATAATTGTGAGCTCCGAAATTACCTGAAAAATCATATAAAACAAAAAAATATCAAATAAAAGATGAGTATAATGCATGTCTATGTATTTCGTCCAAAAAACAAATAATGCATGTCTATGTATATGTTTAGAACAAATGAAATTCACATGATAGAAATATTTATTTGTTATAAATATTGATAGCTAAAATACATATTATAAAATAACATACATGAATTTATTATACTAAAAATGTATGGTTCTATATTAATCTAAATAATATTTTTTACATTTTCTTTTATATAACAAACATACTAGATAATTTTTTATAAATGTACAATAAACATATATAGTTTCCTCTATGTAAGAATTTTGTTATATAAGAGAATCAATATAAAATGTATTAATATCTCACTAAACAAAAAAAACTTATCTTCAACTAAAATTGTTACAGAAAAAAAAGAAGAGATAGTACATAATACCTTTGACAGAATTTGTAGATTTTCGTTTTTCTAAGTGAATAGTGAAAAAAAAATATTTTAGGTGGATTTGGTAAGAAAAATGAGAGATGAAAAAAATACACAAGAAAAACTTAGTTTATTTCTTAAAAGTGTGAGAGAATTTATAAATTTTCGTTTTTTGAAAGTGAATAATGAGTGAAATGAATTTTGGGTTGATTTATAAGGAAAAGAATGAGAGATAAAAGAAAAACAAGAAAAAGAAAAAAGAAAAAAAATGTCTGTTTCTTTACATGCATTGGTGAGCTGCATCTTGAAGACCACTTTTTGGCTACTTCAATGCAGAGCTTGTCATTTTCGTAGTCTCTCTCCTGCATGCAGTTGATAGGCTTTTGCTCTGTTTTTTTATTAATTTGTATTAAAAAGATGAATGGGGCAAAATTGCAGATGGGCCTGCATTGGATACGGGCTGCAATTAATCTGTAAATGTTTCATAAGTCCATTCATCCAAAAGCTAAAATCTATGGGCCAAAAGATAATGGACTTATTTAATACAGAGGCCCATAGCTTCCGATGCCTTTGAAGACATAGTTTGATGAAGATCGCCTCTTCCTCGTATAGAAGGCGCAAGCTCTCCGTTAGATGAATTTGCACAGTCCATGTATTAGCGTCGTCTTTGAATTTTGTATTTGTTGTTTCCATCTCACCCATATTCAAACATCGCAAAACAAAAGTAAATATGGAACAAGATTGGACGTGGACGATATATATTTTTAACGAGATGACTAAAAATGCTAGTAGGGATGCGATACCAAAAAGAAGGTATTATCTCTCTATAAGAGCTAGAAGCATTGATTGTAGGCTTTTGCCAAGAACATGAAATTTGAGACAAATTAGTCAGAAAGAAATATAGTAAAATGTCTCTATTTTTTTTTCTGAACAAAGACTTCTACTTTCTGATGAGTTAGATTCACAGTTTTTTCTAGTTTGGAACCAGTCCACGACTAATTTTTGGACGTAAATTATTCCGTCTTTCAAGCAAATAAAACTAAGAAATATTTTTTTTTATTTTTGAATGATGGAGTTTATTTCCATTAACACTTTTTAGAAGTAAATGGAATGGAAGCAAACACTTTTTTAGTTTGTTGCATTTTCTAGGGTCTAACTGGTACGTCACATGAATAGTAGAATAACAGAAAAACTGTTAAGTGGGATACATCGAACTGTATCCAATTTGCATCAAAAAATTATAAAACACTACTAAAACCCTAATTTTGATAAATTAATTACATTTTGTTTTTCTTTTCTAGTTATATATTTTACACGCTACTTACATATAGCAGAATCACTTTTTGAAGACGTGATGAAAACATAAAAAAAAAATTGATAAATGGTGTGAATGAAAACATAGAGGAATCATATTTTCAAAATGTTAAAACGTAAATAACTATGTAACACTCAATATTTTTCAACGATTCTATAAACCCAGTTTTGAGGGTTTTTCTATATATATATATATATATATTTTTTTTAAGACTCAACAGTTAATAATCAATCAAAATATATATTTAATTTAATTGTGAGATGAATTTCTTCTTTTTGTGTTTTGTGATTCCGTAAAATATTGATATTCTATGCTAAAAGTTTAGTCACAAGGAATTGAAGTGATCTTACACTTAGTTATACCCGAAAAACTAACATTATCCAATTCTTCCAATTTTGTCTACCTAATAGTAAGCATGGTCGGCCCACTAATAAATTAACAGCAACACTTTTCAAATCATGTTTACATTACTAAATGAAGGTATTACACCACCGACAAAAACAAAAACGAAGCTGTTAAACTACCTTGATGAATAGTGAATACATTTCATACATATATCCAATTAAAAATAATATTTTACAGTTTCGAGTTTGATACGAATTCTTAGAAAAAAACAGCTCATATTTTTAATCTTCTCAAAATAAATTTTCAGTCCAAACTAACCCCTAAATTCTAAACCATAATATCTAACATATATTGGAAAAAAAATCTAACAAATATTGGAAAAAAAATCGGAAAATTAATCTTAAATCTGAAAATTTAACAGAAAAGAAAACTTTGACACCATAAACTCTAAAATCATGGACATTTATTTTCTGAAATTTATATTATGTAACCGAATATACACAGTCATATTTATAAATAAAAGAAAAAGTTTTACATTTTGAAAGGTAAACCTTTTGAAACTTTGAGTCATACAATTAAAAATTATATCTCTAACGTAAACAAATTGACCAAAATAGTGGTCGGTCAGTCAATGTTAGGACAAACCAACCCAAGAAATTAAACACGGTAAAATGCAGACCAAACGGTTACTGGGTCCCATAGACTTTTCTCACGACACGTGACATTATTACCGTCCAGTACGACTAAAGTAGACACGTGTCATCCCATTATCCAATCAGAAAATACCACACGATAACAGTTGTGGTATCTGAAGTGGAACCAGTGACAAGTGACAGATCAACTACCACGCGATCCATTAAAAACATGGATGAGTCGAAAAGTCTAGATGCAAACACGTGTCACTATGTTGCAACGTGGCAGCACTGGATTAAGTGGGTCCCAGTTTGTCCAAATTTAATTCGAACGAAGCTTCGCTCTCTATCTAAAGCCGTTGGATATCACAATCTTGCTTTATAGCCGTTAGATCAAAATCACGTAGAGTAGTAGTCGGTCCTATTGTATTATCCGAAGTAATTAGTACCTAATCTAATCTTTAATTAATTAACAAAAATCACTGACAAAATCCTATATAAATTCTCCCACTCAACGATCACTCAAATCACTCATATACACAACTCACAAAAACAAAACACAAAACACAAAAAGTTTTTGGATTTTTCATTTTCTAAACACAAGATGGCATCTGAGATCAACAACAAGCTCACCGGACCGGTCGTTAACGGTAGAGAAAAGAGGGCTTACGTGACTTTCCTAGCCGGAAACGGAGACTTCGTGAAAGGTGTGGTGGGTCTTGCGAAAGGGCTAAGGAAAACTAAGAGCAAGTATCCACTTGTGGTGGCCGTATTGCCGGATGTTCCAGAGGATCACCGGAAACAGCTGGTGGAGCAAGGATGTGTGGTTAAAGAGATCGAGCCGGTTAATCCACCCGAGAATCAGACCGAATTTGCCATGGCTTATTACGTTATCAACTACTCCAAGCTTCGTATCTGGAAGGTATGCATACAATTTCAGTATGTATATATTTTGTGAAATAAAAAAAGTAAATATAGCGAGACTTAAAACTAAAACTCTACTATCTCTATCAATAGTATACTAGTAAGTATAACAGTTAAGAAAGAACAAAAAGTCAATTGTTTTTTAGAAAGCTTAAATACACGATGTTGAATATTTTGAAGTTTTAAAGGTTTTTTTTTCAGGTTTTTTTTTTCTTTCTCACGAAGTTTAGGCTTTATTTTTAGTTTAAATTGTTATTTAAAAAAATGGATCATTTTGTTATAAAATATGTCAGATGAGTTGAAATTCTTCAAGATATAGGCATGCAAAACTATATAATATGAAAAATACGTGGATGCAGTTTGTGGAGTACAGCAAGATGATATACTTGGACGGAGACATACAAGTATTCGACAACATAGACCACTTGTTTGATCTCCCAGACGGCTACTTCTACGCAGTCAAGGACTGTTTCTGCGAGAAGACATGGAGCCACACGCCACAGTACAAGATCCGTTATTGCCAACAGTGTCCAGACAAGGTGACTTGGCCAGAGTCAGAGCTTGGACCTAAGCCACCTTTGTACTTCAACGCCGGCATGTTCGTCTACGAGCCTAACCTCTCCACTTGTCATAATCTCTTGGAGACTCTCAAAGTCGTTCCTCCAACCCCTTTTGCTGAACAGGTAAATAAAAGAATAAAAGAAAAAGTGAATAGAAGAATATATTAATACATTATTATATTCAATTCCAACATATTATATAATTGTAAATGTTTTTGGTTACAGGATTTCTTGAATATGTACTTCAAGGACATATACAAGCCAATACCAGGAGTTTATAATTTGATTACGGCTATGCTTTGGAGGCATCCAGAAAATATAGAGCTTGACAATGTTAAAGTTGTTCATTATTGTGCTGCTGGTTCTAAGCCTTGGAGGTAATATTTATCATATTAGTATATTACCACTTACTTCCATGTTTTAGATAATGTTATATGACGAAGAAAATAGAAGTAGATTTATGAAAAAAAAATGAAAAGAAAATGAGATGACATGATTATATTGGTTGAGTTTGAATTTCTTTTTCCTCATGATCTTTAGTTTTGTAGTAAAAACATGCCATCTATCTCATTTCTTAGTTGGCTCAATTTGTTGAATTGAATTATCTGTAAGTTATTTGTTGTATTTGTATAGATTCACTGGAGAAGAAGTGAATATGGATAGAGAAGACATCAAGATGTTGGTCAAGAAATGGTGGGACATTTACAACGACGAGTCTCTTGATTACAAGAACTTTGTCGGAGATGGCCCCAAGAAGCAAGACACATTTCAGCAGTTTGTCGAAGCTTTGTCCGAGGCCGGTGTGCTTCAGCACGTCAAAGCTCCATCTGCAGCTTAGACATCATAAATCTTGGTTGCTAAGCGCCTTCTTATGATAGGACTATAAATATATGAGTTTGTGTATACTATTTTCTTTTTATTGGTTTTGGAGGAGTTTTAAAAGTGTCAAAATCTGCTTTTACTTGCGGTATTTTAGCTTGTTGAGAAGGAACAATGTTTCCTACTATATTGTAAAATATATACCTACTATACATGAAAATACAATATCTACTGTGATATCTTGCACCGATAAGATCCCTAGAACTATGAACTAGAAACACTACTAAGATCCCTAGAACTATGAACTAGAATCACTAATGTAACTCCTAAATTTGTGATAATCTTTTATTTAGGTTTTGATATAAAAAATGCTGAAGCTTTGGTTCCTCGCGAAATCGAAATCAAGAACTAAAATCACAATTCCTACAATTCCTAGCGTTGACACTACAACGGACACGGCATTTGGCGACGGTCTTATAGAGTTTGGCGACGGTTATAAACTGACGTTAAAAAGTTGACGTCGGTTTCAAAACCGTCGTCACATCGTGTGACGTTAAAATCTTCACCGACGGTTTGAGAAATGACGCATTCGTCACAAATTTCGCGTCGGTTTAATTAATTTTTAGCGTCGGTTTAGAAGCAAATCTCGCGTCGGTTTTGTAAGTGATCCAAATCAATTTCCACGCCGGTTTATTTCAATTTAGCTCAGGTTTTGTAAGTGATCTAATAGCAACAGAAAATTCTCGACGGTTTACACAACCAAACCGAAAAATCAGTTCAGTAATCCATACAAAAATTCATTTCATTCATATAAAAATTTCCAATACAAATATCACTCAAACTCAAATCATATATGAAAAATACAAAATGTCACTATTATATCTACTGTTTTTCATAATATCTCTTTGTATACTCCTTTTCAAAGATTTCAAACTGCTATTTCATCACCTTACCTGAAATCAGATGCCAAATTCGAAATATACAATCAATTTACAAAATCAAATACTTTTGATGATCATCACAAGGAAAGAAAAACCATACCTTAGCTCTTGGTGTGGTCTGAACAACTGGAGATAAATCTTTGTGTAAATCTTGGTGTTTCCTCTGTTTTTGAAAGCAAACATATTTTCATTCTGAAGAAGCTTCTTAAGTAATGTGAATAGCAACTTAAAAGAAACTCAAAGCATTATGAATTAATTACCTTCTTTGTTGCATTGTGAATGTTACCGATTATGTTTTCATCTGTTCCACTTGTTTCATTCACCTGTAGAAAAGTAAACTCCGAAATGAAAGTCATATTGAGTTTAAACACTAAACTAAGGACATCCTAAAGCTATGTTCTGATCTAAAACACTAACCATCAAGCCAAGACTAACCACAGCCTAAAACTATCCATAACCATTAGAATCCAGAATTGGTTGCATTACATACCTGGAATTGGTTGCATGTCAAAGCTTTATGAAGAGCACTAGCAATAATATCAACTTTATCTGCTTCAAAGGATCTATATCCATGCTTGGAGAAGAACTACCATGTGGTATCTCATTCGGAGGATCCATTTATGGCTCTGTATCCATGCTCTATCTGTATCCATACTTGGAAAAACCTCAGCAAGTAAATTCATGGTTGACCTATCAAGCAGATCCCATTTAATTAGATGAACAAAGCAAACTCATGATTGAAAGCAAACTATAAGCGTAACTAAATGTATGTTTAAGCAGAAACATAACCATCTAAACAAATCACAAGAGAGCACAAGAGAGCGTAACTATAGCTATAATTGAATAACCATCATTCTTCATTAACAAAAGTCATGAGTTTGATAAAAAAAGAGCAACCTCATAATTAAATATCATTCACAGAACAAAGCACAAGAGAGCGTAACTATAGCTATAATTATCAGAGTTTATATCATTCAAGCACAAGCAAAAGCAAAAAGCACATGAATCAAAGTTAAGAAGAAAAGAGCCTAGCTTAAGCAAAAGCACATGAATCAAAATTTCTAGCTAATGAAAAAATAGAAGACATAACTATACGTTCAATCACAAGCATGTTTTCATATTCAAATCAAATTCAAGCTAGTGAACAATATTTACCTGGTAAATGAGTTGGAAATTTTAGCTTTGAAGCAACACGTTTGTAGGTGACGATGGTAGCCAGGAACAATCACCTTCACACGCTTCTGTATAAACCTTTGATACCGAGAAATTCAGGTGTTAAGAATCAAAAATTTGTACAAACTTCGATACAGAATAAAAAACAGAGCAAATAGCTGGAAAAAAATCTACGAACCTCGATGGAGAATGGGTTATGGATTTCTGTAAATCAATGCTGTATCTCTTCTTGTGGCTTCGAATTGGAGTCGGAATGAAGAAGATAAGAAGAAATTTGTGTCAATCGAAGAATCTGTGAGCTCAATCTCTCATGCTTTGAGCTCAATCGAAGATGAGGACGAAGAAATAGCGTGACGTGAAAATGAATTAGGGAAAGTAAAGCTTTAGATCTCAATTAAAATATCACATGGGCAAACATGATTTTACACATGACACTTTGTTTTAACGTTATTAGCTAACGTCGGTTAAATAAGTGATGCTAATCTCCTTTTTTTAAAAAAATTTCACGTCGGTTTTGAAAGTGTCACTAATAAAGTGACGTTATTTGTTGTATTTGTTGTAGTGTGAGACTGCCCACCATAAATTATACAACACGACATTTTTGTTATCCAGCTCTCTGCTTCTATTACAAAAACGTGTTGGGACAACTTGAATAGGCATTTGTCAAAAAATAGCATTCTCTAAGACAACAGACAATATTAGATCCGTGTATCAAACGTGTTGGTATGCTAATTGATAATTTTTTCTTTCATGTTCTCCCAAATAAACAATAACAGTTGCCACAGTCATTGCCTTCTCTAAGACTCTGTTTGGGTAAAATTTAACCGGTTCGCAAGTACAATAAACGGAATGACGCAGGAGAAGATATCTTATTAATCAATTGAATATCGAGCTACAACAAGTCAATATCAAAGATTAAACTAAGAGAATCTCGTCTGTCGCTCGTCGTAGATCGTAGTTCGTCGTATCTAGGTTGTTCGTCGCTTGCTCGTCGAGAGGCGAAGAACAAGTAGCTATTAGGGTTTTTGTGTGTTTTTCTGAATGTCCCCTTGTCCTTGTTATGGGACCTCTTATTTATAGGTGCTTGTCGATCCTAATCCTTGTTGAGTTGGGCTTTGACGTCGGTCGTAATATTCCATTTCCTTGTCGGTCGTCATTCCTAATTTCCTTTTAATTAGGATTACGTCGGTTCTATAATTCCAATAGATTTAGGAAATTACATAAAACCATCGGTCATTGCTAAACCATTAATGAATATCGTCGGTCGTACCTCGTCATGTCGATGCTAAGGCCTTTTAGACACTAAGAAGTAAGATCGACCGGTGGTCACATGGTCGTCAGTCGATCATATCTCCAGCTTGTAATAGAGTTTAAGGAGCGACCGGCTAGTGAATTTATTTCACCCAACAACTTGCCCCCTACTCTTCAATTTCTTGTTTAGAATTTGTAGAGTAATACTTCATTTTCATATCGTCGGTCGGTCGCTTGCTCATGTCACTTGTGTGACTGTTGTTCGTTTACTAACGTCGATGTACAAAAAGCATATATGTCTAATGGCATTGTCCCTTTTAACATATTATCTATGCACATACAATGGAGCAACATAATATATAATTTAAATAAAAGATCCCAAAGACATACCTTTTCTTCGTTCGTCGTGATCATGTGGAAATAACTAAGCAAAATAAGAGGGACGTACTTATTTTAATATCCATGTGGGATTGATTAAGAATGGAGATGGACAAGCTTCTTTCTCCAATGACCAATGACAAAGTTTTATTCTTGAAGCATGTACGTCCTTCCCTTTTTTTCCATGTGGGTCCCAAAGAAGTTGTACTTGACCACTCATGTAGCTTTATTAAAATTGAGGAACGACGTACATTAATTATGTAGTTGTGTTGTTTGTTTATGTAGAGAGTGACCAGCGACAAACATGTTTAGTCGTGCCTCTTCCTTTTTTCTCTTAATCGTCGAGCTTCATTCTCTCCAATCTTAAGTAAAACGTATTTTTTCAAATCGTCAGTCGTTGCTCGTCAATGCTGTTTCGGACCTTGCTCCCTTTCTAATGTAGATGTTATTCATTCTTTTGTATGTCGCTCATTTGTCTTCTTTTGTCGTTCCCTCTCTCTTTATTTGGAGTTGTTTCCTTTTCCTTTGATGTCGCTTGTTAATAGATAATTAAAGAAGAGAATTCAAGAAGGAGAGACATACGTACTGTCGGTCGCTCAAATGATATCTTAAAAAAGGGACACATTTTCGTTTTATGTGCTTCCTTTCCTTTCCAACATAATTTATTTGATAGGAATAAAAAGGTTGTATGTCGAATCGTCGAATCTTGCTTTCTCAACGGATAAGCAGCTATTAGGCTGTGAGGGCTATACCCCTTAGTTTATTGTCATATTTTCACGAGGACGTACCTCTTGATTTTGTAGATGTTGTCACAGATTAAGGACGTACCTCTTCATTTGTTAGCTAATGATTTATGATCATAACATTTGGAGGTCGTGCCCCTTTGTTAATCAAAGAGTGATGTGACATCATAGTCTATTGGAGGTCGTACCTCTAACTTATTTGTTAGCGACTGTCGTCGCTATCTATTGAGTACGTACCTCTTTATTATATCATGACTTATCATGGTGAGGTCGTACCTCTTAATTTATTTAGTAGCGACTGTCGTCACTGTATATTGAGGACATGTCTCTCTATCTATTTGCTTATGACTTGTTGTAGCATGTGGAGGTCGTACCTCTAAATCAATTATTAGCGACTGTCATCGCTCTTACTATATATTGAGTACATGACTCTTTATGACTTGTCGTCATAACATGTGGAGGTCGTACCTCTAAATTAGTTATCAGCGACTGTCGTCGATGTCGATATACATTGAGTACATGACTCTTATCTTCCTAGTGACCATGGTCAATTTGCTCATGAGGCATTGCCTTTAGTTTTTTTTTTGAAGAAACGTCGATCGTCGTTGCTGCTCTATCATGAGGAGGCAATGCCTTTTTTTTTTTTTTACTGTCGTTTGTCATAAGCAGTGCAATGACTGTCGCTCGTCACTAGTTGTGGATACAACGTCGATATTAAAGCGAGTGACGAACATAATCTGAGAATTCTTAAATACTCATATGTAGAAAAACCTTTTATTAAGAAGTTCGTCCGTAGACATGCGCGAAGTAAAGAAAAACAATTGAAAGCAGAGACATCTCGTGGATCGTCTATGACTATGACAATAACGAAATAAATAAAACCAAAACACTGAAAGCCAAACTAACCTAGAAGAGGTAGGTTTCGAGGTTCGTTTCATCAAGATCTTTTTCCGTCAGTGGATCTCACAGAGTTGTTCCACCTCTGCTTCTTTGGTATGTGGAATCGACGATTGGATCTCTAGTTGATATAGCTCATGACCTTTCCCTTTTAGGGTAGTTTGGTAGCATGAACGTGCATGCTCTTGTTCTCCCTTGATCTCTTTGACTCCCCATGGAGTAGGAAATTTTATGGTTTGATGGAGTGTCGATGGCACTGCCCCCATGTCATGAATCCAGGGACGTCCCATAATTGCGTTGTACGCAGTAGCACAATCTAGTATCAGAAACTTTGTCTGTCGGTTAATTCCTCCTGCATACACAGGCAGCGTCACTTCTCCTATGGTCTGCTTTACTTCACCGCTAAATCCTACCAGTGGTGTGGATTTTCGCGTCAGTGCATTCTCATCCAGCCCTAATCCTTTGTAAGCATCCATGAAGAGAATGTTGGTCGAACTCCCATTATCAACGAGTGTCCTTTTCATCAGACTATTAGCGATTGTCAAAGATATGACTAATGCATCATGATGTGGAGCTAGGACACACTTATCTTCATCTGAAGCAAAGCTAATCGTGCACTTCGACAGTCGCTCGCATATAGCTTTGACATCTCCATGATGAGTTCTAGCTATTCTAGTACTCTTTTTAGCAGCAGAATGAGTAATTCCACTAACCTCTGATCCTCCCGATATCACGTTGATGATTCGATCATGCTCCGGAGATTGAGCAGGAGATGGTTTTCTTTGCACCTCGTCATTGCTTCTGTCGTCGATGCGACTCCTAGCCCTGTCGGACAAGTATCTCTCAAGTGACCTTTTTTTAGTAGCTCGTTTACTTCCATTCTCAACGTGATGCAATCTTCTGTTCTATGACCATGGTCAGAGTGAAAGTCGCACCACTTTGATGTGTCTCTTCGTTCCCCTGGTGCTTTCATCTTTTGAGGCCATCTTACTCCAGATATATGATTAAGAACATTGACTAGTTCTGCAGGAGATATTGCGAGGTTACTCATGTCTGGCCATGTGGATGATGAGCGTTGGTCGCTCTCAATTTGGTTGAGTGGTCGATGGTCGCTTCTGCTGTCGCTTCTCTTGCTAGTGCTTTCACTGCGTGGTCTCTGGTACGGTCTGTCATCTCGAGAGGGACGCTCGTTCCTAACAACGCGCGAATCAGATCGTGGGGAAAGTAGGTGTCGATATGCAGGGTCTTCCTCCCACCTTATTTGAGCCCATGCTCTAGATAGCACATCTTCCATCGTTCTGCACTGGTACTTCGTCAGTTCCTTGTACAAATCACTGTCTGGGAGCAATCCTCTTTTGAATGCAGAGATGGCAGTGGACGTGACACATGCCGGAATGGATACTTTCTCTTTGTTGAAGCGACCTACGTAATCGCGCAACGGTTCTCCTCTCTTCTGTATCACTTCATAGAGATCGTCGGCTGTCCTTTCTATGTTCCTGCTGCTCGCGAATTGCTCAACAAAGCGGTCTGTCAATGACGCGAACGAGTCGATTGACGCGTTCGGTAGGTTCGTAAACCACTGAAGAGCTGGTCCCGTGAGGCTAGATCCAAATCCTTTACACATACTAGCTTCGCGATATTCTTTTGCTATTGCCGTTGTGAACATGCGTTGCTTGTACTGGGCTATATGATTATCAGGGTCGGTCGTCCCGTCGTACATCTTCATTGAAGGGACGATGAACTTCTTTGGCATCTCAACCAAGCGATGGCATCCGTGAAGGGAGTGTCTGCATAGCAATTAGGAGCACTTTTGGTGATTGGAGGAGCTACTCCTGGAAGTCGCGCGAGCAAGAGCTCCATAGCCTCCAATCGCTTTGAGAACATAGTATGCGAGTCTTCAGATTGATGTTCCATCGTTGGTGCAAGGGGTGGAACCAATGTTTGGTTACCTTGCGCAGCGTCGGTAGCTCCTGCTCCTAGGGTTGCTCCTGTTGCACCCGTAAGTGGTGGAGTGTCGAACGATTGCATAGGAGGGAACCGGTCTCGATATCTATTGCGAGCCTGAGCCAATGACGCGTTTTCTGCTCGTAGGGTTGCGTTCTCCGCCTGGATTTGCGCAAGTCGTTCTTCGTTCTGCTTCATCTGAGCTGTGAGAGCCTCCAGCTGAGCAACGGTGACGGTCGGTGTTTCGGTCGGTGTGGTATCATCTCCCGCCGCCATGTCTCACGCAGTTAAAATTGCCCCTCCTTCTAGCGCCAAACTGTTTGGGCAAAATTTAACCGGTTCGCAAGTACAATAAACGGAATGACGCAGGAGAAGATATCTTATTAATCAATTGAATATCGAGCTACAACAAGTCAATATCAAAGATTAAACTAAGAGAATCTCGTCTGTCGCTCGTCGTAGATCGTAGTTCGTCGTATCTAGGTTGTTCGTCGCTTGCTCGTCGAGAGGCGAAGAACAAGTAGCTATTAGGGTTTTTGTGTGTTTTTCTGAATGTCCCCTTGTCCTTGTTATGGGACCTCTTATTTATAGGTGCTTGTCGATCCTAATCCTTGTTGAGTTGGGCTTTGACGTCGTCGTAATATTCCATTTCCTACGTCGGTCATTCCTAATTTCCTTTTAATTAGATTACGTCGGTCCTTTATACAACCAATAGATTTAGGAAATTGTACAAACCATCGGTCATTGCTAAACCATTAATTAACATCGTCGGTTACCTCGTTATCATGTCGATGCTAAGGCCTTTTAGAACTGAAGTAAGATCGACCGGTCGTCACATGGTCGTCAGTCGATCATATCTCCAGCTTATAATAGAGTTTAAGGAGCGACCGGCTAGTGAATTTATTTCACGCAACAGACTCTAACAAACACAAATTGAATATTCGAAGGAGTAAAAATAATCAATAATTGTCATGCCTTGTCACGAGTGACAAAAATCTATCTCGTAATTTAATTTCTTAATTTTCTCATCCAAAGATATGACTTAATTATAAAAAAAAAGTTGGTCAAATCATACCTTTTAATTTAAAACCGCCATATCTTGAGATCTCCATCTTGGCAAACGAAAACAAGTATCGACGAGTATCGTTCGTCCAAGAAATGTTAACCTAACAGGTCGTGTGAAGAAGATCCATTTTAATCCATGGGATATCTTCCTTATTGGAGATGTTAATCCATGGCTAACATCACTTCCATTTTAATCCATGGGGTATCTTCCTTATTGCAACACGAAAGAGAATATATTATTGAGTTGTGTCGTTGATACAAGAGCATATGATACATATATATAGTATTTAACATTAACATAATGATAACACGATCGGTCGCCCTAATTTTTTTCCTTCTCTCCCAAAGAGCGCCGCCAAAGAGTTTCAACCCTCGTCTTCCTTCCTCTCCGGCGGCCGGCGCTCCTCGCCACCACCGGGAGAGGATCTCCTCTGCTTCTGTTTCTTCTTTCCGGCAATCTCTCCGTTTTGTTCAGTTTTCATCGGAGGGGATTTTGGTTCGTCTCGAGCTCGTGTGGAGGTCCTCTTCTTCACGGTGTGGGGATCTGGTGTGGGGGTGGAGCGTGGCGCTTCGGCTCCTTCCTCCTGTGCTCTGATCTTTCCCCTCGGCGTTTCTCATGAAGAGATCTTCATCAGATCTGGTCGGCTGGCGTTTCATGGAGGCTTTGAGAACGAACTTCTCTCGCTGTCGGTCCAAGATGGTGGATCTCCTTTCTTCTGAGTCGTCGTCAAGGGTAGCGGCGGTGAATCGGAGAAGTGGCTCTTTCTGTCTTCTTTCTCGATTTCGTTCTTGATGGTGGTTGTTGCTGGGCGGTGGCTATCCTTGGTGTGGGGACCGGCGGATCTGTGCTCCTTTTAGACCTCCGGTGTGGCTCTCGGCAGCAGCTCCTGTTTCTGTTTTTGGCTTGTTTGCAGGTTTTAGAGTGGCTCAATTGCTTGATTGGAGAGGGCTTAGTTCAGCTCTTGGAGTGAACCGATGTTGAATAGAGGCGGCAGTTCAGCTTTCAGCCTCTATTGTGATCCTAGGGAGATGATTCTTGTAGTCTGCAAGAATGGCGGTCGGAGGCGGCTTCTCTGGCTGCTCGAAGAGGCTCCCGTGCCGCCGGATTAGAGTTTTGCATTGAAGCTGTTCTGTTTTTGTGTTAGTTCTTGGAGAAGCTGTAGGCGCTGCTAATTGCGAGGTTTTGAGGACGGCCTTGGGTGCAATGACTCGCGGCAACAATGATGAGGATTCAAGATCTTAGGATCTTTGGCAAAAGCACAAATTTCCAAGCTTACGGGTTTGGAATCGATGTTTCTCTTCGAGGATCTTTGAGTTAATTTGCGAACTGTGTCTATCTTGTCGGCTTTGTCCGTCTTTGTTTCTTGCTTTAACTTGCTTTTGTTTGTTTGTAGTTTTCGGTCTTTCTGCTTTCTTAGTTTCTCTGTAATTCTGTCGCAAATCAAAAATTTGGTAATAAATCTTAACATTAAAACCAAAAAAAAAAAACATAATGATAACACCAAATAATGTAAATCTTCCTAATCCTTATCACAATAGAATTTCTCTAGAATATTCTTCGGTTTGGTTTCACAGGCTTCACTTCATAAACAGGCTTCAATGCCCACAATACTTGGTTCGCCTTGTTCACCAAGATATCTCCAATATTCCTCCTTCGTCTTGGTTATGTTCAAAGAGGGCTTCTCTTTCCCAAACCAAATTCAAAGATTGAACTTGTCTCACGTTTGAAAACTTCTCTTTCTGTTGCTCTCGATCATTTTTATCCTTTTGCTGGTCAACTAGTCAAGGTAAAAAACGAGGACGACGACCATACTGTCTCTTTTTTTGTCAACTGCGACGGTGGTGGTCCCGGGGTCAAATTTGTTCACGCCAAGGCTGAAAAGATCTCTATCGGTGATGTCCTTCGATACGGTTCAGTCGAAAATGGGTTCTTGAGTTCCTTCTTCCCTGCTTACGGGATCAAGAATTATCAAGGTGTGTCAAACCCGTTACTTATGGTTCAAGTAACCGAGATGAAAGATGGATTTTTTATTGGTGTTAGTTATAATCACACCGTCGCTGACGATAGCTCAATATGGATGTTCATCAAGACATGGTCAAAGATTTGTTCAAAAGATTCAAGAATCGTCGGACGCCCTAATCTTCTTCTCAATGATTGGTTCTTTGATGGGATTGATTATCCGATCAATATTCCAGATCCTGAAATAGAAGCACCTAGTAGTGATGTTAGTTCAAGACCAACCGTTTTACAAGAAATTGCCTTTCATGTAACAAATGAGAATGTTTTGAGACTGAAAGCTAAAGCCAACGATGAAGCTGGATCTACTGATGTGAATATATCTTCTCTCCAAGCCGTGTTAGCACATATATGGGGTTCAACGGTTAGGCTTGAACCTTGAAGAAGAGACTCATTGCTGTGTACCCGCAAACATGAGGCATAGGCTCAATCCACCGCTCGGTGAAGAGTGTTTTGGGACTTTGAGCTCTGCAGGGATCGCTAAAACTACGGTCCGGGAGCTGCTAGACCATGGTCTAGGCTGGGCTGCTATGCTTATAAACACAACGGTAAGTTCACATACAAGTGAAAAAGTCAAAGCTTTTGCTAAGATTTGGGTGAAAAATGTTAAAACTCCGGTGAGTTTTGGCAGAAACACTCTTGTTGTCACTAGCTCACACCGGTTCGATGTGTGCAGCAACGATTTCGGCTGGGGTAAGCCAATCGCCGCAAGAGCTGGACCACCATATCTCAATGGGAGGCTCGTTCTTTTCCAAGGACTTGATGAAGGAAGTCTTGATCTACAAGCCTGTTTACCATTGGAAGTGGTTGTAAATCTATTGAAAGATGGTGATTTCTTGGAGTACGTGAACACTGCATGATGAATCAAGATGCTATATATCTCGTTTTCCTCATTTTCTTGTGAACCAGGTTATTTTTCAGGTCCTCAAGATTTCTCTAATGAAATTCCTAAAAATCATTTCTTTTTTGAATTACTAAGAGGTTTTAGGCCAAAGCAACTTGTATATCCCCAGGCCAGAAACCACATCATGTAATATTGATTCCGTCTCAAGTAACTCCATCACATGAACTCTAAGATTTGCCTAGGATCATTTTTCCAGTTGTGGTAAAGCCAGTGGGTAAAAAATAACTTTCTTGTTGCGTGAATAGATATTCAAGTTTTACTAAAAATTAGGCCTGCGATTTATAACCGAACCGATAATGCAGAACCGAACCGAACCGAGTTATGGTTAGTTCGGTTATGCTTTAGTTACAAGAAGAAAACCGATCGGTAAGATTATTAATTATGTTCGGTTATCGGTTAGTTCGGTTCGGTTCAAGCAAACCGAACTGTTAACCAACAAACACACAAAACCCTAAATCTAATATATGTGCCGCCGCTTCTTCACTTCTTCTTCTTCATTTTTTTCTTTTCTTCGATTCTTCTTCTTCCCTCTTCTTCGTCTCTTTCATCGATTCCTCTTTGTTTTATGCTTCTATTCCTTTCCTTTTCTTCTTCTTCTCCTCTTCCTCCTCGGTTCTCTTTTTCCTCTTAATCTGTAAAATTTTAAGAAGGCTGTGATTTGTCTATGGTGAGAGGTGTTTAGGTTACGTCGGAATTGGTTCTCCAATTATGTTGAGAATAGGCTAGGATGGGTTCTACAAAGTTTCCCTCTCATAACCTCCGGTGTTGAGTCAGTCATCAGATTTTGGGAACGTTCCCAAATCATTCTTCGTTCTCCGATTCTCCAGGTAAACCAAATTTTAATTAGAAACAGAAATTTTTGGTTAAAATTTAATTACAAAAGAAAAACTTTGGTTATCCGAAATAACCGACTACCGAACCGAACCGAACCGATAAAAATTTCGGTTAGTTTCGGTTAAACCGAAGTCGCAGGCCTACTAAAAATCATTAGCAATTGCAATGTATGTGAAATAATATTTTTTATAAAAACATACACATGAATACAACCAGACATAAAGAAACAAAACAACGACATCATGGCCACGTTTATTAGTGCCTTATTGATTACAACTACTAACTTCGGTTCACACTTTTTCATCAAGATTTGTATCGTGGACTAGATTCTCCAACATTTCTACAAATTTATCAGCACAATCATTCAATAATCCAGAACTAACAAATACCTCTCTCCATTTGTTGTGATTCCTCCTCACACGGTTCCCAAGCTCGCTGTCTTTGTCCATCACAGCCGCGATTGCATCACTCAAGTTTTATTTCGAAAACCATCCGTTTGTTCTCTCTCAACTTCTACGGAGACCTCAAGTTCATCAGTCAATAACCTGGTGTTAAGGACCTGATCATTAATATATGGAATCAGGACTATCTGGTAGTCACTTACCAGAGACTCCCACATTGACCCAAAACCACAGTGGCTCACAAAACATCCTACAGATGGATGAGACAATATCAAAGGGTTTTGCAAGCTCCTTAGACATTTCTGGAACCCAATAAGCAAAATCAAAGAAGATCAGGTCGGGTCTCAAGGCACAAATCGTAGCTTCGACCTCATTGCGTGTGAGATCCATGGTCAAGAGAACAAGAAACAGAGGACTTTACTGAATATTAAGCTTTGTATTCGATATCTTCAAGAGGATGTACAATGGTACTATATATAGTCTATACAAGAAGGATCTAAAGTTGTAATCTTATCACCAGCTGTCTAAAGCTCTAACCGTTAGCCATAGACGACAAGAATTCAAATCTATTGGAGCATCTTATCTCTTCCTTTTCTCTTGTAACGAACTCTGCAGGTTTTAGCATTTTTCTGAGCTTCCTTTGACTGGGCTTTCCTTTGACTGAGCTTAGACTTGGCTACAAGATGGGCTTCAGGACTTGGGCTCTCACTCACATTCCCCCTCAAACTTAGTGTAGGTGGCTCAGCTACACCAAGTTTGAAGCGCAAGTGAACAGCTTTTTCGGTAACGACTTCTTGAAGACATCTGCCAGTTGTTGTTCAGCCGGGACATGCTGAGTCTCTATCAATCCCAAGGCTACTTGTTCACGAACATAGTGATAGTCAGTGTCAAAGTGCTTTGTCCGGCTGTGCAGAGCAGGATTGGTACTCAGGTACACTGCGGAGAGGTTGTCACACTTTAACACCATCGCATGTTGTTGTTCAATGCCAAGATCTCTGAGTAGAAACGACAACCAAGTTAACTCTTGTGCTGTAGCCGTCAAGGACCTGTATTCGGCTTCAGTCGAGGATTTGGAAACAGTTTGCTGTCGCTTAGCTGACCAAGAAATCAGATTTGAGTCGAGCATTGTGCAGAAACCTGAGGTGGAACGTCTGGTATCTTTGCAGCCAGCATAGTCACTGTCACAGAACGCATGTAGTGTCAACTCTTTGTCCTTCTTGATATGCAAACCCAATGATATTGTGCCCTTTATATACTGCAGAATACGTTTCAAGAGACTAAAGTCTGAAACTGTAGGGAGATGCATTCTTTGGCATATAAAGTTCACTGCAAACTGTATATCAGGCCTTGTAATCGTGAGATATTGTAACTTCCCCGCTAAGCTCCTGAAGAATGTTGGTTCCGAGAACGGTACTGGGAAGCGGAAGTGGTGTTGGCATCGGATTACAGTCAGACATTGACGCTTGACGCAGGATATCAGTTGCATAAGCTTTCTGATGCAAAAACATGCCACCTGAGTATGACTCTATCTCCACACCAAGAAAGTACTGAGGCTTGCCAAGATCTTTCATAGAGAAGCGCTTGTTAAGGCAGTCTAGAAGATCTTGTATCAGCTCTGATACCATCAAGAGAACAAGAAACAGAGGACTTTACTGAATATTAAGCTTTGTATTCGATATCTTCAAGAGGATGTACAATGGTCCTATATATAGTCTATACAAGAAGGATCTAGATCTTAGCGGATTAAGTGGATTTAAAGTTGTAATCTTATCACCACTATACAGCTGTCTAAAAGCCGTTGGCCATAGACGACAAGAATTCAAATCTATTGGAGCATCTTTTCTCTTCCTTTTCTCTTGTAACGAATTCTGCAGGTTTTGGCATTTTGCTGAGCTTCCTTTGACTGGGCTTGGACTTGGATACAAGATGGGTTTCAGGACTTGGGCTCTCACTCACACATGGCTATGGCCAGGAACTTCAACAAGTGGAATGGGATATCTGGACCTATCTCCGTGCCAACAGGGAGACCGTCCACATGAGGGATGGTAAGAGGATGGAAGGAAAATCTGTCTGGGAAAAGATTTAGAGGTTCAAGTTGCTCCAAAGCTTTCTTAGGAAGCAGGTAAGTAATTTTGTGACCTTTCTTGGCTAGCTTTTTTGCCGGATGGAGAAATGGAATAAAGTGGCCAAAACCGAACAAAGGAAAAAGAAAAGCATGAAATTTTGACCCCATTCTCCTCACAAAAATGTAGAAACAGAAGTCAAATACTTCAAAATCTTAAGTCTTTAAGAGAGAAATAAGAAAGGGCTTATTTTGGTTAGGCACGTATGCACGTATGTACGTTTAACGCTAAGAGGTTGGGCATAATTATGTTTCTTCTCATCCTCCAGTCCTATTATGTTTCTTCTCATCCTGTCCAGTCCGGTCTCTTAAGAGGTTGAGCATAATTTTGATCTCATTTCGTCCTGTCCCGTTTCTTCCCGTCTCGTTTCACCCCGTCCCATTTATTTTCATCTCGTTTTGCCTTGTCCCGTTCATTTTCTTACCGTTTTGCTTAAAAGTAAACTATACTCCCTCTATTCCACTATATTTAATGTTTAAGATTTTTCACAGATATAAAAAATCATCTAATGTTTTGTTATTAGTGATTTTTCTTTTTACTTCAACTACTTTTCTAATAATATTAACCAATAGTAATTTAAGTATCCAACTAATTTTAATTAATATTTTCTTGAAGTTTGTAAAAAGTAGCATTTCTTAACCTTAAAGTCTTAATAATATAAGGAACAACAAAAACAAAATCTTAAAGGAACAGAGGGAGTATAATCTAACAAAACTAAAATTACTATATAATAGTTTTTGTAGATTTGTATATAAGCTCTCTGTTTTCTTAAATGACTTTTCATATTCTTGTTTAATAGAATGATAATTATTATGAGAATTAAAATAGATAAGAAAATAGAAAATTAGTAAATATGAATTAAGGTTGGGCATAATTTTGTTTTTTTCCGTCCCGTTTCTTCCCGTCTTGTTCCGCCCCGTCCCAGTTGTTCCCATTTCGCTTTGCTTGTCCCATTCATTTCTTTGACGTTTTGCCTCATCCTGTTCATTTTCTTTCCGTTCTTCATCCTCTCGTTCTTTGTCGTCCAGTTCCACCATGTCTCATTTATTTTAGTCCTCTTTTTCGTTGTCCCGTTTTCTTTTTCGTGTTCCGCCATCAATGTTTCAATGTTCGCCTTATAATATTTTGATACAATATGTACCAAATCATGTATTCTCATAAATTCATTTTAAATTATGGAATTGTCAATTAAAACTACATATTTTCTTATTTTTGTAAAAATATTTAAACAAATTAGATAAAATTAAATTATAGTTTGTTTAGATTAATATATAAACTGTTTTTATAAATAAATATATTTCAATTTCTAGTTAAAACTATTACAATAATGAATGTCATTTATGATGAAATTAAAGTATAACAAAACAATCTATAAATTAAATAATTAATTTAAAGTTAATAAATAAATTGCTGCTATGTCAGTTTTCTAGAACCCTTATTTGCTGAGGTGGCAGCCCTAGAAGTGATCAAAACACAAATTTATATATACTAGAACTTTGACCCGCGCAATGCATGGGATAAGGACTATATTGCGCGGCATAACGACTATTCAAAATTTTAATATTATTGTTTTTGATTTAGTTATAACTATATCTACTTAATCTTTTTTTTTTTTAATTATTAGACCAATGATCTACAATAATTGTTCGAATAGTGATTTTAATTATCAACTTTTCCTTAAATAATGATTTTAACTATCAATTCTCACGGCACTATTACATGATCCTAAATTTAAAAAGTATGGTAAATATTATTTTCATATTCGAACTATTTTTACTCGATTCTTACCCTATAATTATATCATTTAAACGTACCGTTCTCATATATTTATATATATAAGCGAACCAACAAAATTTTATTTGCAATATGTTAATAAATTTAATGAATACTTAACTATTCTTATTTTATTTTGAAGTTTTATTTAACCTGAGAAAATGAAGAGCTAACTTGAATGCAGAAATTTAAGTTATAAAACATTTTTAGAATAGTATTTATTTTGTAAATGACACATGTCACATCCACAGTTTATGAAAATGCTGATTTGGCAACATGATGGAGAGAGTTATTCTACTTAGATGTTGTGTCCCAACTAATATAATACTCTCTCTTATCCAATAAATGATTTTTTTGGAAATTTAGTTTTTCTCACAAATCAATATAGACATTAATTGTAATTTTACTGTTTTGACTGTTTGAATTCTTTAGTTCATTTTTTCAGTTGATTGAATTGTGTTGGAATTGATGATAAAATATATTTTATTTTGAAAAAAAAATTAATAACTTCTTAATGTGTGTATAGCTTCAAAAAGCCATTTATTGGAAAACATAGAGAGTATAGTTATCACAAGTTACCATAAATATATCTCATAAACCTTTACCAAATAATATTCCATATCCAAAATCATTCTAACATTAACTTAAATCAAATAGTCCAAACTGAAATAAATAAAATATACTCTTTCTATCCCAAAATATAAGCAGCTCTCCTTTGAAAATTAATTAGAACTGCTTATATTTTGGGACAGAATGAGTATCTTAAAACTTAAAAAAAAAAAATTGGAAAAGAGAGATAAGAGATTGTGAGGAGAGATAGAAGGTAAGTTGGTTGTAAGGCGAGAGGATAAATCGATCGCACATTTATGGGCCAAAACTGTAGTTATTCAGAAGTCTGGATTTTCGTTTTTTAGTGGTGTCGACTGACACAAATTCAGTTGTCGACCGACACCAATGTATGTGAACGACAGATTGTCTTGTTTTCCAGCAAGAATCCTAATTTACCTTCAAATAGCTCCATATAACTCCAATTAAGCTCAAAATGCACCCAAGACCTATATCATGGTGAAAAACCCATAAAAACCATGATATATCAATAGTGAATTCGTCTTCAGTCTTAAAAAATTATACCATTTAGAAGTAGTTTTTTTACTCATGGTTCTTTCTCGTTTCTCATTTAAATGTAATATAATACAAAGCTGAAATAAGAGAAGTAATTCCCCAGAAAACTACGGCCAAAAGATGGAAGTAAGGTGAAATAAACTTACAAACACAAAGACCAATCTAAACCCACAAGCAATATAGTTGAAAATGAAACAAACACAATCCATCTAAAAGATGATGAAACCTAGCATCAACTAAGGATAAATGGACCCTCAACTCAAAACTTCAAACTTCAGACTTCTGGAGAAACTTCCCAAATAAACTATACCAGAGTTGTTGTGATCAATGGTATCATAACCCGACCTGACTTTCTGACTCTCCCAGGTGTGGGAAGTCGGTTTATAAGATAAACAACAGTCGCAAAAGGTGTAAGGCCAATAGATCTTTGACAATGATTCTTAAGACAAAAGTGTGAGTCCGCACTACAAGAAAACATGTCTTTTATGACAGCGTATTTCGTAGTAAAATCGGTGGTAATGGTCATCCACATCGGATTTACATCGATATCAGAATAGTCGGTAATCGATCGACATTAATGCGATATCATCGTAATTTTTTTGTAAATCAGCGTAAAATCGTCGTATATTAAACATTTAAAATCGCCGTAAAATGTAACATATGTAAACCCAAGAAATGGGGATTTTTGGTTGTGTCAAGCGACACAAAGGAGTTGTATCGGTCGACATAGGTCCAATTTCCGAATTCCCGGTTCGATTTCAGTTGGTTTGGTCCGGCTTAGGGTGGAAACCCTGGTTTCAAGAGTTAAAAGACACAGCCTTCGAGTTCTTTGTGATTTTTGTCGTTTTATGGCTATGAGAAGAAGGAGAGGCGATTGGAGGTAATTTGTGGTGTATTTGGGCATATCTGTGGTTGAAATGCTGTTGTTCTTCACTGCTTATTCTCCCTTTCCCTTTCAATCCCTTGTCAAGGTGAGTGCGTGACTGTAGGCTCGCAATTAGCTAGATTTGTGTTGGACTGATGAGTTCATGATGTATATGAGTTATTTTGTGTTATTGGGTGTTGATTGTGGTGAATTTGGTGTTTCTATGTCATTTCGTCGTTGTTGGTGTCGGACTGTCGAATATGTGTCGAGCGACACAGGCCGGTTCATTCCGGTTTAATCGAATTAAATTCATGGTTTAATTCGTATTTAATTAATTAATAGTGATTTAAATAATTAATTGTTCTAAAAATAATTATGGAAATTATTTTTAAGTGTTGGAAATATTATTTAATTATGAGAACTATTTAATAATTGAGAAAAAGTATTTTTAATAGTGATGAGAATTATAACTATTATTTTATTGTCTCATAGTTGCGTAATTGGCGTGTAGGAAGAGTGATCGCCTCACTAAGTATTTATGATAATACTTACGCAACTCTTTCGTAATGTGTTTCATGTAAAAGGTTTTCGTGATCGCGGAATCAAGGCCGAAGAAGAGGATGAAAGGATTTATTGTTTTGCATTGTTTAAGGCTTTAAGCTGAATTTGTTGTTTAGGTTGCTAGAACTATCTATTGCTTTTATTTGCTTCCGCTGAATATTTTGAATTGAGTTGATTATCTATTTATTGGTTTTAAGACTTCAGCTAGAATTGTTTAGGCTCTAACTGGTGACCTGTAAAGAAATAAAAGGAATGAGAAGGAATGGAATGAAGAGGAATAAAATATATGGAACTCATTCCTCCTCATATTTTATAAGGAATATTTTAACACTATAATTCCCTAATTAATATGGAATGATAAGGAATAATATAGAATACATATTCCTTATAAATGGTATAATTTTTAAGGAATGAAGGGGAATTGTCATTCCCCCTCATTCCTTGGTCACCAGTTACAGTCTTAGCTTATTTAAATTATATAAAAAAGGCTTGGTTGTTTCAGTAAATTTCTTGTAAATTTCCGATAAAATAGTGTGTTCGTCAGTAATTTTGACGCAACTTTACCCACTACCCTACCAGAAGCTTCCTATTATTTTGCGCCCCTAAATGTATATATTTTATTTGGCGCCTAAAGCATCATGCTTTACTTACCTTAGGCAAGGGCCGGCCCTGCGGATAGCCATCGAATTAATATTGAGGGTTAGAAATGCTAAATTATGATACATATCATCTTTTAGTCATAATCCTTAAATTGTCATAAATTTACGATGATTTAACGATACATAAGGAATTTATATTCTATGCATGCATTATGTTGGTAAAACGTAGTTAATTTACTACTATTTCGCAACCATATCGTAAATTTTAATTTAATTGTTAACGTTCGTATTGACAACGACTAAATTAAAATAATTGTAATAAAAATTACAAACACAAAGACCAATCTAAACCCACTAGCAACATAGTTGAAAATAAACTTACAAACACAAAGACCAATCTAAACCCACTAACAACATAGTTGAAAATGAAACAAAGACAATCCATCTAGAAGAAGATGAAACATAGCATCAACTAAGGACAAACGGACCCTCAAATCAAAACTTCAAACTTCTGGAGAACCTTCCCAAAAACTATACCGGAGATGCCGTGATCAAACAATGGTAGCATAACCCGACCACACATTCAAATATATAAAAAAGAACTATGCAAGAAAAGTTGTAGGAGAAATACCTCAGAAAATGTTAAATTACCTTTTTCATGTTTAATTATAAGATATAAGATTTAAAGTTTTCCAACATTAAATTTTCTAGAGTAAAATCTTGCATCTAATAATATTGAATGATATTTATGGTAAATTTTCTTCTAGTCAATGAGAATCTTCTATCATTGACCAACAAGGTAGCAAAAATCCTATATATAACATTATAGACTTCTTTTTCATTATAAAGTTAACTGTAAGAAAAAAAAAGAATAATGAAGATGACAAAAGCTTTTGTGATTTTTATTCTTGTAGTGGTACTCGCAACATCGGTATCCAGCTCCACCGTTTTGAGCTCATCGGGTATGTTGTTATTCTTCATCTATTTTAATCATTTTAGTAGTTTATGTCAATATGTGTATAGGTACGCTTATATGTTTTTTTTTTTAATTCGACATGGTTGTATTTATTACAATAAAATTATGTTAATGAACTTGGTTGTATTTGTGCAGTGAACAACAGGTTTTGATATAATTTTTGCATAGAACCATGTAATACTATATTCGTTGTTGATCATTGTCGAGACCTTTGTGTAAAGGGTGGAAAGTATAAAGATGGCTCGTGTGTAGGTCCTGGCCAAAGTATGCAATGTTGTTGCAAACTGTGATAGAAATGGATAATTTATATCCTCAATTATACTAAATATTTAACATTATCATGTTTGCTTTTCGATGAAATAAAACTTATCTTATTATACTTTCTTTTTATTATTTGTAATATGGTTTATTGTTCCTTCTTTTCGATTTAATCCACATGTTGTTTATATTGATAACTCTGTTAAGTTTTACTATAATTTCTAATTTTTCTTTGGAACAAAAATGTAATATAGTGACTAGAGAATGATGTGGAATAGTGAATTCCTTTTCATTCCTACAAAAATATACCATTTACAAGTAAACGTTTTACACATGATTCTGCTTCGTTTTTCATTTAAATATAATACAAAGCTGAATTAAGAGAAGTAATTCCCAGATGGAAGTAAGCTGAAATAAACTTACAAACACAAAGACCAATCTAAACCCGCTAGCAACATAGTTGAAAATTAAACAAAGACAATCCATTTAGAGAAAGATGAAACCTAGCATCAACTAAGGACAAACGGACCTTCAAATCAAAACTTCAATCTTCTGGAGAACCTTCCCAAAAACTATACCGGAGATGCCGTGATCAAACAATGGTAGCATAACCCGACCACACATTCTAATATATAAAAAAGAACTATGCAAGAAAAGTTGTAGGAGAAATACCTCAGAAAATGTTAAATTACCTTTTTCATGTTTAATTATAAGATATAAGATTTAAAGTTTTCCAACATTAAATTTTCTAGAGTCAAATCTTGCATCTAATCAAATTGAATGATATTTATGGTAAGATTTTCTTCTAGTGAATGAGAATCTTCTATCATTGACTAACAAGTTAGCAAAAACCCTATATATATAACATTATTGTGGCCTATAAAAACCACACTTGAAATTTATAGGTTTTGCAAGGAAGAAACTTAGGGAGATTTAGGGCTAGATTTTGATGTAAGTCGAATGAATCGTAAGCAAGGATTTGGCTAAACGGAATTGTATTAAACGAATGAAAATGGTTACAATGAATTCTCAGAAGAGAGAAAGAACTAAGCTCAAAGGAAAATACAAGGAAAGTATGATAGTAATTAGGTCTAAATGATCGGAAGAAGATGTCTCTCGATCCGACTGCTTCAAGCTCCTTTTATAGCTCCAGAATCAGCTACGATCCACCTCCGCGTATCTCGCCACGTGCAGCTAACGATCCCGGTGATCTCGGACCAGACCGGATTTGAAGGAGATCTTCTTTGACTTCGTCTTTCTTCGCAGTGCCGACCTGGTCCTTGATCGAGCTGGAGCTCGTCTTTACGTCGACCGGAATAGCTCGGATGGCAGTTAACTGGCTACGAGGGAGTCGCTTGGTGGGCTCGAGGTCTTCTTGCTGGGCTTGAGTGGGCCTGGACTTCAATCTTGGATCAAGGTAATGGGCCCTTACGGGCTAGATTCCAGGTGTGGAATCTGGGTCCAACAATTGCCCCCCAGCCCTTTTAAGTGAGTTTCGAACTTAAAACGGGCGGTTTGTTTTTAATTTTCAAAAATTCAAACTTTTGCCGGGCTAAATTCGAATTCCTCGATTCGGGGTATATTCGAGCTTATCCGCAATGGTTTGAACGGGGTAAAAGATCGCGGGGATCTCGTCGTTGGAAATTGCCTTAGGCATTAAATTTTTCTTTTCTTCGAGGTGAAGATAAGATCTGGCCGTTGAATCGAGATGAACGGCTGAGATCGCAAGCAAATCTTGTCAACTCACTGCAATCTCGCAAACCGAGCTCCTCGATAACGTATATCGCATATTTTCAAGATTCGAAATGATTATGTTTTCGAATCGGACGGTTGAGATCGAGGAGAGCGAAGAGTCCGTGCGGCTGAGATCCGTTTGGGACCCACACGCGTCACATCATCAGCTCGTCGCATGCAAGCGGTTAAGATCTGTGAGTTGTACGGTCGAGATTCACGCAGAAAAATCGGATTCTTTGCGATCTCTTCAGCAGTTAATGCTGAATATAAACTCGACCCACTACTCTTCTCTTTAACCGTGCCCACGTTTTTGAAAAGGTAACTTCTCCTCTCTCTTTTACTTATTTATTTGCTCTTAAGTTTTAGATTAGATAACTTCCAACTTCTTGAAAATTATCGAACCTTTGCAAACTTTTCGAGCATTTAGGTTGTTTCGATTTCGGATTTCTCCAAAAACTCTTTCAACCTCTTTTTCCTCCGTCTCTTCCTCCGACTATCATGCCTCCGAAGACAATCGTCAAGCAAGAGAAGGGAAAGGCCGTCGACCTCGGCGGTGACGGGAAATTCACGTCGCACGCCGAAACGACGCTCGACGCCGAAAGCCTCGACACTTTCCGGCAGGATTTCAGGATCCCGGATGGGATCGAACTCGTTCTCCCAGCTGAGGGAGAGGACCCGGAGCATGTCCTCCCGGGGTTTTTCTGCGCCTATACGTCGTATTGGCGGAGCGCCGGGATGATTTTCCCGGTCCCTCGTTTTCTGATGGAAGCGCTCGCTCATTTCAAAGATGGCGTTTCCCGCAGATGCACCCGAGCTTCGTCCGCCACGTGATAGGATGCGCGGTTCGAGCTCGGGAAGAGGGCGTCTCGTTCGGTGTTCGAGATCTGAGGAAGCTCTTCTCGGTGAAGAACAACACCAGGCTTCCCGGGTCGTTTTACTCCTCGCCGAGGCCGAATCGGCGAATATTCACGAACACCTTGTAGAGGGATAGCGGGTGTAGTGACGAGATGTTCTTCTTCCGGGTCAGCGAGGCCACGATGGGCGACTTCGATTTTGGTCGAATCCGGACGGAGTGGGCGACTAGCGTTGGTTAGATTAGGCCAATTTCCGTTTAGGATAGATAGTACCTCGCTTGACTTGTGGAATATCTCGTTTATTGATGATTATTTTGTTTTTTCCAGTTGTAGATCCAGTACCGAACAACCCGGGGATTGATTACCTCGTCGAACGACTCGGAAGGGAGAAGGTGAACTGGAGTACTTTTACTCCGGAACGGATCCGTCGAGTTCTCAGCTCTCCTCCTGCTCCTCCTCCAGGTAATAATCTCCCTTGGACCAACTAGAAATTCATTTTACGAACTCTTTGTAACGAGCTGTTTATATAAATTTTCCAGCTGATCTTCCGGTTAGATCGGCGCAAGATTCTAGCTCTGCTTCTTCTGTTCCTCCTCTCTCATGCAGACCGAAAATGACCCGTCGTCAACCTCTCAGATCCCGGACCGCAAAGAGTGCCAAAGGCGCCTCCTCAGGTGGAAGTCGAGTTCGCGCCGGTCAGTTCGTAACGGCCGTGGAGGAGGCCATGGCTTCGAAGCCCGCGGTGGGGTCTCCTGCCCTTGCCGACCATGTGGTTGACCAGGTCGACGCGACCGCTGAAGGAGAGATCGTTCCTCTCCCGAGTATGGTTCATGTGAGCTCCGATCGGACTCGCAGTTCGGATCAAGGTCACTCGAGGCAGGCGCCGAAGCGAGCTCGGAGTGACGATGGAGAGGCTCGTTCTCGCGAGGGCGGCCCGACTGCCTCGAACGGGAGCGGGGGAAAGCCACCTTTTTACTGGCTGTACGAGAACTCCAAAGGCTTCCCCGTTCAGGACGACGAGGAGGGAACAGCTCGCATTCACCACCACTTCAAGCCCGTCGGATGCCGGCTCCCGTCCCTGAACCAGATGTCTGAGAAAGAGCTCTACATCGCGACGTGCGCTACGAGCGGGAGGGTATGAACTGTTTCCCTAGTCAAAACTATAGACGAGAGTCTTTGTTGTTGTTTTGGCCTTGGTTGAATTTCTTTGTTTTTGTTAGGCTGTGGCAGCTCGTAACATGTTGGTGTCCCGCCTGGAGTCGAGGATCAGAGACGCGCCTCACCAGAAAGTGCTCGATCAGGTGAAGGAGCTCGTTACCAAGTTGACCTCCGATCTCTCTGCGGCGAACGAGCGGGTAGCTCATCAGGGTGAGCTCTTGAAGAAACACACCTCGCAGGAGGGCGATCAGATCGAACTCCAATCCAACATCGATCTCCTTACGTCGTTGATCTCCGGTGCGATCAACCAGGAGGAAGAGCTCGCCAGGTTGAGGGGGCTCGAGGATGAGGAGGCCGAAGCAGCCAAGGCGGCCCAAGTCTCCGATTTCTCGATCGGGAAGTTCAACCTTCCCGTGGTCTCGGAGGACTCGGTCGCGCGTATGGAGATCGACCCATCAACGAACATCCCGGTTGGCTTGAACCCGTTCGGGACGAATGCCGAAGAGAAGGGAAGCAACGAGGAGGGAGAGAAGGAAGATGAAGAGATGACCGTCGAGGACTGAGCTCTTGGTCGACCTCTTTCTATCTCTACTCCTTTTATTTTAAGACTTGGTTGCCCGGCGGGGTTTTTACGCTTTGTGTTTCGGATTTGGTGCCTGGGAAGGCTTTTATCCACAAACTCGTTTGCCCGCGGGGGCTTTTAATGTTTTGGCCTTAGGCGCATTTTGCTCAAATTGTTTTGCAATTTTCGTTTTGGCTCGTATTTTACTTGCCAAAATGTTTGAGGGTTTTCGACTAAGTGTTTTGGCCGGTCTAGAGACCAGGGCCAAGATGTACTTTAGTCGGAGGTCGAATCGATCCGTTTAGGTTGATTCAACACTTAGAATATTTTTACTAGTTTTGGCCGATCGTATGTCGAGCTAAACGTAGTTTTAGGTCGAATCGAGTCCAATTCGGGACGATTGGATCGATTCAACGCTTAGGCGAAATTTTACTAGTTTTGGCTGATCGCGTGGAACGAGCTAAACATAGTTTTTGGTCGAATCAAGTCCAATTCGGGACGACTAGATCGATTCGACACTTAGGCGAAATTTTAGGCATTTTGGCTGATCACGTGGAACGAGCTAAACATAGTTTCAGGTCGAATCAAGTCCAATTCGGGACGATTAGATCGATTCGACACTTAGGCGAAATTTTACTAGTTTTGGCTGATCACGTGGTACGAGCTAAACGTAGTTTTAGGTCGAATCAAGTCCAATTCGGGACGATTAGATCGATTCAACACTTAGGCAATTTCACCAATTTTCGTCGATTTGATGGATCGAGCTAAACATGGTGTTTATTCTTTTTCGAGCTCTTCGGCGAACTGATGTAGCTCGCGCTTTGCGGAGTTGTTTTCCCGTCTTTCGATCGAGGTGTTTCTTATTCGGCTTTTGGAGATGGAATTTGTTACCTTTCGAAGTTCGTCTTGGTTTTGTCGCTTCGCCGGTAGTGTTCCGAGCTAATCGTGAACTTCAGGTCCGTCTGGATGGCTCGGCTTGGTGTTAGATTTCGGGCTGTCTCTGGGTCTTCGGTTCTACGATTGCTAGAACACTACGCTGGATGCTTGGACGCTGCGGACTTCGATTGGTTTTTTTTTGCGAAGTAAGAAATTGAAGGTAAAGAGGTGGAATCTGAACCTCACTTCGTTCGAAAGGGGAATATCGAGGTGATCTCAATCTTCCGATCTGTTTAGAGACGAGAGAAAGAGCTCGATTTCTTTTCAGGTCACGCAAGATCAGGTGTTGTCGACGTAAATTTATACGCTTAAGTAATTCGGAATTTTCTTAAGGACTTGCTGAGTTGATTCGAGCAATTCGTAGTGATAAACATAGAAAACATTTTATTTAAGTATAATATTCGAGATGATACAAATCGAGCCCGTTTTAGGGCCGGCCAATGAGGTCGTCTCAAATAAAACGAAGTAAATTTGGATTGGGGCTGGACTCGTGGTTGAGCTGCCTACGTATCCCCAGGGAAGGAGGATCAAGCCTAAACGTAGTTCGAGGGGTGGAGATACTCTGATTAGATCCTTTTCAGTGATAGTACCTTTTCAGGTTCATCGCATTCCAAGGTCTTCAGGTATTCCGTTTCTGACTTTTGTGAGCTTGTAGACGCCATCGCGAACTACATCGGTTACGAGGTAGGGACCTTCCCAATTGGTCCCAAGTTTTCCCGCACCGGGCTCTTTGGTATAGTCTTGTATCTTTCTCAGGACCATGTCGCCTATATGAAATCTTCGGTGCTTGACCTTAGAATTATAATAGCGAGCTGCGGCCTATTGATAGTTTTGTATCCGGATCAGAGCTTGATCTCGACGTTCGTCGATAAGGTCAAGGTGATCTCTCAACATTTCTTCGTTCAGCTCGACGTTCGCTGGACATTGCATCCTGCGAAGACTTGGAACGGAAGTTTCAGTTGGACAGGTTCTTCTTCCTCGGAATCAGGTTCCGGGTTAGATGGTCCCGGATCTTGGGACTGTCTAGTTTGAGAACGAGTAGACGGGCGCGAGGTGATTGCGTTTATACTGTCAGACTTGAGTGCGATGTCGATGCTAGGTTTATCTATGCCTTCGACTGGGATCACACGTCTTACAGTTGGGTCCGAAGTGGAGGCGAGAGCAGCTAAGGCGTCAGCCGAAGTGTTCTCTCCCCTAGGCACCCTAGTTAGTTCGAATTTACTGAATTGTCCAGCTAAATCTCGAACTACTTTGAGATAAGCTTCCATGCGCTCCTCTTTTGCTTCGTACTCGCCGCTGTATTGGCTAGTAACGAGCTGGGAGTCGCTGAATGCGTTGATCTCATTCACGCCGATCCCGATTGCGAGTCGGAGTCCGGCTATGAGTGCCTCGTATTCGGCCTCATTGTTAGAGGCGACGAATCCGAGTCTGAACGATTGTTCGATCACTTCTCCGGTTGGAGATGTGAGTTTGATTCCGACGCCAGCTCCTTGTTTGGACGAGGCTCCATCTACGAAGAGTGTCCAAACTTTAGAGAGGGTGGTATCGTTATTGGCTTCCGGTGCCAGCTCGATCATGAAATCAGCTAGTACCTGGGCTTTAGCACAGGTTCTAGTTCGATATTCGATGTCGTATTCGCTGAGCTCGATAGCCCATTTAGCTAGTCGTCCAGATTGACTTGGACTATGTAGCATAGTTCGCAATGGTTGCGAGGTCATCACCACGATTGTGTGTGATTGAAAGTAAGGTCGCAGCTTGCGAGCGGACATTACTATTGCTAAGGCAAGTTTTTCCATAGCTGGGTATCTAGTCTCGGCATCAATCAGGGATTTACTTACGTAAAAGATTGGTCTTTGTTCGTTTAGCTCTTCACGAACTAAGACCCCGCTGACCGCTGCAGGCGAGACCGCGATGTAAAGGTATAGCGGTTCTCCTTCTACTGGTTTTGCCAGTATAGGAGGTTCGCTGAGGTAAGTTTTGAGCTGTTTGAAAGCTTCTTCGCATTTTTCGTCCCAGAGGAATTTTTTATTTCCTCGGAGGAGCTGGTAAAATGGAAGACACTTGTCGGTTGACCGGGAAATGAACCTATTAAGGGCTGCTATTCGACCGGTTAACCGTTGTACTTCTCTAGTATTTTCTGGAGAAGGCATATCTAAGAGGGCAGAGATTTGCTTCGGGTTCGCCTCGATTCCGCGTTCAGTTACTAGGTAACCGAGGAACTCGCCAGACGGAACTCCGAATGTACACTTAGTCGGGTTCAGCTTCATGCCGTACTTGTTAAGTATGGAGAAGCATACCCGGAGCTGTGCGACGTGGTCTGTTTCCCTAGAGGATTTGACCAGCATATCGTCTATGTACACCTCCATTGTTTTACCGAGCTGATCGGCAAACATTTTGTTTACGAGGCGCTGATATGTAGCTCCCGCGTTTTTTAGCCCGAATGGCATTACTTTGTAGCAGTAAGTACCTCGGTCTGTTATGAAAGCTGTTTTCTCCTGATCTTCTGGGTTCATCTTGATTTGATTATACCCAGAAAACGCATCCATGAAGGATAGGAGCTGGTGACCAGCCGTAGCTTCGACCAAGCGATCTATATGAGGAAGTGGATAGCTGTCTTTTGGACAAGCTTTATTAAGGTCTGTGAAATCGATACAGACTCTCCACTTTCCGTTTTTCTTTTTGACAACTACAGGATTAGCTAGCCAGTCGGGGTATTTCACCTCTCTGATCGAGCCTACCTTGAGTAGTCGGTCTACTTCGTCGTTTACTGCTTTAGCCCGATCTGGGCCGAGTTTTCGACGTTTTTGTTTCATGGGTTTGAACGTGGGATCTACGTTCAGCTCGTGAGACGTGATCCTAGTGTCAATCCCGGGCATGTCCGCGGTGGACCATGCGAATGTGCTGATGTTTTCCTTTAGGAAGGCGATCAGCTCGTCACGGATAGGTTTTGCGAGATCGATTCCGATACCAACGCGCCTTTCGGGGTCGGTTTCGTCGATGCAAACCTGAGTGACCAAGTCTTTTCGAGGTTCGCGGACGGTCGGATCTTTGCCATGTTTGATCTGCCGAATCGCGAGCTCCTCTTCTTTCTGTAATTGCTATACTGGCGATTTTTCAGCTCGCAAGTAGCTGCCCATATAGCAATCTCGGGAAGCTCGTTGGCAACCGCGAATTGTTTTTGTCCCCCAAGGTGTAGGGAACTTGACGCATTGGTGGTAAGTGGATGCAACTGCTTTCATGGTGTAGAGCCACGGCCTGCCGAGAATGGCATTGAATGGCGCGGGGCGATCTACGACCACAAAGTCAACTGTTTTCGTTATACCACCTGCTTTGATTGGGAGCTGGATAGTTCCCATGGAATAGGTCGTTTCTCCTGCGAACCCAGTTAGGGGCGTACGGCCTCCTATGAGTGCGGAGTTTTCGAATCCCATTCGCTTGAAAGCATCGTAGAACAGCACGTCTACAGAGCTTCCTGTGTCTATCATGACTCTGGTCAGCTCGAATCCGGCTACGGCGAGCTCGATTACGAGTGCATCGTCATGAGGTTTATCGAGTGCGAGTGTTTCGCTTTCTCGAAATTTGATTTCGTGATCAGGTCCGTCTAGAGGACGTGGTTGTCCAGATGACTCGACCCGTCGCTGATGTGCTTTGATCGAGTTAATCGAGTCGGACAGGAATAGTCCGACTCTGTGGAGTCACAGTTGTTGGGGGATCTTCCGATCTGACCCAAACTCGAGAGAGAGGTCTCTCGATGGTGTGCGAACCCAGATTTGGTAGAATCGGGCTCGGGGTTGCTATCGGCGTGGCGAGATTGATCACCACTGGTTCCACGCGAGGTGGAGTGCTAAGCTGCACTCCAGTGGAGGCGGTAGCAGATGTGATCGGCGTATTCGAAGTGTTGGCAGTTTGGCGGCTACCAACATTCGACGCGATCTGATCTCTCGTCGCATCAGCAGTTTGGCTGCTACTGATGTTCGAGGTGATCTGATCCGATGGGATCGAGTTTTGGGAGTTAGATCCCTCGGTTTGCGACCAGATAGTATCCATTTTCGCTCTTACCTGGCTCAGGTTCGACCCTTGTGTAAGAAAATCTATGTTTCCTCCCCACAGTCGGCGCCAAAATGTGGGCTATGAAAACCACACTCGAAATTTATAGGTTTTGCAAGGAAGAAACTTAGGGAGATTTAGGGCTAGATTTTGATGTAAGTCGAATGAATCGTAAGCAAGGATTTGGCTAAACGGATTTGTATTAAACGAATGAAAATGGTTACAATGAATTCTCAGAAGAGAGAAAGAACTAAGCTCAAAGGAAAATACAAGGAAAGTATGATAGCAATTAGGTCTAAAATGATCGGAAGAAGATGTCTCTCGATCCGACTGCTTTCAAGCTCCTTTTATAGCTCCAGAATCAGCTACGATCCACCTCCGCGTATCTCGCCACGTGCAGCTAACGATCCCGGTGATCTCGGACCAGACCGGATTTGAAGGAGATCTTCTTTGACTTCGTCTTTCTTCGCAGTGCCGACCTGGTCCTTGATCGAGCTGGAGCTCGTCTTTACGTCGACCGGAATAGCTCGGATGGCAGTTAACTGGCCTACGAGGGAGTCGCTTGGTGGGCTCGAGGTCTTCTTGCTGGGCTTGAGTGGGCCTGGACTTCAATCTTGGATCAAGGTAATGGGCCCTTACGGGCTAGATTCCAGGTGTGGAATCTGGGTCCAACAATTATAGACTTTTTTTTCATTATAAAGTTAACTGTAAGAAAAAAGAATAATGAAGATGACAAAAGCTTTTGTGATTTTTTTTCTTGTAGTGGTACTCGCAACATGGGTATCCAGCTCCACCGTTTTGAGCTCATCGGGTATGTTGTTATTCTTCATCTATTTTAATCATTTTAGTAGTTTATGTCATTATGTGTATAGGTATGCTTATATGTTTTTTTTTTTTTAATTCGACATGGTTGTATTTATTACAATAAAATTATGTTAATGAACTTGGTTGTATTTGTGCAGTGAACAACAGGTTTTGATATATTTTTTGCATAGAACCATGTAATACTATATTCGTTGTTGATCATTGTCGAGACCTTTGTGTAAAGGGTGGAAAGTATAAAGTTGGCTCGTGTGTAGGTCCTGGCCAAAGTATGCAATGTTGTTGCAAACTGTGATAGAAATGGATAATTTATATCCTTAATTATACTAAATATCTAACATTATCATGTTTTCTTTTCGATGAAATAACACTTATCTTATTATACTTTCTTTTTATTATTTGTAATATGGTTTTTTGTTCCTTCTTTTCGATTTAATCCACATGTTGTTTGTAACATCCATAAACCAAAAATTGGGAATTTCGTCGGTTCAATTTAAGTGATTTGGTTTGGGCCGGTTTAGTGGAGAAAGCCCTAAAATCAAGTTTAAAGAGTGCAGCCGTCTTCTCTTTGGAGAATTTTCGAGCTCAAAGGCTGCAGAGGAGAAAAGTTGAGTTTTTGGAGAGATTTTCGAGTTTTACTGTTCATCGGGGGTACTGTTCATCGTCGGGATTCCACACTGTTCATTGTCTTTCCTTTTTCAATCCATTGTCAAGGTGAGTGCATGACTGTGGGTCCGCGATTTGCTAGATTAGATTTGGTTTGTGGTTGTTCTTGATGAGTTTATGTTTAATTGTTATTTCATGATATTTTGGTTGTTTCTATGATGAATTGTGTGTTTGTGTGGTTTAATCTGGTTTAGATTGAATTAATTGATTTAATTGGTTTATCTTGGTTTAAATTGATTTGATTCTGGTTAATTGGTGTAATTGAATTAAAATGTTTTAATTCAAATTGTTTGATTTATTTTCGGATTTAATTAATTAATAGTTAATTTAATTAATTGATTGATTTAAAATAATTATTTAATTATTTTAAAATATGAAAATTATTATTTAATTATAAGAATTATTTAATAATTGAGAAATGAGTTTTAATTATTAATAATTATTTAATAATTGGAAAATGGTATTTAATAATTATTGGAGTTTATAAATATTATTAAATATCTAGTAAATGGCTCGTAGGCAGAGTGATTGCCTCACTAAGTATTTATTAAATACTTACGCAACTCCATTCCAATGTGTTGCAGGTAAAAGATTTGTGTGATCGCGGAATCAAGGCTGAAGAGGGGGATGATAGGATGTTTACTGTTTTATTGTTTTGCATTATTTTGCTAGACTTGTTTAATTATTATTTGCTTCCGCTGAACTGATTTATTTGTTATTGATATTTTATTTATTTAATTTATTTTAAAGACCTTCGCTAGAATTGTTTAATATTTAATTAAAAAAAAATGTTGGTTTCATTTTTGTATCAGAGCCGAACCCAGACAGACGTATGTGTGGAGACGAGTGGGCTCACACTGTAAACTGTCAGGGGGTGACGATCTCGGTACGCAACGGGGACGTTGCGCTCATTGAGTCGGGGTGAATTGTAACATCCCGATTTGTAATAAATGAGGAGAGGAATAAGAGAATTAATTTGGCTACCTGTGTCAACAAAGTGCACTTACCTTTTCGGTCAAGGGCCCATAAAGAACTCCAAAGTTAAGCGTGCTTGGGCTGGAGTAGTGGAAGGATGGGTGTGACCTTTCGGGAAGTCCTCTGCGAAACCGTGTGAGTTAGGAAAAAACACGGGAAAAGGTCGGGTGATGATTGCAGGGATAGTAAATACATTCTCCGATCCTCCAAAAATAAACGCACCGACCGTTGGACAGGGGTGGGGCCCACGGGCCGAGAGAGGGCGTGGGTGACTCACCGGGAGGGGCGGCGGGGGCGTTACAATTGGTATCAGAGCCTAGACGGTTTTAGGACTGTTAGAATTGTTAGGCTTTAGTATCATCCCCTTCAGCTACAAGAGATTCCGCGGTGAGTTTATATTTGTTTTGAGTTTTTGTTGCGTGTTCTAGTGTGCTCTTTTCGGTTCCATGAGTGAGATGGACTGAGTAGCTAAAGGTTGTGGCGCGAGAGGGCGCGATGCTTGAGGCTGTGGTGGCAGAGCTAGAGGCCGTGGAGGCTGGGGCCGAGATTGTGGACTTTGGCGGATTCGGGAGAGAGTGTGGTGCCGAGTGTGGCGATTGCGTCGGTCACCAAGTCGGTATCCATGGCGAGTGAGGCCAGTGTGGATGTCAGTGTTGGTTTGGGAGCGGGGAGTGCTCCGGGTGGGGGTGATGCTCCGGCTCTGGGTCATGATGACTTGGTGGTTGGTTTGCTGACGCAGCTATTGGCTCGATTTCCGCCAGTGGTTCCATAAGAGGCTCTGGGAGTACCTCCAGTGGCAGAGGTGCAGTAGAGGGCTGCATGATTTGTTCAGCTTCAGGCTGCGGGTTTGATGGTGCCGTCCTATTTGAATATGAGGGGGCACATACAGAGGATTGGTACCTCAACACATATGTTTACATGTTTTTACTTAGTATTTTCATATGTTTTCATAAAGGTTTTATGCCTTTGGAGGTAGTTTTCTTGTATTTGTTGGTTTTGAGTCTTAACAGGGTAAACTATCAAAAAGGATGCAAAAAGGAGCAAAAGAGCCTCAAACCATGATCCATGCAAGTTTCCAAGTCAAGAGCATCATTTTATCTCCAAGTGTTAATTCTCGCTAGGCGAGCAGAACGAAGCTTCGGAAGTTTGGCCGCGCGAAGAGGAGTTCCCGACGTCCAAAAGTCACGATCTTGATATGGAAAGATAGATACTTGAGTCATGCATCACGTCGAAGTGGAATGAAGCCATTTGGATCAACCATAAGGCTGGAACTTATTTTCTACCGAGACATTTCCGGTAGCGAGCAAACGAAGCCCATGGAGGATTTGGAGTGTCTAATGGCCCGAGCAGCAGCGCCAAAGGCCTTGATTGAATAAAGAAGAGGCCTGGCTAATGTTTGGAGCTTTCCTTGGTACAATGTCGGCCCATACACGACGTGGAAAGAAGGGGCTCATGGGAAACTTTCCTTTTCCGGCACTTCAATACCCTAACCGACCTACAACCTATATATGCAAGTTTTTAGCCTCTGGAGAAAGGAGAACGTATGCGCCGTCAGAGAGGAGAAGAGCCGTCCTGGAGAGCAGAAGAAGCAGAGAGAAGAGGCGTTTCTCAAGATCAAAGACACACACACACAAACCTTTACACTTTGTTCTTTCCTTTTCTCTTAAACTTTGTTATTTCGGATTTGAGAGTTTCAAGGGAGATTTCGACTTGTTCTTCAATAGAGAAGCTTTCTTCATCCCTTATCTCTTTTAATACTCACATAATGCTTTCATACATCTCTTGCTTGTTTGTTTGCATCATGGCTGAGTAGTCCTATTGTTGGGTTCAAGAGTTTTCAAGGGATTCATGGATTGATCACTAGGTTGTTAGATTCGGGATTATTGATTGAGTTCCTCATCTTGATTTGTGCTTAATGCTTATAGCTTTGACTGAACGTCCTGCTACTGCCCTAGAGTTGATTTACTTTCCGAAAGCTTGATAAATCACTTGAAATAATCTAGATGAACAAATCACCATAACCTGCGGGAGTAGAATTATGATGCTTTGTGGAACATATTGAATTTGAATTATTTGTGCTTGTTTAACCACTTGATTACCTATGGGAGTAGAGTGATCTTAGGTTGTTTAGACATTTTAATTGACATTGCGGGAGTAAGTTGATTATCCATTCATAATTCAAGTTCTTGATCATATCTATTGATTCCTTGTTTAACTATCCAAATAAACCAATCCTTGATGACCTATGAATTCTCTTGTGCCCAATGCTTTCCCCATTGATTTGATTGCTTGTTTCACTTGATTTCAAGCTTATCATTGTTATTTTCTTCACTGTTCACGGTCCCTAAAACCAAACCCCCATATTTTAGTTTTAGCTAAGTTTTAATCTCATAAGCTCATAGTGCAACTTTTCTGGTCCTTGTGTTCGATAACCCATACTACCAACGATCCGTGCACTTGCGGTATCTACTAATAGTTGGGTAAAACTTATCCCACATCAAGTTTTTGGCGCCGTTGCCGGGGACCAAATAGTTGCCTAAGAGTTTCGGATTAGAGTTTAGACTAGAACATTGTTTAATTTTCATTTTTATTTGCATTTCCCTTTGGATTTTGGTTCTTATTTTTACTAACTTCTTTACTTCTCTCTATCTTTGTGTGTTTCAAGGTACCTTGAGTAAGAGATAGGAGATCTTGAAGAAGGATTCACAAGACATAGAAGATGGAGCCTCAAAACCGCCCAATCGGAGAGTTTGATTCACTAGACATCTTCTTCACAAAACGCCAACCTATATGCCCTTTACCACCTACTGGAGAGTTCAAGATAAGCTCTAAACTCATTGCTTTGGTGGAGCAGCATCAGTTTCGTGGCCTAGAGGAAGAGCAGCCCATTGATCATATTGAGAAGTTTGAAGAAATCTGCGCTACAAGGAGATGTAGTGGAGTTTCTGAGGATTACTTGAAGTGTACTTTATTCTCTTTCTCTTTGATTGAGAAGGCATACAAATGGATGAGAGCTCTTCCAGCAGGATCAATCACTACTTGGGATGAGTACAAGAGAGCTTTCTTGAAGAATTTCTACCCAAAAGAGAGATTAAAATGGATGAGAAGAAGAATCTCAGAATTTCGACATGAAGCACATGAATCATTCTTTGAGGCTGTTTCACGGTTCAAGGAGTACAAGAGAGAGTGCCCTCACCATGGTTTTACAGAGATTGCTTTGCTAAACTTCTTCTATCAAGGAGTTGATGAGAAATTCAAGATGGCGCTCAACACCGCAAGTCAAGGGGACTTCATGACTAATACTATTCTCAAGCCAACATTCTCATTGATAACTTGGCAGCAAGCAGCAAAAGTTCAACCAAGACTATGTGCAAGGCGTGGAGGAGATCAAACCAAAATCTGATTTTTCAGAAATCTTTGAGCTAAAGTCATTAGTTGCTCAACTTCTCAAGAGCCAACAAGGCAATGGTGACCTATGTGAGAACGTGGTGGCTTCTAGCAGAAAGGATCATAAAGATCTCATTGGTGAAAGTTCTTCTAAGCATCAAGAAGGAGTGAATTATGTTGGTGAGTTTGGAAACATCAATGAAAACCGAAATCACAACGGTTTTAACCATGGAAACCCTCAGCCAAGCATTGGAGATCCTCTTCTAGACAAGATCACGTGGTCATGACACCTAGAGAGAGAAACCTTGAAGCAATGATGCATCAGTTCATGGAGAATCAACAGCAAGTCCTTGAAGGAATGAAGCAATGCGCCAAAGATAACAAAGATCTTGGTTTCAAGTTGGATAGCATGTATGATCATCTTTACAAGAATAACCAGGAGCTGTATGAGAGATTTATCAATCTCTCTAATCATGTTAAGATGGTGGAAGTGCAAGTTTCCCAAATTGCAGAAGGATCCAAGAGACAAGCCAATGTTCTTCCGGGAAAAGTGGAGGAGAACCCTAAGTTTTGCAAGGTGATAACAACCAAGAAGAAGATGCGGTTTCACCAGCCCCTAGAGTTAATCAACCTCCAAGCATCATGTGACAAGGCGTGAAGATGATGAGCCTATTTCAAAAGCACCACATCAAAGGAGGCTTAAGAAGAGAGAAGATCCAGTGAAGTTATCTTCCCTTGCACAATCAATGGTATTGACTTTATTGACTCTTTGTGTGATACAGGATCTACAGTGAATCTCATGTCTAAAATCATAGCAAGGAAGCTTGGGATTGTAGAGATGGAGCCTCCTGGAAAGATGCTCAAGTTTGCAGATGCTTCTAGCACAACTCCATATGGCTTTGTGCGTGATCTAGAGATGCAAGTAGGTGGATGTCTAGTCCCCACCGATTTCCACATCATAGAGATGCAAGATGAAGCTTCTATGTCACTGGTCCTTGGGACTCCTTTCCTTACAACCGTGGGAGCAATGTTTGATTTTCGCAAGGGACAAGTCTCTTTCTCTGAAATCAAGAAGAAGGTCTTCTATCCTGGCGTTCCTACTGAAACCTCATGTTGTACAACCATCTACAGTGAGGAGAGAGCAATTTTAGACCCTGGAGATGACATTAAAAGGTCACAAGACGTTCCTCAAGAAGCTCTCTACATTAGGTCTTATGACATTTACAAGCCGGCACAAGGTGAATGCCAAGGTGTTTCAAGGATAGTGGTTCAGTTTTGGCTCCTAAAGATCATCATACATGGGATGTTTTCAAGCTTGAGACACGTCCTAGAGCACCACCAAGACCAGCACCATCCGAATCTCCTTGGTATAGACACATTGCCAACTACCTTGCTGCTGAGCTCCCACCGCCTCAATTCTTTGGCTACAAGAAAAAGAAGTTCTTAAGGGATGTTAAAAGGTACTTCTGGGATGAACCTTGTCTTTATAAACATTGTTCTGATGGTATTCTTAGAAGATGCATTCCAGAGGAGGAGGTTCCAGGAGTTCTCTTTGCTTGTCATGGTTCTGACTATGCAGGACACTTTGCTACTAACAAGACCATTGCTAAGATATTGCAAGCTGGGTTTTGGTGGCCCACCATGTTTAAGGACGCCCATACCTTTATCTCTAAGTGTGATGCTTGCCAGAGACAAGGGAACATCAGCAAAAGGAATGAGATGCCACAAAACTTCATCCAAGAAGTGGAAGTCTTTGATGTTTGGGGAATCGACTTTATGGGTCCTTTTCCTTCTTCTTATGGAAACAAGTACATCCTTGTTGCTGTGGATTATGTCTCTAAGTGGGTAGAAGCCATAGCCAGCCCTACAAACGACTCCAAGGTGGTGATAAAGTTATTCAAGTCAATCATCTTCCCAAGATTTGGCATCCCACGAGTTGTGATTAGTGATGGAGGATCTCATTTCATCAAACAAGGTCTTTGACAATCTTCTGAAGAAAAATGGAGTGAGACACAAGGTTGCTACCCCTTATCATCCTCAAACAAGTGGGCAAGTGGAGATTTCTAACAGAGAAATCAAGAGGATCTTAGAGAAGACAGTGGGAATGACAAGGAAGGATTGGTCCATGAAGCTTGATGATGCTCTTTGGGCATATAGAACTGCATTCAAGACCCCACTAGGAACAACTCCTTTTCACCTTGTCTATGGAAAAGCTTGTCATCTTCCTGTTGAGATTGAGTATAAGGCGGAATGGGCTGTAAAGAAGCTGAACTATGACATCAAGACAGCAAAGGAGAGGCGATTGATTCAGCTGAATGAGTTGGATGAAATTCGCCATGATGCCTATGAGAACTCAAGGATCTACAAGGAAAGAACAAAAGCATATCATGACAAGAAGATAGTCCCCAAGACGTTCTCTCCCAATGACCAGGTTCTCCTTTTCAACTCACGCCTTAAACTGTTTCCAGGAAAGCTTAGGTCGCGATGGTCTGGACCATTTAAGATCAAGGAAGTGAAACCATATGGTTCTGTTGTGCTATGGAACCGAAATGGTGGCGACTTCACTGTCAATGGACAAAGACTTAAGCCATATCTTGCAGACGTTGAGAAGGATGAGAGAGAAACCATTCCCTTAGTTGATGCCCTAACCGACTAAGAAGAGGCATAAAGTCAAGCTAAAGACTTTAAACAAGCGCTTTGTGGGAGGCAACCCACATGGATGAAGAACCAAAAGGAGACCAATACATGGGATCTCAATCTAAGGCCGGATTTCACAAGTGATTTCAAGTTTTTTTGCAAGGACTTAACTATTTGACAGGAAGGAGATACAGAAGAGTTGTTGTAACCAACCAAAAACACCATACTTATGGCGGTTCAAAAGAGGTTTCAAAGGAGATTCATACACAATCACAAGGAACATGGCGGTCACCACCTGAAAATGATAAAAGAGGATTAGAGAATCAATTCGGTCGAATAAAACCTTAGTTGGCCCGAGTAGATCTTGAGATATCCCAACCGGTCGATTTCTCTCGGCCATGGTGCGTGCATGGAAAACAACCCTCGGCCACCTCCCAAACCGTGTGTCCAAAGTCCACCAAAATTCACAGGCGACCATAAAATATTATTTTGGTCGCCAAATCCAAAAGATATGACGGCGAAATCGTCACGGTTCATGCGATAGACCACGGCGCCACATCCGGCCGATAGCGAGCAAGCAATATGGCCGACAAATTCAAATCACGGCATAGGCACGCCAACCGGTTGGAAAACTCTTCCTTGAGCTTAACTAACATTTTTCTGCAGGAATAAACGAAAAGGAACGAGCCAAACTTCAACTGGCCAAGGAAACTCCTTCCCGGAGCCAACTTGACCATTTTGTGAAGGAAGTCTCAATCCGCTCGTAAATGCTCTCAAACTTCGTTTTACACATGATTCTGCCTCGTTTCTCATTTAAATATAATACAAAGCTGAATTAAGAGAAGTAATTCCCCAGATGGAAGTAAGGTGAAATAAACTTACAAACACAAAGACCAATCTAAACTCGCTAGAAGCATAGTTGAAAATGAAACAAAGACAATTGATCTAGAAGAAGATGAAACCTAGCATCAACTAAGGACAAATGGACCCTCAAATCAAAACTTCAATCTTCTGGAGAACCTTCCAAAAACTATACCGGAGATGCCGTGATCAAACAATGGTAGCATAACCCAACCATACATTCTAATATATAAAAAATAACTATGCAAAAAAAGTTGTACGAGTAACACCTCAGAAAATGTTAAATTACATTTTTCATGTTTAGTTATAAGATATAAGATTTCATTTTTTCCAACATTAAATTTTCTAGAGTCAAATCTTGCATCTAATCAAATTGAATGATTTATGGTAATATATTCTTCTAGTCAATGAGAATCTTCTATCATTGACTATCAAGTTAGCAAAAATTATATATATATTATTATGGACGCTAACAATTCAAACAATGCAAAAAATGAACTCCTATCATCCCCTATTCAGCCTTGATTTCGCGATCACATAAACATTTTACCTGCAACACAATACGATAGAGTTGTATAAGTATTTTGTTTTGATGATAGAGATTTCCCTTTGACGATTGTATTTTGTTCCGTTTATTTATTCATTAATGTTACAAAAAAAAAACAATGAATTTGGGTCATAACTGAAATGTCCATAACCGATCAATTGTGGATTAAACAAAAATGTACATCGTTCAAAATAAAAATGTAAAAAACTACATATCTTTATTTAGAGATTTGTTATTGAGTTTTTAATATTATTTTCTTATTTTGAAAATTGATTAAATTTTGTTTAATATTCTTCCGTGATTTAAAAAAGTATAAAAATAAATAACCCGCATATACGCAGGGCCTAATCTAGTAAGTTTATAAAATAATATAGATAACCGTATAAAATATTGTCATCTATATTGGTTATCTATATTTACACTATCACCGACAGACTCCTCTCGATCCGCAAATATTCTCTTTGGAAGCCCAGAGATGTCTGCTGCGCTGCACAATTTAACAACAAAAGCTTTCATAAATCGACATGAATCAATATGAATCATTATCCATCGAATGATTATGGATGACCATCTAAATACAGTCAAATTATATAGAATCGAGGACAAACGAATAACAAAACAAATAATGTATCTTCAAATAGACCGACATCGGCAAACATCCGGGTCACTCCATCGAGTTTAATTCAAGTAAAAACAGTCAAAATAGCCACATCCAACTCTCAATCAAATTAAACGATGACTCGCAATCCGATATCGTTAAACGACGAATTTTAAAGGGGATTCCATTCTTCGGCACGACTCTGTTATTCGTTTGTAGTCATCGTTTAATTGTATCTTAATTGTATCTTATTTCCCAGAAATATCTAAAACGCTTTCTGTTTTGTTTCTTCACCAGAACAGAGTCGTGACTACAACTACGAACAAGATTAAGATACAATTAAGATACAATTAAACGATGACTACAAACGAATAACAGAGTCGTGCCGAAGAATGGAATCCCCTTTAAAATTCGTCGTTTAACGATATCGGATTGCGAGTCATCGTTTAATTTGATTGAGAGTTGGATGTGGCTATTTTGACTGTTTTTACTTGAATTAAACTCGATGGAGTGACCCGGATGTTTGCCGATGTCGGTCTATTTGAAGATACATTATTTGTTTTGTTATTCGTTTGTCCTCGATTCTATATAATTTGACTGTATTTAGATGGTCATCCATAATCATTCGATGGATAATGATTCATATTGATTCATGTCGATTTATGAAAGCTTTTGTTGTTAAATTGTGCAGCGCAGCAGACATCTCTGGGCTTCCAAAGAGAATATTTGCGGATCGAGAGGAGTCTGTCGGTGATAGTGTAAATATAGATAACCAATATAGATGACAATATTTTATACGGTTATCTATATTATTTTATAAACTTACTAGATTAGGCCCTGCGTATATGCGGGTTATTTATTTTTATACTTTTTTAAATCACGGAAGAATATTAAACAAAATTTAATCAATTTTCAAAATAAGAAAATAATATTAAAAACTCAATAACAAATCTCTAAATAAAGATATGTAGTCTTTTACATTTTTATTTTGAATTCATGATATGAAATAGAAAGATTTACATGTTTCTAAATCTAATCGACTCATTATTTTATGAAACTTTGATTATTCCATGATGAAATCTTTATTTTTAATATTTTTTTACCTAACAAAACATGAAAAATTAAACTATTTAATATTAGAAGATCAGTCCATTATAAAATTTTATTTTTTAATATTATTTAGTTCCTTAATAATTTTTTTTGTTAGTTTTCTATTTATATTGTTTCTTTTTCAATTTCGTTTTTGCCTCTGACCATTATAAATTTACATTTGATCAATTTTAAAAATAAGAAAATAATATTAAAAACCCGATAACAAATCTCTAAATAAAGATATGTAGTCTTTTACATTTTTATTTTGAATTCATGATATGAAATAGAAAGATTTACATGTGTCTAAATCTAATCGACTCATTATTTTATGAAACTTTGATTATTCCATGATGAAATCTTTATTTTTAATATTTTTTTACCTAACAAAACATGGAAAATTAAACTATTTAATATTAGAAGATCAGTCCATTATAAAATTTTCTTTTTTAATATTATTTAGTTCCTTAATAATTATTTTGTTAGTTTTCTATTTATATTGTTTCTTTTTCAATTTCGTTTTTGCCTCTGACCATTATAAATTTTCATTTTATTATTAGTTAGTTGTTTTAAATTATTTTGTTAGTTTATTTATTTATGTTACTACATTTTTCCAATTTTCTTGTGTTGACACATGTCATCACTTCATCAAATATTAGACATATGTATCGATCTAAAGTTAAGTATTCTTCATTGATATCTTTAACTTTTAAAGACATGAATTTTATTTCTTAATGAGAAAGAAACTTAACTTTAGATCGTATACATTTTTTAATTATTTCTTCATGTTTTTCTGTTTTCGTTTTTTTCCTTTTCGTAATAGAATTATGTTTTTTCTTTACTTCTCATAATGGATGTAATATTTTTTCTTTTTAATTGTTTGTTTCCTGTTTTCTGATTTTTCCTAATGTACTAATAGATTTTATTCAAATAATTTTAATTTCGATCCAATTGACCTAGAGTCAAATAATCTCCACTGTTCTCTTGAACTTTCAAAGACATGATTTTGAAATTAGAGAAAGAGAATCAAAGAGATTTTCTGAATTTGCTTTGATGAGTTTGTGAATGAGAAAAAGAGACTACAGTAGCTCTCTTTTTATAGGGGGTTCATGTAACCAATTTCATACAGTTTTAGGATATTTAGTTTACATACCTATTACATGTACTAATAGGATTTTTTTAAATAGGAGTTTATATAACCTATTCCATACAATTTTAGGATATTTAGTTTACATACCTATTCCATATACTAATAGGAATTTTTTATTACATTATTTTCAATTTTATTATATAAAATTTCGTTTTTATTATAAGATATTAAAATTTTCCCTTTAAAATAAAAATTTCTTTTTCCGAAGACATGTGTCACGATCTTAACGGATATAACATTAAAAGTGACACATGTCGCAATCCTATATTTTATAAAAATCCTATGTGTCGCAACCACGTCGCGCGCATCCAGCTTTATATAAGAAAATATAAAATTATATTTAGTTGCTAACATATGTTTCTGTTTTGTTCTATTGCAATATAGCTGTTTATACTCGTTTATGGTCGTCTATATTTTTATATGGTCATCTATATTGTTTTATAAATTTATATAAAAATGTATTTAGTTGCTAATATATGCTTGTGTTTTGTTCTATTGCAATATAGTTGTTTATACTTGTTTATGGTCAGCTATATTTTTATATGCTTATGTTTTAATATTTTATTATCTATGTATTTATATAAAGATCTATTTAGTAATGAATATATTACATATTATATGTTTTAGTTTTGTAATTTTAGCTTAATTTCATTTTCAATGATAATTATAAAAATAAATAGTTTGAGAAAAGAAGAGAAGTAAGTAACATGAAGGTGATAGAGAAATATAAAAAGGTTTCGAAAAATAAGCATAAACAATATCATTAATTACACTCTACTTATTTCTTGTGCCTAGCCCACGCGCAGCCAGCATTTGTATTACCGTATTACGATATGGCTCCATCAATTCATCACTATTGGGTACCCTTTATCCGTTTGCTACTAACAGAAGTCCATTAGACCATTTATTTAATTTCAAGTCTAAAATATGATAGTTATCAAATTGACTCTAATTAAAATAACTACTATAATTAATTAATTAATTATTAAATATAAATCATTTAATTAATTAAAATATTCAATAATTAATTAAATACAAATTAAATTAAACCAACCAAAATTGATTAAACCATTTTTAATTCAATAAAACCAGATAAATTCAATTAAAACAATTTAATTCGTCTGAATCGAATCAAACATCAATATCATTACGAAAACTCACATAAACCACACGAACACTCAAGAACGACCTCAATCAATTCCAAATCTAGTGAATCACGGACCCACGGTCATGCACTCACCTCAAACTGGCTGGAAATAGAGAAAACAGATGGAATCGACGAAGAACAACAACGAACAGCTACAGATCGGCCACCAATTCTAGCAAGAACACCACAATCGATCTCCAATAAAACATTAATATTTACACATTAAAGGCTTGAAATTTAGGACATATATGTAAGAAACTCAAATATGTACCTTCAGTATCTGCTCCATATTGCACAACAACTCATAGATATTTTAATACACTACAAGAATTAAGTGAATTAGCTACCATTTATTCTATAGCAACAAGACACAATCCGTAGCAAAAACTTGGAAGGCTACGACATATGAATTTCGATGCCTCATCTCCAACGCTAAAGTTGGTTTGTCCCCAATTTGCAACATACTAGCGAGAGCAACTTCCGCAGCCAATGGTTACGATATGGCTACGACTTCTTCCGTTGCTCATTAGCGATGGTTTAACGAAGTATTTTGTGTAGCTAGTTGGCTACAAAGTATTAACTACGGTTTGCCCCTAGCAATTTTGTAGCGAACATAGCAACATATTTGGATACGGATTAAATGTGGTTAAATGTTAGTTTAGAGGATCAATGGGATCATAGTTATCCATCTGTGAAGTTCCAAGTCCAAGCAGTTACTGTATGACTACCTACAATAACATTTGTTCAGGGAAAGAAAGCATAGTAGTGCTATTTTAAACAAAAAATCTAAGTAAAGAACCAAAAACCAAATCATCAATATATAAGGAATAAAAAGCCTCACTCGCATAAGTGGTGTAATTGGTGTTTGTGAGTTGGACCCTTGGCTGACAAACTCATCATGATCAATTTGGAGAGTTGCTGCGAAAGAACAATAGACTCAGCTTCTTCAATGATCTTCTTCGCACGTTTGTCAACAAAACTTCCATCAATCTTCATGTGCGTCTTCCGCACTAAGTACGTTATTGCTGGCTCCTCACCCAACCCTATCATCTGTATACATTTGTTAAACATAATGTATCTGGTAAGCATCAAGTATCTGATTAATTTGGTAAGCATAACAAAAAAAATTGTAAGGATGTATCCTGCATATTTAACATTGATTCTTACAATTTAAAACTCATATATCAATGTCAATCACAAAACTACACAAACGAAGAGTCCATAATCAAAAACAACACTAGACTATTGACAAAATTTTCCAGTTTTTCACTTATTTCAGGGCAAGAAAAACATAAGCTATTCAAATCTTACCACAAAACCAGACCACCATTTGTCTTGCGGCTCTTGCCAAACCTCACCAAAATTCCACCAAAGTCCATCAAAATCATTGGTAAAAGCCCTTTTAATGTCATATTTGACCTCATTGTCGATGGAAATCCTATCACAAAAGGGCATACTATTGAGTTAGTGAAGAAGAGTAGTAGTTATATATCTGATACTTGATATGTTATACATACATTACACGATTAACTCTTACCAAAGTTCCCCATCTTGCTTCTCGGGATGCAGAGTTGGCTGGTCTTGTCGCGCAGGCACCTGTAATCGCTCAGTGATGCTACAGAGAGGAATTACAGGCGGTGAACATGAATTACTAGCCCTTGAGCAACCAGGGACCTTTCGTCCAACATTACCTCTCGTCGGTAGTCCGCCTCTATGATTCCATTTGATAAGTGTGTTTTCAACACTGAAGCTTATTCACTGCCTAAGAACACCTGATAGATTACTTCATTTTTCAAGTACCTAATGGATCCATCGCTGCCTCTTATGGATACTGGAAGTGGTAAACTTGTGTAACTTCTTCTCATTCTTCATTTCTTACACATTGGTGTGAGAAATTGGGTGCTTTAGTAATTAGTACTAATCTTAACATAGCTGAAAATTGGCGTCTCTAGGAGAGAAAGATAAGGAAGCAAAGTTTGGTTCTGTGATTTCTTATGTTGTATGAAGAAAATGCTGATTTTGCTCGCTTTTATGCTTGATATCTTCTTCTTTTTGTTTTTTTCGAATTGATTGATTGATTATGGCTTTTTTGTTTTGATGATCTCAGGGAAAGGTCCAGTATCTAATTAAATGGTGAGTTCTTCAAATCATACTTTGTTTCATTTGAAGTCAGCCTTCTTAATCAAACATATACTTTTGCATTGACATCAGTTATAAACTTGGTTGTGAAAGGCGATGGTGGCCCGAAATTGCCAACACATGGGAGCCTCTAGCGAATCTCCAGTCTATTGCTGATATTATAGATGCATTTGAAGGAAGGTAAAATGCATATAATGTAGCAGTTTTTGTGACGTTTTTATTAATTTCATGTGCTAACTCTGTATGGGTTTTTTTTATTGTTTCAAAGTTTGAGGCCAGGAAAGCTTGGTAGGAAGAGGAAACATAAGCAGGTTCTCATTCTTTGATGAAGAAGAAGCAGCGTTTAACATCTACGTCAAACGATGCTGCTGAGAAATCTGACTCTTCGAATACATCTCTCAACAGCTCTAGCCTTCCTGAAGTTATTCCTGGTCCACTCGATCTCAGTGGTTCAAGTCTACGAATAATGCTTATATATCTAACCAAGTAACAGTGGGAGTGTTTGGATGGTGCGGCAAGTTAGTTTGGTTGAAGAGGAGAAAGAATACGATCCGCACTCAACGAGCTAAGAGGACCAATCAATAACGGTAACGGTGTAGCAGGATATTCACAAGTAGGAGGCGTTGGTTCTGAAGGTGATAATGTAAGACCAGACTGTGATAATATGCAACATATTATTTTAGAAGAAGAGAAAACGAGATAAAGGGTTAAAGAGGAAAAAGAAGAGAACATTGAGAAATGTCATTGTGGTTAGCTAGAGGAAAAAAAAAGAAACAAAATTTGAAAAATATTCAGTTGCAATATTTTCTCGATTTTGGCAGAAGATGAATTCTACAAAAGGTAGAAGGCACATATTTTAGTAGAACATCTAGTAGAAACACGATTACTACGGATTGTAGAAAACGTTTTTTAGTATATCACTAGTTCTGCGGGTGGTAGAATAAAATGCAACATGCAGGATACGAAAGCTACAAAAGGTAGATAGTAGTGTTTATTGTAGAACATGAAATCTACGAGTAGCAGAAAATAGTATATTCTGTAGAATATATTTGGAGAAAATTCTGAGCGTATAGTATCTGGTAGATATCATATTCTACGGCGTTAGATGTACAAATGTTTAAATATTTCACAGTCTTGAGATCATTTTTAGGAATTTTAGAAATTTTATTAACTTCAAAAAACATTTAATACGAGGTTTTAAGTAGGGTAATGTCGGCAAAAAAAAAACAAAAAAAAATGAGTAAAAGGATAAGAAGAGCTTCTTTTTGGGGACATTGCCAATTCTTCCAAAAATGATAAGAAGCATAATTTATAAGATAATCTTTAAGGATATGAGTATACCTACCAAATCAATTCTTTAACATAGATATTCCAGAATCACTCAGACCCTGCATAATCCATCGTTTAAAGTTGCATAGTGATCTTCTATAGTTGGTTCTTCAACTATTGCTGGATTGTTCATTTTCATTTCATGGAAAAATTAGAATAGATAAGTTAAATTTTGGCTTTAATTGATTAACTATGTCTAAGTAAAATAATTAACTAGTATAAGTTTCGCCTAAAGAAACAAGCTAAACTAAACAAATTTAAACTAAGGGTTTAAATGACAACGGCTGAATGTTGCTTATGAGAGGGCCAAATACTAGTAATTATCTTAAAAACATTGAAGATTTTATAACAAAGAATTTGTAAAAACAAAAGAAAAAACTATACAATTAGGCTGGGCATGGGTTGGATATCAGGCTTTTTCAGGTTATTCGGATTTGGCGGATCAGTGATTTTACAATCCGGATTCGGATCCGAAGATCCCGAATATCCAATTTTTCAGGGTAGAACGGATCGGATAACGGATCGGAGAACAGTTTAGATAACGGATCCCGGATAATATGCCCAAAACTATATACAATGAACAAAAAGGATCATGAAAATAAAAAGTAAGTGGGGAAAATATAGATAGTAACTTACTTGGACTAAAAATTAGTATAATATTAGAAAAAAAAAATTAATGGATGCAAAACTATTATCTTATAATCTGTTTTTTTTTTCTTAAAGCAAATCTGGAAAAATTAGTATCTCTATCTAAAGAACCAGTTTCTAAAACTTTGTATATCTAATGAAATTTTAAAACTTTGAACGTCTAATGAAATTTTTAGTTAAACAAAAAAACAACTAAAATAATATTTTTTAGGAAACAAAATTAAAATATGAAAACTAGAATAGATTCATTACCTTAAAGGCATAGAAAAGTATATCACAAATGTCAAAGGCATTAGTTTATGAGGACAGAAAAGGTGTTATTGGGACCCATGTAAGATAAACACAAAGAACTGTGCAAAGAAGAAAGACGTGGCACCAACGCGTGAGGTTACAGCGTCACATCCGAGTGACTCATTTTCTTCTTCTTTATATATACCCAAAAACCCATCTCAGATTCAATTCAGAATCAGTTGGATCATCTATCTCAAAAACAGAACTACAACGTTTTTAAAAGCTGCAGCTTCGAAAAATCTAAGGTACATAAGTTATTTTTGTTTTCTTTCCCACTATTTGATCTGATGAATATTTCTTGAGTATTTAGTGTTCTTAATAGATCTGAAATTTTGGGTATCTTATGATTTACTGTTCTTTCGCTTGGTAGATTTTTTCTTTTTTATTGGTTTACGTTTTATCTCGTGAACTAATCTGAATCTTGAATTCATGTTCCTATGGTTACTAGGAGCTTAGCTGTTTGTTCTTTTAGAGTTAAAAGAATTGTAAATTCAAGAAATAAAACCAAACTCTGTTATAAAAAGAAAAATGAATAAAAATAACAAAAACATAAATTGAAAAACACACAAGAGAATTAAGTTTTCCCCCTCTCGGCCATTCGTTCAGAGACACAACATTTCAGTCGCATGTTTTGGCCACTATCTACAACAAAAAAGCAATCAATTGGTGAAAATTATAGTTTTCAGAATTTGAGATTAGCTATTGGTCGTAGGAAGGTGTTGGGGAATTCTAGCGAATATGATTTAGTCGTCCAAACTTATCGTGGAAGCAATGCCTACGAAAATGAACAGGATTTGGTTGTATGGTCGATTAAATTTGGACTGTAGGCAGAAATTGTGATTACTACGCTTACCAAAAATTAGAAAAGTTGGAGCTCTTATTTGTCATGAATTTTGTTATAAATTTATAACAAAAAGATTTTTTTTTCTTTTTTTTCTTTAAATCTATCAGGGAATTATGTCATCGAATGAAGAAAATGTCAACGAAGAGAAACTTCACGTAAAAATGAAGTCTCGGGAATTGGCTCCAAACGAGAAGGGAGAGGATGTTGAGGTTGAGATTGAAGTGAAGGCCAAGTCTACTGAGAAGGTTAAAACAAAGAAAGACGAAGAAGAGAGTGGAGGAAAATCAAAGAAGGAAAAGATAAAGAGCAAGAATGAGGACTCAAAAGTAGAAGAAGATAAACATGACAAGAAGAAAGATGAGAAACATGTTTCCAAGAAAGGGAAACATGAAGAAGGGCATGGAGATGTGGAGGTTAAAGACAGTGAGGTAAAAGTGCTAGAGCAAGAGAAGGAACACAAGAAGAAAAAGAAGGACAAAGACACGAAACAAGATGATGTATCACAATCAAAGGAGGAGGTAGAAAAAGAAGAAGGTAGTAAAAAGAAGAAGAAAGAGAAGGATGAATCAGGTGTAGAGGTAAAAGAAAAGAAGAAAGATAAAGAGAAGAAATCCAAAGAAGAATCCGAGGGTAAGGAAGACAAGAAGGCAAAAGGAAAGGATCTAAATGGTGCTGACAAGAAGAAGGAAGAGAAGAATGAGCCTGAGGAAGAAGATGATGGAAAGAAGAAAAAAGAAAAAAAGGACAAGGATGAATCACAACAAAAAGGGGAGTTAGAGGAAGAAGGTAACGAAAAGAAGAAGAAAGAGAAGGATGAATCAGGTCCAGAGCCTAAAGAGAAGAAGAAAGGCAAAGAGAAGAAACCAAAAGAAGAATCCAAGGGTAAGGAAGCCAAGAAGATGAAAGAAAAAGATTTGAGTGGTGCAGATAAGAAGAAGAAGAAGAAGGAAGAGAAGGATGAGCCTAAGGAAGAAGATGAAGGAAAGAAGAAAAAAGAAGACGATCATAAGGAGGGAAAGGAAAAGAAAAATAAAGATAAGGGGAAGAAGAAGGAAACAGACGAGATATGTGAGAAAGAAGCAGTTAATAAAGATGAGGATGAACAAGAATTGAAGCAGAAAAATAAAAAAGATTCCAAGAAGCAGAAGGACAAAAAAGATAACAAAGAAGACAAGAAGGAAGAGAAAAACACTGAAACAGAAGTTTTGTCTAGAGAGATTAAATTTGAAGAGCCAGAAGCTAAGGTGGATGAGAAAGATGATAGTCAAGAAAAGAAGAAAGATAAAGAGAAGGGCAAGAAGAAAGATAAAAAGGAAACAGAGAAGGAAGAGAATAAAGAAGAGAAGAATGCTCATACTGAAGTTGAAGCAAAAGACATAAAAATAGCTGAAGATGATGATGAAGAAAAGGGGAAAAAATCAAAGAAAAAAGAAAAGAAAGTAAAAGATGTGAAGAAGCTTGATGAAACCAAGAAGAAGGGTAATGATATTGGTAAGCTGAAATTGAAGCTGGAAAAGATTGATGTGAAAATAGGTGCCTTAATGGAGAAAAAGGCAGAAATTGTGAATCAGATTAAAGATGCTGAGGGAAACGGTGAAACGTAAACAAATTGGAGTGGCCGACTTATGTTAGTGTCTTAGAAACAACCGAGAAGTTGAAGCTTTATGTTTCACGGGACTTAAATCTTTTTCTTTCTTTTTTTTTCTGTTGAGTTTGTAACAAACTAAATATGTTCTTCTACCTTTGATGTTGTACCTCCATATATGTAATCTAACTAAATAAAATTTTCTTTTCTTACAATTCGAGATAACTTTTATATTGTTTAGAATCTACACAACAAAAGATTATTTAACACAAACACATGCACATAGACTAACCTCGTCGAAACTACACCGGAGCAAGCCAAGACGGTTTCATCACACTTAACTATTGGCATTGCCGAACGCACACATAGTATGACTAGGAAACCGAAAGGTTTGGTTCCAACCGGTTCATGGAGTTACGGCGAAAAGTTCATGGTTTTATTATATATGCCCCAGACCTAGTTTTAAATTTGTGGGTCCTATAAATTTCATTTTGCAAAGAAGACACGGGCATTGTGATCTCTAAAGCCGAAGCCTATATCACGTTACAATTCTCTAAAGCCGAAGCCTATATCATGTTACCATTCCGTTTCTTGCGGCACATATTTATTTTTCTTGTAACAAAATTATGTCGGGGAAATTAAAAAAAAAAAAAAAAAAACTGAATTCATTAAAGATTCTCGTCCTTGAAGCAACCAAGATTGACGATGGAACCAATTTCTTGTCCGAGTTAATTTAATCTGCACAAAGCTACATCACTGTTATAGTTTGATATAAAATATAGGGTCTGAATGGTGACACAGATCAAATACAAAATAAATACAAAATAAATACAAATACAGATTAAATTCATTTTTATTGTACATATTATTGGACTACTCTTAGAGCAAGAGCTAGAAAAGAAACGTGTATCTTGTTTTTTTTTTTTAGTATTTGACTAGTTCTGTTTATCAATCTTATATATCATCATATTCATACTTTTTCGATTCGCATCTTATATATAATTAGGGAGTTGCTCTCTCCATCTAGAGTGTCCACATCAGCACAAAAACATTAAATTGTATTTAAAATATTTAATAAATATATGACTATTCATATTTCTTTACATTTATTCATATTTAATAAAAATATACAAATAAATTGATTAATTAATAGAAAGTATGTGATAATTTGATGTTAAAAGTTATCAAAAAGTTGGAATATAAAATAGAGATGGAGTAAAGAAATATTCAACTTCAAATAGTATATATTTACTTTATTATAAATTAAAAAGTTATAAATTAATTAAGACAATAGAAAGCTAATGAAACATTAGAGTTAGAGTTTGTTTTTCTAAACAAATAGAAATAGAGTTTTATATGTAAATTTAATTGTAGTGAAAAACAAGAATATGTTTACAAATTTTAACCTTCAGTCAAATGCATATACATATTTATAAATTTTAACCTTCAATCAAATACATATACATGTTTACCGTCTAATAGAAGTAAACATAATATTTATAACATGATAAAATTTTAGAAATAGAAAACTCGAAGATAAAGCAGGTGTTAATATCCTAATAAATTAAAATAAAAACAAATTATTCATATTTTTTAGTGTTAGTGGTTGAGTTAACTCAAAACATAACAAAAACATGAAAGTTAACACAAAACCATCATAATTCAAATCAACGAGTATAAATAAAATTAAACAGAAAAACTATCGTAAACAACCCCGCGCTTGCGCGGGGCTTCAAACCTAGTGATCCATAACTAGCTTAACATCGGTTTGAGTATGTATATTATTAGACATTAATCCATTACATATAAATAATCCTTGCAAAACTATTTTTATGAAGAAAACAATTAAACAAAGAATAACTGTAAAAGACTCATTTTTACGTTTTTTATCAAATTAAAAAAAAAGGAAAAAACATATGAATTAATGTACGTATTTATTTCGCCCGGATCGAATTTTGTTTACCTTTTTATTACCTGTTACGCATTAAGGCTAGAGCCAAAAGACACTAATTATAAAGGTTACAAAACTAAACTCTCTCCACACGATCAAAGGTCTCTCTAATGGCCATTCTCTTTCTCCACCCCGACACATTCTCTTTCTTCTTTACTATATTCGCGTCACTAGTTCTTCTCAGTCTCCGACATCCCTCTGCGGCGGCTGTTTGTCAAGCTCCGCCGGTGATTTTTAACTTCGGAGATTCCAATTCCGACACAGGCGGACTCGTCGCCGGACTCGGTTACCCTATCGGCTTACCCAATGGACGCTTATTTTTCCGACGGTCCACCGGCCGTTTGTCTGACGGACGTCTTCTCATCGATTTCCTCTGTAAGTAAAACAACAAAAACTCTGTTTCGAAAGTGATCTTTTTTTAACATCCAAGATTGATGCTAGAAAAAAAAAAAAAACTGATTATGTTAGATCCACCGTCCGTTAGTATCTCGAATGTACGGTTTAGATCGCGCTTAATTCGTTAATGTCATATGATCGCAGATGTGACCCACCTACTAAACATATTCGGTCGTTGAAAATCTAGTAGGAGAAAGTGGGTCCCATGTAAAACATGTTCGAACTTAGAAGTCAATGCATTACTCTGACCTTTTTCATGTAATGTATTTTGAAAAACGTAGAGGTCAGTGGTCACGTGATGTATTTTGTAAATTGCTTGTATTTACCTTCATATTTGTTTTTATGTATTGAGTTTTAGATCTCGGTAAATGTATTTACGTATACGATGGAATTTGCAGGCCAGAGTCTAAATACGAGTCTCTTGAGGCCATACTTAGATTCATTGGGTAGATCAAGGTTCCAAAACGGTGCAAACTTTGCAATTGTTGGATCCTCTACGCTTCCCAAAAAAGTTCCTTTTTCACTAAATATTCAGATCATGCAATTCCTCAATTTCAAATCCCGATCACTCAAGCTTGCTTCTACATCAAGTAAACATACCTAATCTCAAACCATTGTTGTGTCGCCGCCTCTCTTCTTGGTTTTGATGATCTTAACAAGAGTCAACAACTGTGTGTCCTGTAGATCTATCAAAGGGTTTGTTCATAAGCCAAGACGGATTCAGAAACGCATTGTACATGATCGATATAGGACAAAACGACATTGCACATTCCTTCTCTAAAGGCAACTCGTATTCTCAAACGGTCATGCTGATTCCACAATTTAACTCCGAGATAAAAACCGGCATAAAGGTTAGATCTTTGGCCTTTCTAGCACTTTTGGTACACATGATGTAACTTTTTAAAACTGGTTTTTGCGGTTTGTAGAAATTGTATGATAATGGAGGAAGAAGATTCTGGATTCACAATACTGGTCCATTAGGTTGTTTACCTCAAAAACTTTCAATGGCTCAGAGCAAAGATCTTGACCAGCATGGTTGCTTAGCTAGTTACAACTCGGCCGCAAAAATGTTTAACCAAAGATTGGATCATATGTGTGATGAGCTAAGGACCGAACTAAGAGACACCACCATAATCTATATCGACATATACGATATTAAATACAGCCTCATTGCAAACTCCAACAAATATGGTAAAAAAGAGAACTTCTTCCATACCATCAGTGACAGCTATTAGGTTATATCTTAAGTTAAGTATTAATTAGATGCAATGCAGGTTTTGAGAGACCGTTAATGGCGTGTTGTGGATACGGAGGCAGTCCTTATAACTACAATGTGAATATAACATGTGGGCATAGAGGCTCTAATGTATGTGACAAAGGGTCTCGTTTCGTAAGCTGGGATGGGATTCATTACACCGAGACAGCTAATGCCATTGTGGCTATGAAAGTGATTTCCATGCAATACTCTAAGCCACAAACTCCGTTCCATTTCTTCTGCCGTCGGTGATAATAAATTTTGTATGTTTTTTAATCCGTCGAACTTTATAAGTGCAATTAAAGCACTAGACAAAATAAAAGAACAGTTATGGTAGTCATAGTTTCTTATACATTTGTTCCATAAAAGAATCAAATGTTGATTGTAGCTGCTAAAAGAATAACAGGATAACTGAGAAAGAAAAACAGAATTTGACCGACGAGCCTCTTTCTCAGACTTCCTGTTTACATTTTGTACCATAAAAGAATAAAATAACAGTTTGGTGGCTCACAATTTATGATTGTCGCAATCTAATGTTGATTGTCGTATAAACTTGATCCATTAGAGAAACCTAATCGCTAGGAAAAACCCCTGATCCATTGCGCTTAACGTATACGTGTTGACAGCTCATTTCATTCTTCTCTTCCAAGTTTCCCTATCCCGTACACCTCGATCCTCCAGTTATGCTAATTCTTCCCATGCCATCCATTTCGCATGCTTTGAGCTGCTAATCAAGGTAAAGAAATTGAAATTGTTCTAATGAAAAAGTTGTGCTATACGAACAAGCTAATTGTGTTAGAACATTCATTTCTATGTTATGTTGCGTATGATTACAATTTTAAGATAGTGCCGAGCTTGTGAGTTATACACGAAATGGGAGAGGCCATGTGAGCAATTCCATACAGATTCTTTTAATGTCTTCTCTTGTGGTTTTTACCTTTCTCTGAGAACGTAGTATAAGGCACAGTTCAGAAGTCCCTCCAAATTAATACAAAATGGTGTCTCGCTGGAAACTTTTCCACTTGATTTGTACAATTCGTAAATTATCAAATTTTCTTTAACTAATTTCATAACTTAAAAATATCTAATTGATTTAAGTGTAAGATGAGATAATTCGTGAAAAAGGTTCGATTATGAATATGTTTTGGAAATAAGAAATGTTTTTTTGGTATTTGATTATTTTGTAAGTTCTAAATTTTTGAATATGATTTCAATGACTAATTTCAATAAAAGTTTAAAAAGAAGTTTACTCATGAATAAGTTGGAATATTAATTAGGATTTTTTAAAATAGAATTTTTGTTGTCAAATTAATTTGGAAAACCGATTGACTTACTAATGCAAAAACAAGTTGAAAATGACTGACTCTTACGATCAAATAAATGATTGACCAACTCTGTCTTTAAATAACTGCTCTGTTCTTTAACTAATTTGACAACCTAAAATTTTTTTTTTGTTTAAGTCTAGGAGGAGATAATTTGTGAGAGGTTAGATCATGAATGTTTTGGATAAGAAACGGTTTTTGGTATTTGATTATTTTTGTAAGTTCTAAAGTTATAGTTTTGATTTTAATGATTAATTTCATTCAAAGTTTAAAAAATGATTTTTAGCTCATGAACATGTTGATTTTATTAATTAGGAATTTTTTAAAAATAAATATATTTTTATATTCAAATTAATCTGAAAAACCGATTGACTTATACTAATACAAAAACAACTTGAATATGACTGACTTTTACAATCAAATAAATGATTGGCCGCTAACTAATATGACAATTTAAAAATCTCTATTTGATTTAAGTTCAGAATGAAATAATTTGGGAGAAGACTAGATCATGTATAAGTTTTGAAAATAAGAAATATTTTTTTGGTATTTGATTGTTTTGCAAGTTCTAAAGTTTTGATATTGATTTCCTCTTCAAATTTCAGTTAAAGTTTTTAAGGAATTTTAGGTCATCAATAAGTTGGAGTATTTTTTAGGATGTTTCTTAAAGAAGAGATATTTTTGTTGTCAAATTAATCTAGAAAGCCGAATGACTTACTAATGCAAAAACAAGTTAAATATGGCTGACTCTTACGATCAAATAAGTGACTGATCGCCAACTCTTTCAGCTCTCACATTTCGTAAATCATTCGATTTTGTTTGATTAATCTAACAACTTAAAATCTCTATTTGGTTTAAGGCTAGGATGAGATAATTTGGGAGAGGATGGCATCATGAATAATAAGTTTTAGAAATAAGAAATGTTTTTTTGGTATAAAGTTTTTAAAGAAGTTTGGTCATGAATAAGTTGGAGTATTTTTTAGGAGTTTTCTAAAATAGAGATATTTTTGTTGTCAAATTAATCTAGAAAGCCGAATAACTTACTAATGCAAAAACAAGTTGAATATGGCTGACTCTTACGATCAAATAAATGACTGGCTGCCAACTCTTTCAATTTTTATAAATCATTCGATTTTCTTTAATTAATCTGACAACTTAAAATCTCTATTTGGTTTAAGGCTAGGATGAGATCATTTGGGAGAGGATTGGATCAATAAGTTTTAGAAATAAGAAATGTTTTTTTGGTATAAAGTTTTTAAAGAAATTTAGTCATGAATAAGCTGGAGTATTTTTTAGGAGTTTTCTAAAATAGAGATATTTTTGTTGTCAAATTAATCTAGAAAGCCGAATGACTTACTAACGCAAAAACAAATTGAATATGGCTGACTCTTACGATCAAATAAATGACTGGCCACCAACTCTGTATGTTCTCACAATTTGTAAATCATCTAGTTTTCTTTAATTAATTTGACTACTTAAAAATCTCTATTTGGTTTAAGGTTGGGATGAAATAATTTGGGAGAGGTTTGGATCATAAATAAGTTTTGGAAATAAGAATTTACTTTTGGTATTAGACTATATTGTAAATTCTAAAGGCTTGATTTCAGTTTTAGAAAATTATTAGTATAGTTTTCGAGAATTATCGAATTTAAGAAGAAACAAAACAGAAACTAACCTTTGTAACGTTGTAACGTTCTAGTTACGGAAAATAGGTGAAGAAGCGCATTGGCAAAGTCATCATATAATCAGCTGAAAGATCAAGAACGAAACTTTGTTAATGATTAGTTTTCATGTCATCATATACTTAAATTAATTAATTAAGACTAATGCTCAAAAACCTTAACCTTATCTGTTGCAACACACAAGAGAGTTTCCTTTAGATTCTTTCAACTTCATTCTCAAGATCCTTTACCTGCGTGCATCATTTTAAGCGAAGTTTGGTACCTCTCAACAGAAGATCCTGAGATTTTAAATGTAACAACCAATATTGATCTCACTAAAACCTGTTGCTTACAGAGTTTGATTGTTGTCTCTCCGGAACTTTCTCAAGAAGGTTCTTTTCACTAAACACATCTGCAGCCACTAGCCAATCGAAGCTCTCTGCCATGACAATCTTCTCAACTGTCCAAAACGCAATCCTTTCCAGTTTAAAAACGAAACTCAGCAAAAAAGATTGAATCTTTCCAAGTTCCTATCAAACTAGAAACAAGAATCTAATGGTGCGAATTTTCAATTTCTATTTGTCAAAATGGAACAAAAGCAGAACATGACCGACTTATGTTATGTTGAGTGATTTGCATATTCAATTCAGCTTATTATTAATGTAGATACATCACAGAGAATGAGAGAGTAGACATAATTTTTGTGTTTATGCAGGTTGTTTGTTACCTGATGAATCACGGGCACTGAGGAACGATCCAGTTAGCACAGGCTCCTACACTCTCTGTTTATGTCAAGTTTGCATATAACAATTGAACAAGAGAATCGAACCTGCATCAGAATTCAGATCCAGGACATGTATTGGATCACTGTCCTCACAACCTACACAGCACAACCATATTCAGTGATCAGTTTTTCTTCTTCTTTTCAAATCTTATCAAGGAAAATTGTGCATATATGATTCATACAACCGCAGAATATAAGGGATCAGAAGACAATCTGCGTGTGAAGGCTGCAAAATTCCTGAGAGGAGAGGTATAGCTCTTGGCCCTTCCTTCATTGTTCTTCTCTGCTCACTACAAAACCATATAACTCAAAACCATATAACTTATTCTAACTACTGAACAATTTCTACAATTTAACCAACAAATTTGAAAATCCAATCTTCAAAACTACAAAGTTTCAAATTCCTTCTCCAATTTCGAATTCGAGGCCGAGAAATGAAACACCCATGCCAATCTCTGTTCTGATGAGACTCGATATCATCTAAAAGGACAATTTAACAGTTGAGAGTATAATAGATATCGAAGAAACGTAGATCCATCCTAGATTTCATGTAATCGCAAATCAAAATTACTCAAAATCACTTCCGACTCTTAAAAGAAATCCGACGAACAACAAAAACCCAAACCCTAGGGATTTAAACTAGTAGTCATGGAAACGACTCAGGATCCAGAAACCATAAAATTGAATGAAGAAACCCCAAACCCAAACCCTAGGGATTTGAACAAGCAATTCGAATTTGTATAAACAGAAATCGAAAGTCATAGATAGAATCATACCTTCGCGAATCATTGTACGGATCACCCGAATTGAATCCCAGCGAAGGATCGTCACAAACACGTCCACGGAAGTATCTTCGATTCTCTTCATTTCTCGGTTGCGTTACCAAAATTAGGAATCTCCGGTGAATTGGATTTTGGATTCCGACGAGAAATCAAGCAATTTCTTATAAAGGAATAACGAAATCGGGAGAGAAATTTGAGTCTCTGTTTCGGTTTCTCGAGAGAGAAAGAGAGAGAGAGAGGGAGAGACTAAATTTTGAATCTGAGACTACCGTTGAAGACAAGTAAGTCGGCTATTTACATGATTGCTGATATATGGGCCTCAACTTTTATAATTATGGGCTTTCGTGTAAATCGTGTGGGTCAAGTTGATTGCTAACAATAACAACAGTCAACGGGCATTTTTTCTTGCTAAAAGGTTTAAGTATTTTTTTTTTTTTTTTTTTTTTGAAACATTTTAGTTAAGGCAGTTTGATATTCTTATTGCCAAAGGTTTTAAATTGCTTCAGTTCTCGTTGTAACATTTTATGTTTCAGTTAAGAGAGCAAAATGTTTAAATGTGTTTGAGTTTTAATAAGATAGAATTTACATTCCTATTGCCAAGATTTAACTAATGTAAAGGAAATTTGAAGAAATGAGAAATCGCTGAATGATAGATTTTAACTAAAATTTGAAGAGTTAAAATTTTAAATTTATCTATGTAAGTATAATTAAGAATTTATGTATATCTATATATATATATATATATAAAGTTTATGCAATTCTATTATGGTGCTGCCACATCAGCTAAAGAGGGTGTCTTTAAATTCATTATTTCAGCACAAACATTTATTATATCATATTTTTCTTTTTTTTTTTTAATTTTTATAAATAGTTATCATTCATTAATAGGTTTAACAAGAATATGAAAAGTCATTTACAAAAAGAAGAAAGATTTTATATAATTTTTTTTTTTGTTCAAAAGCTTCACTAATTAAAATAACCTCTTACACTTCCGAAATAATATTTCGGAGGGAAAGTTTTGCCAAAGAGTCTGCTAACACACTCGCAGATCTTGAAATTGAAACGAAAGATACTAATTGGAAAAAAGAAGCTAGATATGAGATATCTTGCAACACTCCAAAGATTTCCGAAAGATTGGATTTCAAATTAATTGCATCAATGAGCAGCTGGGAATCTGAAGCCACATGCAACCCTTGGAAGCCCAGATCCAGCGCATGTCTGAGAGCTCCCCGAATCGCGAGACTCTCTGCAATTAGCGGCGAAGCGGTATGCGCAAAGGCTTTGGATCCCTTATTTAGAGCTTCAAGTCTGTTGTTGTGAAAGATCCAGCCTGTTCCTCCAGCTCTCTGCTTTTCGTTCCATTCTCCATCCGTGTGACAACGAATGCATGCATCTGGGATGATTGATCTTGCTAACGTGGGTTGGCGGATCAAAGTTGGGTTCTCTCTTTGTGCTTCTAACCATTCCCTCGCTCGGACGATTGCGAGATTCAAAGTTTTCCAGGCATTCAGGCTGCTCTAATTGAACACTTTGTTGTTCCTGCTCAACCATAGGCTCCAGAGGATCCAAGGTGCCAAAGTTTCTCCTTTTGTACCAATCGGTGGTAGGCAAATGATTGTTTTTAGTTTGGCGATCCCTTCCTTCGTGGTTGTGATTGAGCTTGCATTGAAGGGGTCTTTGAAGGGCGCCATTCTCCACACCGATTGAGCAAACCTGCAGTGAAACAGAAGGTGAATTGTAGTTTCTGGTGCTCCACAGTGGATGCATTTTGACTGCAAGTTAATTCCTCTAGCTGCTAAATTCTCTCCCACAGGTAGGGCTCCTTGTACCGATTTCCAAAGGAAAAGTTTAAGCTTTGGGGCGTAAAGCCCTTTCCAACTATCAGTGATCCAGTTGAAATTGTTGTTTGCATTTTCAGGTACAAACTCCTCCTGTATCCGAGCTCGAGCCGTGAAGTAGCCTGTCTTGACTGAATACTCGCCATTGGGTTGTGGAAGCCAAGCTAGGCGGTCTTCTGTTGCATAAGATCCAGGTATAATGCCTAGAATCTCTTTTTCATACAATGGTAGCACTCGTCGAATTAGAGGCTTGTTCCATGTTCTGGAGTTAGGTAGAAATAGATCCTCCACTTTTAGATCTTTGAGCTCTCTTGGCATGAAATAGATCCTCCACTTTTAGGTTCCTTTGTGGAAATCCAGGGGTCTTCCCAAATCTTTGTCGTAGCTCCATTGCCTATAACTTTTCCAATCTTTTCCTTTAACAGGTTGCGTCCGATCACTATTCCTTTCCATCCATGTGATCCTCCTTCGCTCGTTTTGCACTCTAGGAAGCTTTGGTCCGGAAAATATTTTCCTTTGAGGATTCGAGCTAGCAGGCAGGAGGGTTTTGTGAGGATTCTCCAACTTAATTTACCGAGCATTGCGTCAGTGAAGTCTTGTATGTCTCGGATTCCTAAGCCTCCCTCTCTTTTCCCACGCGTAAGTTTGTGCCAAGCTATCCAACACATCTTCTTTTTATCTGGATTTGCATCCCACCAAAATCTGGTTAGGACTGATTGGATTCTTTTGCAGAGGCTTATGGGAAGCTTGAAGCATGACATGGAGTATGTTGGCATTGAGGAGAGGACTGATTTAAGAAGAACGAGTTTCCCTGCACTAGAGAGCAACTTTGATGACCATGATATGGCTTGCTGTCTGATTTTGTCCACCACAGAGCTGAAGAGGTCTTTCTTTTTCCTTTCGAATGCTTCAGGTAAGCCCAAATATTTTCCTGTGCCTCCTTCTTGGTGGATATGTAGGATTCTCATTGCTTTCCTTTTCGTTTCTTGGGATGTCTTCTTTGAGAAAGTAATTGCTGATTTTTGACAACTAATCATTTTCCCTGATGCATCCTCATACATCCTCAGGATCTCCTTTAGTGCTTTGCAAGATTTCTCATTGGATTTGCAAAAGAACATTGTATCATTAGCAAACAGTAAGTGATTCACCTTTGGGCTTCCGTTTGCGACTCTTATACCTGATAACTAATCGTTTTCTTGGGCTTTATTGCAGAGACCAGACAAGACTTCGCTACAGAGAATGAACAGATACGGTAGTAGAGGGTCTCCTTGATTTATTCCCCTTGTTGGCGTGACACTTCCCACTGCAGCTCCATTTATCAGAAACTTGAAGGTAACTGATGTCACACATTGCATAGTCATGTCTGTTTTTATCGCCATTGATCCTCTCTTGTTTGCTTTTGAGATTTTCAGAAAGTGTAGGATCTCATGAGTGATCATGACATTATCAGAGATTGCTCTTCATGGTACAAACGCCGATTGATTCTCAGACACTATTCCATCAAGGATTGGATGAAGTCTTGCGGTAAGAATCTTTGAAATGATCTTGTAATACACATTGGATAATGCGATTGGCATGAGTGATAAGGAGACTTTCTACAAGAGAGTGATAAGGTCGAGGATCGGGTAGCAATGATTCTTCTTCGCGCTTCAGCTTGATGTTTACATCCATCGGAGTAATACGTATCTCTTTCCTTCATGTACCCCTACCTTCTCACTAATCCTTCTTGCATAACTTTGTTGGCTAATGAATATTCCATCATTTACCCTTTCAACCTCCAAACCAAGAAAGTTGTTCAGCTCACCCAACATCTTCATCTCAAATTTTATTACAATCCTCCTGTAGATGAGCATTTTCCGATTCATCATTCCCGGTAATTATTAAGTCATCTAATAGTAGGACTGTTGTTACCAATTACTTAAATCCACTATTCATGTCATTGTAACATTTGAGGTAACAATCCAAAGGGGTTAATATTAACAACACTATATAAGAATGCATAAAACTATCTAAGTTAAGCAGATCAAAGATTGGCTTTAGACTAACAACCTAAACTCAAAATTAAGCATAAATTCAAAGTAAGAACTTAAAAAAAGAATTCAAGCTCATGACACAAATACAAAAACGAAAATGATCAAAGGAAAACAAGCTAGCAATTGAGTCTTAGGATGGGGTCATTGAACTATAGAGACTCTTTGACTAATCTATGATGCTCAAACAATCAAGAGAATGCTAATCTTTTGGCATAGAATTCATTAAAAAAGACCAATCCATTCTCATGCCACTAATCACTTTGCTAATTACTAATTAAAGAACTAATCGTCTTTAGTGAAATCAAAATTAACAAGCATTCAATTTATAAGGCCATACAATCTCTTGTGGGGTGGTTGGAGCATTTCATCAAACATTTTGTGGGTAGAAAATGCCCTTTGGTCTAAATCACTTTTCTCAAAGCTAATCTAGAGAATATTGATCTCTGCCTAACGCCTTATAAGGTTTTAGCAACTGGACATGATGAAGGAATGTTGGAATTCATACCATCCCGTTCTTTGGCTCAGGTACGGTATTCAATCAGCGCGTAAATCCATTTTATCCTTTTAAAAGTTTGTTCTGTTATCCTAAGATATGGGCTTTTTGCCATGTTTAGATTCTCTCATAGCACAGAAGCATAACAAGTTATCTGCAGAAGTTTCATCCTGATGAGCATGCACCTTTTGGGATAACAGCGACTTGAGTTGAGAATAAGTCAAGTGATTAACACCCATGAAAGCCCAAGTACAGACTTAGGGCTTGATTGGTTCTCCCGCTACCACCCGCAAACGCAGCGTTTGCGGTTCGTAGCGGTTTTCGGCGGTTTATAACAATCACGACAACCGCTTTGAATCGCTCTATACCACTCTGTACCGCTCTATATCGCTGAAAATCAAAAGCTCCTTTCCGCAAGCGTTTGCGGTTGCGGGTGGATAATTAAAAAAAAAAAAAAAACACAAACTTATATAAAATCCGAAAATAAATAATAATATTTATTAAAAAATAAGATTTGGATAATAAAATCACAATATAAATAAAAAATTAGTACTTTTAGTCAATATTCATTAAAATCATATAATACTTATATATTTATAAGTTCTACAAATCAAAATTCTCTTGATAAATATTCTTTTCATACTAATACATATATATCTAATAAATAAAATTGTAATATAAATTTAATTTTCACATTAAATATATATTTTGAAAATAAAATCACATTTTTTATTTAAATTATAGAAATTAAAAGATAGACGTAAGTATTATACACATATTATTCTTTATATATTTTTTTAATTATGTTGAACCATAAATTTAAAATTTTCATTATAATATAGTTTTGATATTTTTATAATTATATAATGTGTTTATATTATTAATTTATTGTTTAACCGCTATTGCATCCGCAAGTGAACCAGTCATAAGTAACCCGCAAACGCATCATTTTCAATTGTTATGCCAGTCGTACAAACCGCTTAATAACGCTACTAATCACAACCGCCCGCTTCCGCAAACTCCCGCACCCGCAACCGCAGCGGTTAAACCAGTCAAGCCCTTACATAAACAAGAAAGAGTATTGAGCAAGAAACAGAACAACGTTCATAAGGAAAGAAATCTAGGGCTTTATAGAGTCTCCCCGGAGATGGAACAAAGAGTTAAGAGAAAGATCATGTAAAATCATAAACGTCTACCGTCTATATATCATAACTTAAGACAGCTTACATACTGTTGTTTAAGAGAAAAACAAAAGATTTACCGAAGTAATGGTCCACACCTTAGGAAAAGTCTTACAAAAAAACCTAATAAGTCATATGCCGAAGTAACATCCTGCTCCAAACATTAGGAACAGTCTTGCAAAAAAGACGAAAAGTCCACTGAAGCTCTATAAACCAAACTGGATGTATTAGCGACTACATTGTAGTTTTGCTTTACCACAACAACTTCACACTGTCGAGAGCGTTTAGGAATCTTTTTGATTTTCTTGATAATGCAATCAGAAGCTTCACTTACCACCAACTTCTTCAAGACAGAACAATTCCTTAAAAAGTATGTTGGTAGTTTCATCTTAGTTGGCGTCTCCATGAGAGTGACTGGTGTCTTCAACTCAACGAACTCTAGAGATGATTGGAAACATTGAGGAACATGAAAAAAATTCATCTCATCTGTCTCTGAAAGTGAGTCGTATTCCTGATAATAGAAAACCAAAAGAAAATTGAAATGTTTGCAAGAATGTCAAATGCGATTACATCACAACTGCATATTTGAATGAAACTCACCAGTACAAGGGACTTTAGATTTGGGCAGCAACCAAGAAAGCTTGGCAAGAACTCCCAAGTAGTTTTGGGGAAAGAAACTTCTAAGTGAGACAAATTAGTAAACTGAGGCAGCGGTCCAAACTCAGAGTAACCACGAATGAGCTATGTATGGAGATTAAATAAGAAAAGAAAATGTTAGATAAGAAAAAGAACAAATTGTTTTTACACGTTAAAAAAATACAAAAATTAATAAACCTTGATAATAATGAATCAATCATTCATGTTTTACCTCTAGAGTTGGTGCAGAGATGATCATTTCCCGGACTGTGGACATCACACTAAGAAAATCACAGATCATACTTCTCTCCAATGGATCATCTAACTCCACGTTAAGCTTAACATCAAGGTTAACCTTTGCATAGGGACCAATACTATGTATAGCAAGACTTTCACAATGGTAATCACGAATACTCAAGTACTCAAGTCTTGGAGCATCAATTTGAATATCACCATGTGTAGTAGACTCTAATTTGAAGCTTTTTAATGACTGAGAGCACACGCATGCAATTCCCCATTCCTCCTCACTTCCACCATCATAGGCTAAATTAGCTACTGTGACTATGGTTAACTCCTCAAGAAGCAAACAGCTTGATATGAGAGTCTTGAGAATCTCACTTCCATCAAACCTAACCGCCTCTAGATGCATAGTCTTCACGCAAGGCAAAGAAACCAATTTCGATTTGGGAGCCTCAAAGAGAACACAAAAGAGAGTTAAATTCACCAATGTCGCACAAGAGTAAAGGGACATAGGCATTATAACAAACCCTTCATCAACACTTCTATGATTCATAATTGTTAGATCGCAAACTCCTCGCTTAACCACAGCATCGATCCTTGATTCGAATTCATCTTGATCATGCTCAATAGCATCATAGATCAGCTTGAAACTCTTCACATCTCGCTCTCGGTTAAGCTCCAAAAAATTATCTATGAATTCGAAAAGTTCGTATTCATCTCCGAAGTCACGATGATCCAGATCCAGAGCCTGAACACTTAACCAATGATTTCTCCATTGTTTTGACAGATGTGAAGCGAATGGAATCCTTGGTAGGTAACTCTGAAACAATCTTAGATAACAAATCATCCGATAGATTGCTTAACCTATCTATCAGCCTTGAGCTTTTTGATTTCAACTTTGTGTTTAGAGATGTTCTAGCCATAATTATCTCTGAAACCCTAGATTCCACATAAATAACAAAAGACAAGTAAATATGTAAATCGCATTGAAGCATGACTCTAGCGAAAGTGTAATCTAATTCCGATTATGAATAGACATTTGACTATTGAAATTAAATAGGAATTTTGAACAAAGAGTCACCTTTGAGTTTGGCTTTTGGAGTTTGCTTTGCTTTAGGCATAGAGAGAGTAAGACGATGACGACAAAGATAGAGAGACCGGAGAAAGAAAAAGGAAAACCAAACCTCCGTTGATTAACCGGAGATATAGCGGGGGAGAGAATATCTCGGCTCTTCTTCTTCCTCTTCTATTTTTTTTTTTTTCTGCAAGAGACCTCTTTTGACAATTTTCTTTTCTTTTCAATATACTTTCTTTAACAAATTTTGCCTTTCTGGAATGAAAAAGGTAAGGTAATAACTGCCACGTAGCATATCCCAAACGTGACGAAACATATCCTTCAAATCTTGAAAGCTGACATTTATTGACTATTGATTATATTTAATGATTATTTAGCTTAATCAAACTACTGAAATGGTGTATGTAAATCATAAAATCAAATCTAGTATTGAATTTGTTTCCTTTTTTCACATGAATAT